AGGAAGTATAAAAGTGGCGTTTGGCTGCGTGGATGGGGTATTGAAAGTGTTTGTTGATGTCGTTCGTGTGGTCATTTATCATGCTTGGTGTTCACGGATGCAAGGTGACACACGTTTCTGGCCGAGCTTAATGTTATATAGATATCTGAGAAGCCAACCCTTATCATCTAGTACACAGTGTAGATGGTTGTATGAACGAGACTCCTCTCTCCAGTGTTGACACTATACACATCGCGCACGTGGCCTCTATCGATCGTGCACCAGTGCCATTGCCATTGCCGCTGTGGTGTTGGACTAGAAAGCGACGATATTGATTACGAATTGCTTATCTGTTTATAACAGTACTTATAAGAATGGATAGAATGAGTTGGTATCCATTCAGAAGCATCAAACTGGATGTTAGATAGATACAAATTATCTATTTTTTGTTTGAGGGAAATCACTGGCTTGGCTGGCGCAATGGATAGCGTATCAGACTTCGAATCTGGGGGTTGCGGGTTCGAGTCCCGCGTCGAGTAGTATTTTTGTCGCGTTTACTTTATCTTGTGTTAACGAATACGTTTTTGCACACTTCTCTATCAATGGCAGGCGTAGAGAACTTGGCGTAAAGTTAAGTGGCCATTTGTACAAGATGTATAAATCGACACGGGGGCCTAATAGCGCAGGGCACAGAAGCACGCAACGCCAGCCTTGATCCAGTACTCTTGGTCGCAAAAGAGCACTTGGGCGTTCGTCTCGGAGACGAGCGAGTTGCGCCAGATCGTCGGGCGGTTGGACGGGATTTCGATCCACATGACAAAGTTGGTCGAGTGCCCCGTTGTCGAGAGCGTCCCGGTGCGCGTGAGGATTTTGTACACAGGACAGCGGTAAATGCCGCTCGAGGGCGCCTCGCGCTTTTGCTGCGGGTGCAAATGCATGAGCGGCATCTTGGCAAAGAGTTCTTTTGGGAACGGGTCGTCGAGCGACGCAATGTCCTTGTTCCAGCGCGCGCCCTCGAGGAAGAGCCCGTAAATGTAGCAGCCCTCGTCCGGGCGACTCGTCACATCGGCGAGCTCGTCGCGCATCATGAGGTACTGGAACGAGAGCGTGTCGATGGGCAGTTTTTGGCGACGCGCGTGGTTTTGGATGATGCCCGTCATAAAGCCTTGGGGAAAAAAGAAGCCAGAAATCCAAAACACAATCGGAATGCCGTGGTCGATCCAGTGGCTGATAAAGTGGAGGCGCTCGAGGAGGTCCGCGACCCACGACGTGAGCGGCTTGAGCGACGGGTACGCTTTCGCTTCCCAGAGCAGCGGAACCTTTTGGTCGTAGAGCGAGTTGCCCATCGCTTCGAGCTCGGCCGAGAGCACAATGAGCCCGCGGAGCCCGCGCTGCACTTGCTGCAGCGTCTCCTTCATGACGGTCAAGAGCTTATTGAAGCGCTCAACCTCCTGCGCGAGCACCGTGTTCATCGACTCGGTGTACGAAACCGCGTACTTGACTTGGACAAACTCGAGGTCAAAGTGCGGCGGCAAGCTCGCCTCAATGGTTGCGGCCGCGCTCGCGATCGTGTCTTCGCGCGAGAGGCCGGCGCCTGCGCTCACGCGTGGCTGGAGGCTCAAAATGATGTCAAAGACGTCATAGGTCTCGGCTTGCGCGCACGTAATGTTGGCGTTTTCGTGCATGCCAAAAACTTCGGGCTCGGGGTTGATGGGCAGGCTGTTGATGTACTCAACGTACGAGGCGTACGGCGTTTTGGGGTTGGCAGCCAACGAGTAGTAGACGCCACTGGTTGAAAATTTGTACCCACTCTACGCGCACAAAAATTAGCGTTTTGACGAGTACATTTTGCAGGTGTACCTCGAGGATCGCGGGACAAAAGTACGTCATGAGAATCACGTCGGACGTTCGCATGTCCTTGTCGTCCGTGATGCGACCACCGTAGTTGATCATGCTCGTCATGACCTGAAGCACTTCGAATGGCACCTTGTCGTACGTATCGAGGAACATTTGCAGTTGCGCGACGCTAGCGCCACATATTCAAGTACCTTGACGGATATGTATCCAGTACCTAATGTCGAGGTCGGTCTCGTTGAACGAATATGGAATGTTCCAGCCGAGCGCGCCAAACCGCTTGCGCTCGCACACGATCGCGTGGTAAAAACACAGTCCAAAGAGCAGCTTCCGGAACACCTCAGGCTTGGCCGTCACGCTCAAAGCGTCGTCGTTGAGTTTGTAATATGTGTTTTTGAGGTTGGCGCGCAGCCCTTTTGGCGCCTCCTTGGTCATCTTGACGCCGTTCTGGAGCACCGAGGTCGGAAAGACGGGGGTTGGCATGCTCGTGAGCCAAAGTCGAAAGTCGACGTGCAGCTTGGCCGGGTCGAGCTCTTCGCAAATGCGCTCGAGGTCCGGCATCCAGCTCAGCGCCAAGTGGCAGTTCTGGAGGAGGACCCACTCGCCTTTCTGCACCGCATTCTCAATCAAGCGCGCGGCCAGCGTGCCTTGGCCTTGGCCGAGCGCGATGCTCTTGAGCTTGGCGTCCATTTTGGTCGCAATCGCAAACGTCAACAAGTCCTTCGCGGGGTCTGAGCCTTGCGAGAGCACGAAAATGAGCGGCGACACGGGCGTCGAGTCCTCAAACGTTTCTTGCAAGTCGAACGGCGGCGGCTCAATGAACGGCTGCCCGAGTTTCTCGACGACCAAGTTCTGGATCCCTTCCATCATCTTGTCGGGGCGGAGACTCCGGAGGACGCAAAGGCGCTGGAACGCATCGAGCTTGGTCTGCCACCCGCCGGGAAGCGGCACGACGTGCGGCTCGGGGCTGTCAAAGAGGCCCCGGTACACCGCCTTGTGCGCTGCAAACGCCTCGGTGAACCCCGCAAAGGCCGGCAGCGACGCGAGGCGACAGAGCTCGGTCCACGCGTAGCCTTCAAGCCACGTTGGCGCGGGGTTCTCGGCCGCGATCGTGTTGGGCGCCATGCCCGAGAGGAGGAAGCGCCACTCGAGGCCGTCGATCTCGTCGTTGCCCATGAGAATCTTGATTGTGAGCAGAAATGAGAAAAGCAGTTTGTGCTTCTCAAAGAGCGACCGGCACACGTTCTTGTAGATCGAGTAGGTAAAGTAATCGTTGAGGTTCTTGAGCCGCGCCTCGAGCTGCGGCGACGGCTTGGCGGCCAAAATCGACCGCACAAAGATCGACGTGAACCACGGCAGCGAGTACTGGTACATCGGGTCGACGCGCGCGAGGTCGGCAATGCAAAAGAAGAGCAGCGCGGCGCGGTACGCGACCGGGCGGTACCCGTCGCTGCGCGCGTCGATCTCCTTCTCGGTCTCTTCGGCCTCCTTCATCTTCTCCACGACCACGGCCGACGTTTGCTTGGAGGACGCGAGCGTCTCGATGAGATTCGTGTCGTCGAGGATGTTGCCTTGTGAGTGCGAGAGAAGGTAGAGAATTTGGTTCTCAATTTCGTACAGCTGGCGCTTGGACGCCGCGTTGGAGAGCACGAGTTCGTTCTTCTTCTCTGCGAGCTCGGGCATCTCTTTTTGCACAACGACATTCAACAGCTGTTCTTCGAGGCCTTTCATCGTGATGGTAAAGTTCAACAAGCTCACTTTGACGCAGACTTCGGGCGGGTAGTGCGGGTTGGCGAGCTTGGACGTCATGTAGAACCGGAAGCTTTCGTTGTACGGAATCACGTTTTCGCCGAGCCGAATGACGTCTTGGCCGCCTTGTTTGAACTTTTGCTGCAGCAAGACCGGCTCGAGCGCCGCGTCGAGCTCCTCCGTGACGTTTTCGAGCACGACCCACTTGCCAAAGCGGATGCCGTTCTCGAGCGCGCGCAGAAAGTTCTTGTCCGACTGCTTGACGACGTCCATGCCGTTTTCACAGAGAGCTTTTTCTTTGCCGAGGTTCTTCACAAACCGATTCGCTTGGCCTTGCGGGTCAATCAAGAGCGGCCACCGACGCGCGCGGGACATGATGATGCCGTTCTGCGTCGAGACCGTGTCGGTCGGCAGCCCCGCGATCTGCCATGTCCGGAGCTTGACGGGATCCTGAAGGGTGCCGACAATGCCGCAGCCGGGCGAGTGGGGCACTTGGTATGTCACCAGCGCGCCGTGCCAGCTCGATACCAAAGCGTCGCGGAACTCGGCCGTAAAGGCGCCGAGGTAGCTGATCGTGCCCGCGCTCACGAGCACGTCGCCCGTGAGGTTGACGTAATCTTCCTGGAGCTGCGCGACGGTCGCCTTCCAGCGCGTCTCTTCGCCGCCGAGACCACCAATGAGCTTGTCGGCGTTTGAGAGCTGCACTTGGCACTGAATGACTTTGGCCGCGAGCTCCTCCTTCTTGGCGATCGCCGCGTTGTAGCTCGCCTCGAGTTCGGCGAGGCGGTCCGTCACCTGCTTGAGGCCGGCTTGCGCGCCGCGTAGGATCTCCATCGTCGCGTCGAGCTCGGTCTGGGCTTGCGCGAGCGCTTGTTTCTTGGGCTCGACCGACTTGGCGACAAAGTAGTACGTGTACATGGCGCGCGCCCACATGCAAATGGCCGTGCACGCCTTGGACGACTTTTCGATCGCGTCCGGTGTAAAGTTCGGGTCGTCAATGTACGGCTGCACTTTGGCGATGACGGCGTCCGGAATGTTGTCTTTGTCAAAGCCCATGAGCGACTCGAGAAACTTGTTGGCGTTGGCCAAAACGACTTTTTGCGCCACGTCCCAGAAATCTGCAATCTTCTTGCCCGGCTTGTCCGGGTCGGCCTTCATCGTGGGCTTGTGCCCAAAGAGAAGGCACACGACCTCCATCGTGAGCTTGACGCCGCCCGGCGGGGTCTTGAGGGACTTGACTTCGTCAATGTCGGCCTTCTTGAGCTTGTTCAAGCACGCGACGGCCGCATCGAGCGCCGGTAGCGCTTCATCAAGGTCTTTCTGGGCCGAGTCGGCAATTTCCTTGGTCGCTCGCGCCTTTGTCGACGCACTCTCCTCCTCCTTCTCGACAAGCGCCTTTGTCACGTCGGCCTCGGCGCGATCCTTTGTGATTTGAACCATCATTTGCTCGACTTCGATCTGGGTCGCGGCGAGCACCGGCTGGAGCGCGACGAGTTCGTCTTGCATCGTGGCCACCAGCACCTTGGTTTCCGAGAGCTTGTCGACGCCGTTTTGGAGGCGGCTCTTCATCGTGTTGACGTCTTCGCGCTTGGAGACCAGGACGGCTTTGAACGTCGCGAGGAGCTCGAGGTACGACGTGGGGGTGACGTAAAAGTACCGGCGCAAAATCGAGTAATACTCCTTGCTCTTGTGCTCGACGCTCTGGTGAATGCACTTGATGACTTCGACGAGGTGCTGCATTTGGTCGGGGGACCCGAGCTGGAGGTTGCCGTCGCTGAGGATCGCGGTCGCGACCGAGTTGAGCGCTTCGGCGGGCCACTCGCTGAACCAGTCGATCGTGCAGCAGTTGACAAGCGATGGAAACATGCGCAAGCGGTCTCGGAACGCATTTCCGATCGGGCTCATGCAGATCACGAGATGAATGTTCTTCCGGACGCGGACAATGTACTGCGAGAATATGTTGGTTTTTGTCGGCGGAATTTGCTTCTTCTGGCACTCGGCCTTGCACGCGTTTACGATTTGGTCCATGTCTTCGGGACCGTAGAGATTCGGCACCGAGCCCGAGTTGAGGACACCGTTGAGGTCCTCGAGCATCGTCTCGTTGACGACTTGGACGTCTGAAAAGAGAAAGACGACCTGACTGTCCTTCAAGCCCGCCAGCAAGAGACAGCGCTTGACGTCGTCGCGCCACTCGGTCATGCCGTAGCCCTTGACGATCTCGACTTGGAAGCACTTGTAGCCGGCCATGAAGGTCGCGAGCTTGGTGAGACTTTGCCGCCCCGACCCGCCTACGCCCAACAAGAGCGCATTGCCCAGCGGCTGCCGCAAAATGCGGGCGATCCGCGAAACGTGCTCGACCGCGTCGATGAAGAGCACGAGCGGCATCGGCGTTTTGGACTCGGCGTTGTGGTCGGCCAAATACTCTTCGACGATCGGGAGGAGTTTGGCGACGTCGACGACTTCTTCGTAGATCTTGGGGTCGGCCCCTGGCACGAGGTAGTCGCCGTAGAGAAGGTACGGGTTGGTGACGATCGTCGCCAAGTCGGTCTGAAACGCCGCTTGGCACGTCGTGGCGAGGAGCGACGCAAACCACGCGTGGTCCTCGGCGCACACCATGCGGTCCTCAAAGACCCGCTTGTTTTCGTGTACCCAGAGCCGTAAGAAGCCATTGGCGTCATTGACTTTGCGCGGGTCGCACATCAAGCAGCCTTGAAACACCTTGGCGAGATCGCGCAAGTTGAACGTGTAGTGGGACTTGGCCGGCGTCGGCAAGAGCTCCTTGCAGATCGTATTGTAGACGTCGATCGACGCGGTCACGACCGATGTCTCGAGCCGCTGCACCTCGGACGGGAACGCACTCAAAAAGCTGTTGAGAATCGTCGCAAATATGATCGCCTTGTTGTCATCGCCGAGCTCGGCGTAGCACACAACGTTAAAGTGCCGGAGCAGCCGCATGGTGATTGGGTTGCGCCCGCCGCCCGGCGGCCCCATGGACGCGACAAACTGCATGTCGATGATCGCGCGGAACTGCAGCAGCTTCCGGTCGTACCACCCGCCTTGGTCAAACCACTGTCGAAGCAGCTCCAACGGCGGCTGCGCAAAGTACTTTTCGCGCTTTGGCATGTTGAGGTCGTCGACGTACACGACAAAGGTCTTGCCGGCGGGCGGGCCAAACACCCCTTTCCGGCGCTTCTCCATCTTGCTATCGAGCAGGTCTTGGGTCTGGTTGGCGCTCGTTTGCGCGGAAAACGTCATGGCCACCGGCATGTAGTCGCTCGACAGCGACGACAAGAAGCGCGAGATGTTGACGGTCTTGCCCGTGCCCGTCGCGCCGACCATGAGCACGTGCTTGCCCGTCTTGACCAGCTGCTCGAGGAGGTACGTGTTGCGCACGCTATCGGACGTAGGCACGACAATCTCGGCAAACGAAATGCCCGACGGCACGCGGTAGGCTGCGATCGTGTCCATCCAGAAGACCCACTTGTGCTCCTTCATCGAGTAACTATAGTCGTAAACAAGGCCCTTGGCCGGAAACAGGTTCGCAGCGTTGTTGGCGAGCATCTGCAGCCGCACGTACACGTCAAAGCGGATGCGCCCGAGGTCGTTGGTCGTCGCCCCGATCGACCACACCAGCGAAAACAAAAACATGGGCTCAATGTCGTTGCGAAACGCAGCGTCGGGCGTCACCGGCTCGGCTGCGAGGTACGGCGACAAAAAGCAGTTGAGAATACTGAGCAGCGACTGCGCGAGGTTGTTGTCGATCGTCGGTACGAGCTCGATGAGATACGACCGCATAAAGATCACTGCGGCGTGCAGGTACAGGTCAAAGAGGCGGAGAAAACTCGGTGCGTGGACGCTCAGCGCTTTTGGGAGCTTCTCGAGCCAGCTCATGACGAGCGGGTTCAGCCCGAGCGTGCTCGGCTCCATGTACACCATGCCGGTGCGGCTGACCGTGGCCGGCGACGCCACCGAGAGGTCCTCGACTTCAAACATCATGGTCATCTGGTACGACATTTGGAGCATCTCGCCCGAGTTGAGGCACAGCTTCTTGTTGTCGTCCAAGACCGTGTTCATGTTTTCGATCCAAATCGCATCGACGGGTCCGTCAAAGATGATCCACTTGCGGTCCGACTTTGTGCACGACGCCGCCGTGCGGTACAGCGTCGAGAGAATCCCGTCTTGCCACTCGTGCGTGTTGGCGTCAAACTCGCCGTAGAGCTGGCCCATCGTGATCGACTTGGGGTTGAGCTGGTACTTGATAACTTTTTCGTATGCAAACCCGGGCTCGTTGCGGCTCTTGAGCTCCGAGAGCGCTTGGGCGAGCACCTCAATGTTGCACGACTTGCCGCCGCCCGTGGCGCCAACGACCATGAGACCATGCCGCACGACGATCGTCTCGTAGAGCTGAATGCACTTGGTGAGAAAATACGGCACGGGCTGGAGCTGCATCTTTTGTGTCTGGAGCTTGATGACTGAGATGAGCGCGCCGAGGTCGATGACCGGCCGCTGCTTGCCGAGGAAGAGGTCCGAGATGATACCGTTGAAGAGCGGAATGTCGTGCGCCAGAAACTTTGGCAAGTTGACGTCTTGGAGGGCCCGTAGCAAGAGGACGTCTTCGTCCATGTCGGGGTCGGACCGCTTCAAGTTGCCCGCGGCCGTGATCACGGTCTTCACAGCGCGCATGCCGTAGTCGTAATGGCACTGCGACGAGAGCTGCTCCGAGCAGAGCTACGGTACAAACTAAGTAAAGTACAATCGCGCAAAATACCTTGAAGGTGGTGACCATCTTGGCGCCGAGGGCGTGGGCGTCGGCAAAGCCGTAGGCAAAGAACATGATCTCGCCAATGAGCGCGTAGTCGGGCACCATCATGGCGACGGGGCGGAAGAGCGCGGCGAGCGAGTCTGGGAGCTCGGACCGCCCGGCGTACCCCGGGTTCATCGTGATGAAGACGCCAAACTGGTCGCTGAGCTTGATGTCCGAGTCTTCAAACACGATGCGCTTCTCGCCTCGGCGGATCCCGAGCTACGAACTTGTCCATATATACATTGACATATTGATACATTGCACCTGGAGCGTCATCACTTGCTGGCCCACGACCGAGAGCACCTCAATGTCGATGCGGTTAAACTCGTCAAAACACGCCCACGCGCCGCAGGACGCCAGGCCCTACGACACACCATTTCAGTAAATATCAATGTATCGACTCGGTACCTTGAAAAATTTGCCCATCGCGATAAAGTCGAGGCCGTCCGAGCAGTTGAAGACAACGCACTGCTTTGCGAGCGCTTTGGCCAGATCTTTGGTGGTCTCGGTCTTGCCCGTGCCGGCCGGACCGGCGGGCGCGCCGCCGAGGATCATCTGAAGCGCCCCCATGAGCGTTAAATAGCACTTGTCCGTGAGCGGTGTAATGACGAGTCGGAACGAATTCCCGAGGTACTCGTAGCCGTACGGGCGCTTGGACGTGACCATTTGGGCAAAGAGGTCGTCGTCCCAGTAGTACTTGAGCTGCGAGCTCCACAAAAAGTCGGCTTTCGACTGCACGTTCTGGGCCACGAGCTTCTTGGTCACATCCCGGGCATGGACATCGATGACAGTCAGCGCGCCGAGCGTGATCCGCGTCATCTTGTCGAGGTGGCCACGCACCATGGTGACCCTAGCCCCAAGGTCAGTGGCGATCGATACAACATTGCTAGTACATGTCGGCGAGCTGGCCGAGCTGCCGATTGAGCATGAGCTTGACGCCGTCGGCGCCGAATTTGTCCATCGCTTCCTCCATCTCGCGCGTCCAGTGCATTTGGCTTGCGTTCAAGACGCACATGCCGGGCCATTTCTGCACCCACTTGCTCCGGTCGACCTTGATGTAGTCGAGGATCGCTGCGTGCATCGTGTCGCGGATCGAGGTGCGCATCATGTTTTCGACTTCGAGCATCCACAGCTCGACGTTCTTGTTCTTTGGGTCGATGGGCTCGTGCATGCGGACGCTCTCACCCTCGGCCGAGATCATGGCCGTGATCGTCAAGTCGTCTTGAAACTCGACCTTGACAATGCCTTCAAAGCACTTTTTGAGATGGGGCTGGACGAGCTTGACGTCTTTGGACTCGGACAGAATCGAGAGGAGCTCGTCGTTGGAGAGAAAGTAAAAGCGCGCAAACGACGACCGCTTCACCTCGAGGTAGTCGCTCAATCCCTTCTGCACCATGTCCAAAAAGACGTTGCTTTCCCGAAATTTCTCGAGCAATTTGGTCGAATTGCAGAATTCGACGCAGCGCGGCTTGGCGCGCGCCGACGCGAGCGTTTGGCGCCAATTTTTGTCGACGGACGCAAACCGCTTGCCCTCCAACGGCAGCTGCTTGTTGATGTCCGGGCTCTCGAAAATCGGCTGCAAATACAGCCAGCTGCGCTGCACCGCAAGCCACTCTTCGAGGATCTCGGAGATGAGCTGCAGCGTGATGTTCCACTCGGTGATGCGCTCTTCGAACGGACCTTTGAACGACGAGAACATCATGGCTTGGGTCAGCGTTATGTGCTCGTCGAGCACGACTTGGATCTCGTCGACGCCCTTGATGATGTAGGTGCCCGTCTCGCGGTACGAGAGAATTTGCAGGTCGATCGTCTCCCACTGCGTCTTCATCGCATTGAGCGCGGCTTCGATCTGGTACTCACGGCCCGCGGCCTCGGCGACTTTGACAATGTCATCGATTTGGTCGAGCAAGTTGAGCCGGAAAATGCTGTTGAGCGTAAAGCTTTCGTCGAGCTCGAGGGTAAACCCGAGGACTTTGCTGAGCTCGGCCCAGTGCCGGGGCCGCATGCCCGGGTTGCGGAGGCCGAGAATCAGCGGCACATAGGGCTTGAACACCCCGATCTGCTCCTTGATGGTCTCGGCGATGCGCGCGCACGCCTCGTTGCCGCTCGAGCTGAAGAACTTGGCGGCTTTACCGATCGTGCCGCCATACGTCTCGACGGCCTTTTCGATTTCTTCGGCGTTGACGTCCGAGAAGCTGCCTTGCGTCCACTGTTTGCGCGACTGAAGCCAGTTGTACGCGGTGCCCCAGAGCTGGTTGTACGGCTCAAACGTCTTCTTCGCGAGCGCAAGCACGTCGTAGCTAGTCATGTCCTTGCCAAAGAGCACCTCGCGCGAGTTGAAGATCGCAGCGTCCGACGACGCTTGGTCGAGCTTCTTTTGCACCGCCATTGCGTGGTGCGCAATGTCTTCGACGTGCGCGAGGTTGTCGTAGCGCGCAAACGCGTCGACTTCTTCGACCAGCGCCGATAGCGTCTTCTCGAACCGCTCTTGCTCCGCTTCCATTTGCTTGGCGAACTTGGCCTTGCGCTCGTCGAGAGCCCACTTGAAGCGCGCGCTCTGCGTGTGGATGCGACCCGGCCACCCGAGCACGTTCCACTTGAGCCGGAGGTGCTCGTCCGAGACTAGAAAACCAAAGTCGTCGACGAGGTCGTTGTTGAGGAGCATGACGCGAATGTCGTCTTGCAATGGCTGCAGCGTCGCGGGGACGGAGGCTATGTACTCTTGGAGCGCAGTCAGACCCTCGACGTCCTTGGGCGTCACGGCCAAGTTGGCGTTGATCTCGTCGAAACTGGCAGTCAATTTGGTCGCGAGGCGGTAGCAAAATGCCACTTGGGTCTCGAGCAACTTCGTGTAAATCTCAGCGTGTTTTTTCGCCAAGAAGAGCCGGACGTGGCCGACGTCGACGGCGACGAGCCCGAGGTTCAATGGCGTCGCCGGCAGCGCTTCCAGGATCAAGCGCTCGGCTTCGCGGTGCTTTTGGATCACGCGCCGGAGCTCGTTGATCTCGATCGGTGGCGTCACATCGACTTCGTTTGGGTCTTCTTTGGCTTCTGGTGCTTTGAGAAGACTGCTTAGGTACTCGAGTACGTTGAGGTTTAGAAGCGGAATGTGCTTGGCGAGGAGCTCCAAATACGCGTGCAGGGGCGCGAGCGCGTCGGTGAGCGCCGACTGCATCGACGCGCTTAGCGTCACGACCCACGGCTCGTCCATGCTTACGCAACCAATCGTGTCTTGATTGGGCCAGAAAAGCCGGTCCATGACAATCCGCTCGATGAGCTCGAGCGTTTGAACGCGATCGAGCGCGAGACCGAGCTGTGACACGACCGCGTCAGCAAACGCATGCGGCGGCGTCGCGTACTCGAAATCGTGGCCAACGACGGGTGCTATTGGCTCGAGCGGACACGGGTCGTCGCTGTCCCACGCTGCGATCGCGGCGGCGCGTTCGGTGACCGATGCGGCGTTGAGCGTCTTTGGGTCGCCCGAGATGACAACGTCGACCTTGAAGAGCGCGATGTAGGTCGGCTTGCCCTTCGTGTCGACGCGCACGTCGTGTGTGTCGGCAATGACCACGGTCTTGTCGCACATGTTGTGCACAAAGGCCGCATACGCATGAAACGTAGCAGCGACAACGTCCCGGAGACTGTCTTCGGCGACAAGGTTGACGCGGCGCAGGATCCGGCGCAATGACGACGTCTCGTACGCGCTGCGGTGGCTCTCGAGGAGGTTGTAGTGCGGGCCCATGTGGCTCATGATGCACTTGGCCGCACTCCGCGTCCAATTATCACGTAGAAACCGCATCGCGTTTTGATTTGCGAGCGTCTGCGCTGCGACAAAGTCGGCGAGGACGACCGACCGGTGCACGACGCGGCCGTCCGAGACATCGCCTGTCTGTTCTGTTTTGAGGAGCAAGTGGCCGCCCATAATGTTGCATGCATGGCGCACGTCGAGAAGCGCGCGAATCGCTGGGGGCGCGCTCAGAAACGAGTCGATGCTGGCGTCGGTCCGTCGCTGGGCAAAGTCGTACGACGGCAACTGGACCGTCCCAAACGCCGGCACGTCGCCGGCGACCTTTGGTGTCGGCAGCAGTAGCATCGGGAATTCGCGCCCGACGTCGCGGAGGTTGGTGGCCAACAAGATGGCATTCATCGTGCGCATGTAGCTTTCGTTGACTTCCTCTAAGAGCTTGGACGTGCGCGCGTTCGTTGAGAGCCGCGACGACGAGAGCGCGAAGGACAGAATGCTGTTGACGCGGTCCGCGTCGAGCTGCGCCTCGACGTCCGGCGGCATGGACTCGATGTACAGCTCGTAGCGGAGGCGGGCCTCGGCCTCGGAGCGCCGGGCGACGGCGGTCGTAAACCGTGCTACGAACAGGGCGCGCGGCTCGGCTTCAAAGCAGAGGAGCACCCGGGGCACGAGCGGCGCCCCGATGCGCGCGCCGGCGAGCCACGAGACGACAAAGAGATTCGCGCTGGCGTCGTAAGCGATGACGGTGCAGGCCGACCAGTGGCCAATGGCGCCCGTGCGCGCGTCGATGGCCAGCGCGACCGCCTTCTTGGGCCCGGTCGTCAGATAGCCGCGGCCACCAGCGTCGTCGAGGTCGGCGTAGCAAGCGATCGGTAGCTGCGGTCGCGTGAGCGCATTGTTATCGATGAGCTTCTCGACGGGCACGACGGCTTCGAGGTACTCGACGAGTGAGACGTTCTCGGGCGGCGGTGGTGGTCCGGGTGGCGGCGTCCCGCGGTCGAGACTCGCGTTCGACTGGATCTGCTTGATGAGCTTTTGGCGCGACTTGGACGGAGACAAGGACGGTGTCGCCGCGCCCACAGCTGGCAGCGCCAAGTCCGACTTCTTGTTCGAGACGCTCTTCTCGTACGCGTCGAGCTGCCCGAGCACGCTTGCGATCGACGACGCCGGCGAGGGCCGGTCCTTCTTGGGCGGCTTGGCCGTCGTCTGTGCATGCTGCATGAATGGCTACATCGCCATGATCGAACGCACCTTCTTGGAGTTCATCTTGGCGGCGAAGTCAATGCAAGCTACGGAGCATGCAGTAGGCCCGCGCTGGTCAACCTTGCGACGATTCAAGATTGAAACTCCTGTCGCAATTCACACCATTTAAAAGCTATATTTCGAGAAATACTGTTCGGAGGGTGGCATGCAGGCATGCAGGGATCACGAACGCACTGGTTCTGGACAGGATCGTGCTTGCCTGGACATATCTTTAGTGTAGCGACTTGGTGCGGCAATAGCGGAGCTGTCGAACGATGGTTGCTGTCGCAGCGACTCGGTTGAACAGACTTCACACTATTTGAAAACATTACATCACCAAATTGCTACGGAGATTTATACCGAAAATGGTGTGCATATCTGCATATTGCAAATTGCATTGCGTGGGCAAGACGATGGACGACCTGGACGAGCTCCTGCGCGACGAGGATGAGGAGGAAGACGAAGATGACGCCAAGTCCAGCGCCGAGACGGGCGACGAGGACAACGGCGACGACGCCAAGTCCAACGAGAACAGCGAGGACGAGGCCAGCGTTGAGACGCCAGAGGCCGTCGACGCTGGTGGCGAGACCGCGGAGGACGAGACGTACGACACTGCCGACGACGATGCGGCAGACGACGAAGACGAGGACATGGGCGCCGAGGCTGGGCCCGTGGACATGCTGCGGTTCATCCAGGCCATGCCCGAGGCCGACGTGCGCCGCCACGAGCAATTCCGCCGGTCCCACTTTGACAAGAACGTCATCAAGCGGGTACGTTGACGCGACTCTCCTGCTGGCTCCTCATGGCAAGAACGCTAGTGCATGACGCAGGTCATCGAAGAGGCCTGCGTGGGCGAGCGCCGCGTCCCGCCGGTCCACAACGCCATGTCCATCGTCATGTCAGGTACCCGTCTCCGTGGCCCCATTTCATCATCATCCTTCTTCGTCGTCGTCTAGGGCTGGCCAAGATGTTTCTCGGCGAGCTCATTGCCGAAGGTAATATGCGCGATCCACCATCATGTCCATCATGAGCTCATCGTAGCGCGCAAGATCATGGCGCATGCCGGCGACGACGGCCCGATCCGGCCGCACCACCTCCGCGAGGCCCACCGCAAGTACTACAAGCGCCACCCGTTGATCCGTGGGCGCAACCGGCGCCGACTGCTTAAGTAACAAGCGGCGTAAAGTCGACACAAAGGTTTATGAATCTGCGACTCCATCAAGAAGGGGACAGCTGGCTACGGTTGCGGCGCATCGATGATGCTGTGCACGGTCACCTCGTCGGCGTCGTGCTTGGCGGTCGCAATGGCGCGTCGCACAGCCTCCAGCATTGCCGCCACCGAGAGCGTCGCGGGGTAGCTTCGGGCTTGCTGCGCCTCGTACACAGCGTGGTTGAAGCCCTTGCGCCAGAGGTCCTTGACCGCGTGCGAGATCTTCCGCTGGCGCTCGGCGCGGGCGACCGCGAGCTCCTGACGCGAGCGCGTCATCGCTTGCTGGCACATGATGTAGCCGGTGAAGAGGACGCCGCAGAGGTTCACGCCGAGCATGACGTTGACGACGAGGTCTTGGTTGATGAGGTCGAGGCCGGTTTCCGCCACGAGCAGCAGCACGATGCCGACCCAGAGCGTCAAAATGATCTGGAACTGCGTCATGCTGTTGACAATGTTGTCGGTCCACTCGTTGTACGGGCGGTAGTAGAGGAGACCGGCCATGAGGACCACGCTAGACGGACGTCATCGATTCCCGCAGTGTCCCGACTTCTTTCACTTTGTACCTGATGGACATGCTGAAGATCGACTTGACGACGGGTTTGTTCTTGAGAAACATGACGACGCCGCTCAAGAGCAGCTTCCTACACCAGGTGTGAGAAGAAGATAGCGATTTGGCCAGAGACCGAACGAGGTCGAGCACATCAAACCACCAAAAGCGCGGCTTGTCTACTCAAAAAAGAGTAAAAACACAAAAATTGCGGGGATCGAAGCGACGCACAGTTGGCGTAGATGAAGCCCACTTTGAGGACGTTGGTCTCGTCGACGAGGTTGAGCATGTACATGTACTCGCGGAGATAGCCGTTCTCGACGGCTGCAAACTCGTTTTCGCGCACATGGATGCCCCGCTCGTTGGCAAAGTACGCGCGCATGCGCTTGGCCCACTTGGCGCGCAAGTCGCGGTACCGCGGCTGCTTGAGAATGTCCAGTCGCGCTTCGACGTTGGTCGTTCGGACGCGGTAGACGACGAGGAAGAAGAGCACTGGGACGCCGACGACCCAGACACCGACGCACGCAAAGCCGATGGTCGCGTAGAGCGACCACGTGAGCGTGTAGCACTGCAGGCGCCGATCGAGCACGAGGTACGAGACGCCGCCGACGTCTTGGCAGTTAAAGACGTTGAGGATCGTTTGCGACACCATCGGGTACAGCACGAGGAGCAGCCTAGTGATGTATGAACCCTAAACCCCGAATTTTTCTCAAAATACCACAAAAATTTCTGAAAACACTTGGACCGGTACGTGTTGTAGTTCATGCGGAGCTTGACGCGCGCCTGCCACACGCGGAGGTTGCTGCGCAGTGTACGGTCGAGCAGCGCGCCAGAGAGGACGTCGTCGGTCGGGCACGGCCGCGTAATGTGCACGGCCGGGAAGATCGGGAGGACGTCGGTCTTGACTTGGGACATGCCCAGCTCGCGCTTGAGCCGGCGTTCGTCGGAAGCGAGCTTGTCCATGGGCGGGCGCACGATCGACTTGAGTCGGTGGATGTTTTGTTTGGCCTTGATGCTCATCCGGTGGCGCTTCTCCATGTACTTTGGAATGTCCTTGTACACTTGGCGCGAGAACTTGTCGTGGACCGGGTGCCCGCACTGGATGCAGTTGCGCGGAATCGATGACAGTTTGGCTTCGTAGTCCTTGATACCGCGCATGTAGCAGTAGAAGAGCGTGCCGAGGAGGAACGCGACGATGCTTAGTTGGAGCCTACACCAACGTTGAGACTTGACGGACAATGTATCTGAACTGTACACAAAATCAAAATAGAAAGTCCGCGCGAGGATGCAGTCGAGGCCCGCGATCGAGATTAGGTCCTACGCGTGCGGTCGTAGCCAGGAAGAAATGGAGAGGTGCGTACGAGGTTCACGGACGACGACGTGGACATGGCCCAGTTAACGTTGGCGTTCCAGTTGATCCCATACGTTTTTTTGAGATTGCCAAAAATTTGGAAAAACCCAATCATAATCTTGATCTTCTCGGGGCTGAAGTAGATGCTGCCGATGACGTCCACGGGCGCGACGCCAAAGAGGATCGCGGTGTTGTGCTTGGCCTTCTCGGCCGCTTTCTCGGCCTGTTTGGCGCGGAACGCTTCGATTTTTGCCTCGACCCACAGCTGCAGCTTGCTTTTCACGGCGACCGGCGGCGTGTACAGCTTGTGCTTGCGGTCGTGCTGGGCCTTGTCCAAGAGCGGGATCTCCGTGCGGTCCTATATATGTTCGTATGGCGCCCACCGACATCAACGTGGAAGGCTACCTTGAGCGAGATGCGAAGCCAGACGGCGATGAGCAATAAGAGTAGCAGCGCCAGAACCGGCAAGACAAAGTTGGTCCACGACACTTCGCGCCGAATCTGTGCATTGACCTCGGCGCACGCTACGGATTTTGATGCATTTTCAACGACATCGGATCAGCGTACGCTGACAGGACCCGTTGGTCGCACGCTTATAGCCATCTCTGCACACGGAGCACATGATCTCCTGGTACCCGGCTTCACAAGGAATCGCCGACGCGTTGTATGTGATTGTGTCGATATAAATGTCTTGGGGGCACGCGCCAATGATCTACCAATCGAGAAATGATACCTTGATAGATTGATAATGCCGCGTACGTCGCACGCATAGAACGCCATGTTGGTCTGGCACGCAAACCGCCGGTCGGTCGGCCAGTACTTGCTCATGAGCGCGGCGTTGCCGTACTGAATGCACTCGTTGATGACCGACGCGACGTCGATCGTGATGCGCGACGTGAGCGCGCCGCCAGCCGCGCTTACTGCAAACGGCAGGCACGGATCGGCGGCTTCCCAGTTGTACGGGTTGCAGTCCGACTGCGTCGTCGCTGGCGCCCGGTACGCCATAAAGTCACTCTGCGTCCGCGGCACGGCGACACCGTACGTGAGCGCGCTCGTCGTCACGGGTGTCCCGACGTACTGCGTGCAGCTCGCCCCCGTCGGACAGTCGTAGCAGTTGACGCCGTCGAGACTAGTTACATGCTTCGCTACCACGTGTCAAGTCGTCATCGGTACCTGTATTGGTTGTTGCTGCATCGGTTGCAGCGCCTAGAGACAAAACGCCGAGATCACATCGCTGTGACAGGCAACGAGACGTACTTGTCGCCGGCCAGGCTGTAGCCAGCGGGGCACGGGAGAACGATCATACTGATGGGGCGCGAGAGGACCGTGCTCGACGACGGAAGGACGCAGGACGCTTGGAGCTGGTACGAGGCGTTGCGTGCGTCGGCAACGACCGTCGCCCCCGGAAACCACGCAACGCCCGAGGCCGCGTTGACCCGGTACGCCGGGTCGAACGTCACAAGATTATCCGAGACGTTGACCGCTGTCACAAAGCAGTAGGTGCTATTCTCGGTGAGCGACCGCTGCCCGTAAAAGTCTTGGACTTCGAGCCGCGGCCACACGTCGGAAGGCGAGGCCGCAGTTAGATTGGCCGGTACGGTGATGGTCACCGTGTCGGGCACTTGAGTCAAACTCAGCGCGCTGGACGCATTGGATGGCCACCAGAGGACGTCGAACTGACTCGAGTCGGTGGCGACGTCGTACTTTGTATTGCCGCCAATTTGGCAGTCGTCGCATGCGTAGACGGGCGTGCCGACGAACCAAAAGACGCCGCCGCCGCTGAGCGCTTGGTTGTTTTCGATACGGAGGCGCGCCAGCTGCTTGGCGGACGCAACTGTCAGATAAATCCCACCGCCGCGGAATCGCGCTACGTTGTCACGCAGGGTGCTGTCGCTGACGTTGACCAACGCCGACGTTGTGAGCCCAATGCCGGCGCCGTCCGTCGCGCGGTTGCTCGTCAGATTCGCCCCCGACATTTGAACGGTTGCCAGGCCGACGACTGCCAGCGCTCCGCCGAGGCCCGACGCGCGGTTGGCGTAGAACGTCGTGTTGGTTGTTGTCAACGACGCCAAGGACCCAGCGGCGATTGCACCACCCATGCCACCCGAATTCTCGGCAAATGCACAGCTGGTCACGAAAGCCGTGGCTTTGAGCAGGAGCAGGAGACCGCCGCCGTCGGTCGCCGCGTCGTTGCTCTGGAACGTGGATGCCGTTGCAAACACGATGCCACTTCGATCGACAGCGACGCCGCCGCCTTCGTCCGCTTGGTTTTGGGTAAATGCGCACCCGGTGGCGCGACAGGTCGTGTCGGTCACATACACGGCACCACCGAGCGCCGCCGCGTTGCTGGCAAAGCTTGTTCCGACGTACTCGTTGACCGAGTCGCGCCCGGCAGCGACCCCTACACCGCCGATTGAGATGCAATGTAAGAGACGCTGTGATGTACCGCCGCCGTAGTGCAGCGCCTTGTTGTTGCGAAGAATCGAGTTGGTGAGTTTGAGTTGGTTGCTGCCAATGTCGACAAGGAACGCCCCGCCGTCGTTCGTGACCGTGTTGTCGTGCACCGTCGTCGTCGCAACTGTCGCCATCGACTTGCCCGTGACGTAGACCGCACCGCCGTCGTAGATAGCGCCTACAATCCCAACGTTAAAACCCTTGGTATCACCAAGCAGCTTCATGGTCAACGTACTGCAGTAACCCACGTCCGAGTTGGTCAGCGTCAGGTTCGCCTGGGCCAAATACACGGCACCACCAAATTGGAGCGCCGTGTTATTAGCCACCGAGCTCGCCAAAATGGACACGACGGCTTGCGAGACAAACACCGCGCCACCGTACGTAGCGCTCGCGTACATCAGCCGCGACCCCGAGTCCAAAGTCATGGACGACTGGCCGATGATGTAAACAAGACCCCCGCGGTTGGTGTCGCTGTTGACGCACGAGACACCATCGACGCCGATGCCGGTGCCCGAAAATGTGCAACCGGACGCAATCCCCGACGACTGGGACGAGATGCTGAGTGTGCCGCCGTCGGTCGCTGCGTTGCAAGCAAAACTCGAGGAACGCAGCGTGAGCTGCGACGAGGCCAGCGCGGTGATGGCGCCGCCGTCGCCCGCAGAAACGTGATTGGAGAGCATTGTCGAGCTCGTTACCGAGAGGGTACTGGCCTGGAGGTAGAGGGCGCCCCCGGATGTACCAACGTTTTGCGACACCTCGGACGACACAACGTCGAGACGACCGGCGCCAAGGAACACAGCGGCACCTTGCACCGCCGTGTTGCGCGTCACTTGGCAGTTGGTGAGGGTAATTTGCAGCGGAGCTGCGCCGTAGATGGCACCACCCGCCGTATCCGCCGTGTTGCCATTCAAATCGCAGCTGTTCAACGCGACGACGGCCGCGGCAGCGACAAAGATCCCCGCGCCTTGGTTGGCGCGGGCGTTTGTGATCTGCAACGCACTCAAAGCGACGTTGGCAGCACCGCCGCAATAGACATTGGCACCGCCGAGGCCTTGGATGGTGTTGGCCGTCACCTGCGACACGGCGCCGTTGCCGACGATGCGACTGGCGCCAAAGAGGGCGACGCCGCCGCCGACGTCGACCGCTTGGTTGGCCGAGACAATGAGATTGCTGTGGGTGAGCACCGAGTTGTTGAGATGCAGGCCGCCGCCTTGGTTGGCCGCGTTGCCCGACACAGTGGTGTCGACCATTTGCCAGGTGCCGTCAAGAAGACGGAGGCCACCGCCGCCAGTCGTCGCTGTCGACGTTGCAATCGTGCACTGGGCCAAGGAGCCCGAGGTACCGACAGAAGAGATGCTGCCGCCTAAGGGCGCTTGCCCCGCTGAGAAGGCAACATACATGAGCTGGCTCGGCCCCCCGACGTACGCGTTCCCGCCTTCGACTGTCGCCGTGTTGGCATCGATCACGAGTTTGGTCGATGCCGACGCGCTTTGCCGAGTTAGCGTAGAGCTCTCGAGGTAGAGACCGCCGCCCTTGGCCGCGACGCAGCTCCGAACGGAGGACGTTGTGTGGTAGACGATCGCACCGGAGAGTGCAAGGCCGCCGCCGGTGCCCAGTGACGAGCACGTATCGACGCGAACGTTGAGGAGACTTGTCGTGCCTTGCAGGAACATACCGCCCCCCATCGTCGTTGCTGTGTTGCTTGCGACGGCGAGGTTGTTGACAAACGAGGTGCCGCTGCAGCTGACGCCACCGCCGCGGGTGGCGCGGTTCCTGGCGACGGAGCTCGGGGTGGTGGTCGACATGACCGTCAGCGTCGCACTTGACACATCGATACCGCCACCCGTTGGCGCCGAGTTGTCGACGATTGAAACGTCCGTCATTTGAACGAATACGGTAGCCAATGCGAGACCGCCACCGCGACTTGCGGCCGAGCACTGCGACACGACGACGCCGTTGAGCGCCTGGAGAGTAGTTGCACTGCTGGCCGTGGCAAAGATACCACCCCCTTGGGACGCCGAGCAGCTGCGAACGAGCGTCGACACGAGCGATGATGCGCCATTCAAATACACGCCTCCGCCAACACCGACGGCCGAGTCGAGTGTGACGGAAAGCGACCCCGTCGCGCGGCTGTCGACGAGCGCGACACCGCCGCCGTTGCCTTGGGCCACGTTGTTGCTCGTGGTGACGCTCTGAGCTGTGCACGTCGAGGCTTGTAACGCGATACCTCCACCATTCGTGGCCGCCGTGTTGCTGTCGAGGAGCACAGACTGCAATGCAAAGGCGGAGTTCACTGCGTGCAGTCCGCCACCGAGCCTCTGACTGGAGCATTGGGTGATGAGGAGACCTCGCAGTACGCCCGTGCTGCCGCTGAGCGCGACGCCCCCGCCGCCAAGTCCTACATGCGTCAAAGTAACAGACTTTAACCATGGGAGCTCGTACCTGCCGAGCTGCTTTCAACCACAGTCCCCGTAAACGAGAGTGTTCCACTCGACTCCGAGTAGATGCCGCCACCAAAGCCGTTGGCGCCATTGGACGCAAGAAGTGACGCCGTGTCGGTCACGAATGCATTCGTTTGGACAGCGACACCGCCACCGTTGCCAAGTCCGCGGTTGGCATCAACCAGCAGGTTGGTGCTGGTGAGACCAACGCCTGCAACACTGACACCGCCGCCTGTCTGCGCAGTGTTGCCTCGAAGGTGGATGCCTGCGGCCGTCGTGCCTTGGAGCGTTGCGGTGCCGACGATGGCGATGCCGCCTCCGTAGTTTGACGCCGTGTTGGTGTGCACGACAGCGTTGGTGCCGGTGACCGTTGACGTGCTACTGAGGTACAGACCGCCGCCATCTCCCGTCGCCGTATTGCCATAGATGAGCGCGTCGGTGATGCGCAAGGTACTCTGAATTGCATAGATGCCTCCGCCACGCTGGGCGCGGCAGCCCGTCACGTTCGACTGCTGAAGCATTAACGTGCTGTGGTCGACGTAGATGCAGCCGCCGTTGGCATTGGCGCCGCCACTGAGAGAGCACGATCGGACTTGAAGGGTGCCTTGCGCCATACTCAATTGACTGCCCTGGAGCCCAACGCCGTGAATCGTGAGCTCGCCGCCTTGCAGCTGCCACGCACTGCCTGTAGCACATGAGATGACGGTGAATGCAGCGCCAAAGAGCCCCCGCACGGTGAGGTTCCGGTTGGAGAGCGCCCACATGCAGTTGGACTGCGACGTGTACGTGCCAGGGTACAACAGCAGCGTCTTTGGCACCGTCGCGTCGACCGAGAAGAGTCGCAACGCTTGTTGGATGGACCGGACGGCTTTGCTCGCCGTGCCCGACGCCGTCACGCCCATGATTTCGCCAGTGCCGCGGGTATCGTCGCCTTGTGCGGGGTCCACAGCAATGACTTCACCCGCGAGGCCCATGAGCGTTGGACACCGCGTCGAGGCCACCGTGGCGTCGCAAAAAATACGCTGGCTGCAGTCTTCGCCCGTAAAACCAATACTGCACACACAGTTGCCCGACGCGCCCGCGCAAAGACCGTTGCCAGCGCACGCGACGTTGCCGACCGACGGACACGCCACCCGGCTGGCAACGACGGTCGTCGACATGTTGACAGCGCGCGACGTGAACGTGAGCCCGGCGCGCGTGACCGTTGCATCCGAAGTGAGCGCGATCTGAAGCGCCGTGTTGGCTTGCGACGAGACGAGCGTGAGACCGCCGGTCCGTGGGCACCCGCCGCGCCACAGCGTCGTCGGCTGGTTGAGCGAATCGAGCTCGGTGACGACCACAACATCGTGATTGCACTCGAGTGAGAAGAGCGAAAACTACGTAAACATGAGTGGAAACATTGTGAAGAGCTCGATTGTACGTCGAGCACGGTGTGCTGGTTGAGGCCGAGGGGCCGTGCGAGCTGCCAGGTGACATGCGCGTTGTTGTCGTACCTGCTCTGCACGATCGGCGTCGACGAGAGCACGCAACTGCTGTACAACGACGGCGACGGCAAAGTTGTCACGGACACTGGAAAGCTCCACCGACTCCACGTGACACCGTCCGCTTGCAGCACCTGCAGCGCGTACGTGTACGTCGCGCCGATGGCTACGGCAGAATCGACAAACGACTGCGTCCTGAGGTCCCGGAAGACGGCCCCATCGCTTCGCTGCAAAGCATACGCAGCAGCTTGCGCAGTCCATACCAAAGATACCGACGAGCGTGCGACTACCAAATATATGAGCTGCCACTCAACAGTCGAGGTACCACGTACCACACAAGACAGTGGGCGCCACTGGCATGTTTGGGAGCGCGACGGTCTCAACGACGAGCTCGTCGGTCGTGTCACCGGCGACGACAAAGTTTATGGCTTGCTACATATCGACAATACGTAAGAACAACAACGAGGATCGGTGATACTGACCACAGTAACAGCGTACGCGGTTGCCGACGCCAGCCCCGAGATCGTGGCTGTCACGCTACTGGTCGTATCTGTCGGTGCTGCGACTGAAAGCGTCGTCACAAAGGTGCCGCTGGCAGCAACCGAGACGGTGTAGCCAGTGATGGCGAACCCGCCCGTGTCGACCGGCGGTAACCACGAGAGCACGAGCGTGTCGGTTGTCCCACTCACAAGCGACAGTTGCTGTGGTACCGAGGGCGGTGTTGTTCCCGACGTACTCACCAGCGTCGACGCACTCAGCGCCGAAGGTCCGATGCTGTTGGTGGCTTGAACCGTCGCAGTGTAGCTCGAGAGTCCGTCAAGACCGCCGATGACGCAGCGGAAAATGAGCCCCGTGCACGAGTAAGACGCAAACGTATCGGTATTGACGACGCGAAGAACGTAGCTTGTGATGGAACTACCCCCCGTGTCGACAACCGCAATCCACCGAAAATCAATAGTCCCCCCCGTGACAGCCGCAATGGTTGGTGCGGACGGCGTACCGGGGGCGGTGGGGGGCGACGTCGCCCCCGATTGAGGACTTGACCCCGGGCTAGACCCGCCGGCGCTCGACACTGTCACCACTTGAAAAACGTAGCTTGTCGACGGATTGAGATTGCCAACCGTGACTCCGCCTGCGGATCCCGCGAGGCGGCGGCGGCGGCTCGACGCACTGGGTGTCGTCGTCGGCGCAGCAAGCGCGGCTACGTATTCGGCGTGGGAAATGTTGGCGACCAGCACGTTGTTGGCGTACACGGCGTAAAAGATGTTGGCGAGCGCAACGCCGCCCGTATCGTCTGGCGGTGTGAAGGCCAAGACGACCGCGCCGCCCGACTGTCCGACAACGATGGGGCTCGATGGAGCGGCCGCTGGCGACGGGTTGCCCGTCATGAAGCTCGCGTAGACGCTGGCGGCCCCGGTGCCCATGATATTGATCGCACTGACGCGGACGCTGTACGTCGTTTGCGCCAAGAGCCCCGTGATCGTTGCAAACAGTGCACTTGTCGTCGTCGTTGCCGTCATACCTTGCACTTGAATCACGTAGCTGATGACGGGACGGCCGCCGTTGTCCACTGGGGGCGACCAGCCCACAGTGAGCGACCCGCCCGTGTGGTTGAGCAACACGGGTGGATCGCAGGGCCCCGGCGCCGAAAGCCCCGCCGTGACGAACGTCGCCTGCGTGACGTTCTGTGACGTGCCAACGGGCGACGCGACGGCGATTTGGAAGAGATACGTCGTTTCCGGCTGCAGGTTGAGCACCCAGTACGTTGTGCCCGTGGTGTTGCCCACAACAGCCCACACAGGCGTTAGCGACGGCGCCATCGACAGGGTGTACGTGAGCGGCACATCCAGGCCGACGCCCCGATCGATCGGTGGCGACCACGCGAGGTAGATCGCCCCGCCGGTACTTTGCGGGCTCGTGAACAAAAGCACTGGCTGCGGCAGAGTCGATGTGTTGGCTTGCAGCAGAGTCGCTGCGCCAACAACGCCGAGACTCAGCGCCTCGCACGACGACTTGAGCGTCATGGCGACAACCGAGACGCTGTAGATTGTCGACGGCGTAAAGCCCGGAACAAGCGCGATCTGGTCAATCTGCAGCGACGACGATCGAGACACTGTCGTCGAGACGATGCTGAAACCCGACACTTCCGTGCTGTTGACAAAGATGCGATAGCCTGTTACGGGCAGACCCCCTACACTCACGTCGTTGACAGCAATCCTGAAGAAGCTGAGAGCTTACCCGTGTCGCTCGGCGAGAGCAATTGCAGCTGAACGACGCTGCCCGATGCATAGTCGAGTCGCAATGGCGCTGGCGGTGGCCCTGGTAACGTTGCCACCGTCGTTCCCACGGTAAAGAGCCCCGACGCTGTGCCACGCGCCACCATTCTCTGTGCGTTGAGCGATGGTCCCGAGTACACGGATGATAGCTGAATCGTATTGGCTCGTGCTTGCACCGGCGACGGTTGCCACAAACCGCCCTAATCACCGACATCGGCATCCCGCAGAGGCGACATCGAACAACGTACGGCCATCTCGATCGTATAAACCGGTAGCAACTGGAGCGTGCTCGCATTGGTCGAAATGGCGTCCGTGCCCATCGCGATCGACCCCACCGCGGGCAGCACAACATCACCGAGTGTGTTGCGGGCCACGACGACAAACTGATAGGTCGTGAGCTGGCTAAGCGGCGCGATGACCGCGGTCGCTGCAGTCGTCGTTGTATACAGCGCCAGTCCCGTGTCCGAGGCCATGTAGACGTTGTAGCCCGTAATGCTGACGCCCCCTAGCACCTGTGAATACCATTAAGTCGATATAGGGGTGCGTACCAGTGTCGAGCGGTGGCAGCCAGCGCAGGGTGATGGCACCGCCCGTTTGCACTGGCGACGTCACAAGCCGTGGCGCACCGGGCAACGTGGCTGCCGATGTGAAGACGGAAAAATTACTCCTGAGGTTGCTGTAGCCCACCGCGTTGGCCACCTGCGAGAACTGACTCGATTCCTTTCGGGCTTTGGAACATACCTGAATTTGAACGACGTAGGTGCTTTGAAACTGAGGCAAGTACGCAATGTACGAGGGCGAGGCTCGCGTGTCTTGCGCCTACGACACACTGCAGTTCCGTTCAAGCAAGGGTGGACGTCGTACGATAAACGCATTCCGGCTCGGACTGTAGAGAAACACGGTAAAGTTGGTGATTGGGACACCACCTGTGTCGAGCGGTATTGAAATTTGCAACTGGGCGTACCCGCCGCTGGCAGCGGTTTGGTTGATTTGCACCACGGGGCCTGGCAGGGACCTCGAACTGGTCAACGCCGTCGCATTGGCTTCGGGCCCGACGCCGACAACGTTGACAGCAGCAATGCCCACGGTATACGCTGTGAGCTCGGTGAGGTTGCCGACGAGTGCCGTTGTCGCGTTCGTCGGTGTCGTCAGCACAGAGTGCAGTCCCGATGCCGATACGACGCGCAGGGTATACCGAGACACGGTAACACCAATACCGCCAAGGTAGACCGGCGACGCCCACGTAAGGTTCAAAAGGCCGCCGGTGGCTTGGTAGCTAACGGACGCGACCGACACGGCGCTTGGCACCATTGGTGTCCAGTCGTTGAAGATCGTGACGCATGTCGTCGCGTTGCCCGTGGCGTTCACGTAGCCGCCACCAGAGACTTTTTGGAGTCCGATGCAGAAAAACCGTCGGGGAAAGAAAGGACGCTGGTTGTTGACGATCGAGACCGACAGCGATGCCGTTGTTGCGCCGTCGGCAAAGGCGATGCGTTGATTGGGCAGAATCTGATACTCGAGGCCCGCCAACGACGTCCCGTCGACACTTGCAGAGACGTCCAACGGGGTCCAGACAACCGCTGTCGACACTCCGAGGCGGCGAAGAATGGGAACCGACACGATGCCGGCATCTTCGCGAACCAGTTGCGTCGCAGAGGCAAACGAAAAGACGCCGGCGTTGATTTCACAGTCCACGGCGACCGTTACCGTGGTGGCCAACGGGTCGACACCGTTCTTATCGCCGTCGCCACTCAGCGTCACTGTAATGGATTGGCTCGGCACATAGACGCTACTGGCTGGAATCGTAATCGGAACCGACGCCGACGTCACCAAGTTGGCCAGCGTCACCTGCGCCGGGCACGACGGTGTGATGCCGACACCGACGCACGTGACCGAGAGCACAAGCGCGTCCGAAGACCCGTTGGTGCGCACCAGAGGCAAACTAAATGTACCTACTGACGAGAGCACCGACATGGTGGTGATCGCCCAGCCACCCACACCCTTGGCGAGCGGCACGGTGGTCACACTGAGCGGCGCGGTCGTCGCACTTGTACCAGCGCTATTGGAAGCTTGAAGCGTCACCTCATACGTCGTAGCGTCTTGTAGGTTCCCGATGGTGACACTCGTCCCTGTGCTCGTAGCGACAGCAACACCGACTTGTGTATCGTTGACCATCTCAAAGACGACTACATTGTACTGCAGCTCCTGCAGCCGCCCGCCCGAGTTGCGCGGCAGTAGCCAGCTGAGCGCAAAGCTCGTCGTATTCACGTCGACCACCAACACGTTGCGTGGTTCAGAAGGCGCGACGACGGGGCCAGTTGTAAAGTGCAAGGGAGCGCTCAGCGGACTCTCCCCGACACCCGTGACGGCCGTCGTCTGGAACGCGTACGCCGTGTCTGCTACGAGGTTGACCAACGTCCACTGGAGTAACGTCGCGGCGGTGGTGCTCCCGAGCAGTTGCCCATCTTCGTAGATCTTCATCACGAGAATCGGGAGACCGCCAGTTTGTCGAGGTGCCACTGCCTGCAGCGTCGCTACGCTGCCCGAGTGGTCGAGAATGATCGGTGTTGGTGGTGCTTGCGGTAGTGTCGCGCTGCTGGTCATCACATTGAGGCTCGTGATCGCACTGGCGCCGACCGTGTTGTTGTTGAAAATGACGATCTCGTACGCAGTGCGCTGGTCCAGTGCCCCAAAGGGGCACGGCGGACGCTGCGCCACCAGTTGCTGAAGGAGCACGGTCTCGTTGGAGTACAGCTGACACACGGTAGTCATGTCGGCGACACCGCCGGTCGACGTCGGCGCGCCCCAAGCCACAGAGATGCTCCCACCCCCAATCGATGACGTCATGGATGTCGGCGTCGACGGTGCCGTGGCGGGGCCCGTCGTTACGAGAAGCGCAGACGACATGACTCCTGGCAGTCGGCCGTTCAACGCTTGAATAGCGTACCGGTAGGTTGTATTGGCTAAAAGGCCGCTGCGGTCGACGACCGCCGGTGTCGGACCCGTAGATGCAACGAGTGCGTCGTCGCGATACACGGTGTAGCCGACGATGGACGCTCCGCCCGAGTCGAGTGGCGACAGCCACGTCAACGAGAGCACATCGGCACCCACCGATATCGCCGACACGTTGAGCGACGGACTTGGCGCCGAGACTTCGCGGGTCGCGGCCGAGAGCGTATTGCTTGGCGGCGACTGCCCAACACTGTTGACTGCCACAATGGTAAAGCGGAAAAGCGTCTGCGAAGATAGCCCGTAGACGCTGCAGCTGACGGTCGATGTTGTGCACACGACGGCGTTCGTCGAGTTGCGGACCCAGTAGACAGCCACTGGCGTACCGCCATTGTCCAACGGCGGCTTCCAGCCCAACGAGAGCATGCCGCCCGTTGCGGCCAGAAGCGACACCGAGAACGGCGCCGATGGGACGGTCGACACGCCCGTGCGCGCGACGACGCGAGAGCTTTCTTGGATCAGCGACGGGTTCAAACAGTGACTCAGAAGCGTCACTGCCACAACCGAGAAGGCGTATGTCGTGTTGGACGCAAGACCATAGATCGTCGTCTCAAGCGCGAGGCTCGAGTCATTTTCATACACGACAGTCGGCGCGTTCGTGACGAGATCGATCATGTTGTAGAGCCGCACAAAGTAGCCCGTAATGGGAGTGCCACCCGAGTCGAGTGGCGGCGCCCAGCGCAGTGCGACGGCGCCCCCCGTGGGGGGTGCGGCGACTGCGATCGCCAATGGTCCCGACGGTGCCGTTACCGCTAGCGTCGAGATGAAGACTGTGCTTGACGACGCGCTCATGCCCTACAATAGCAACGGTCAGCCACGGAGTTTGTACTGCCCACCGGGACGCATACCGCAGCGTTCCCAACTCTGCATTGAAACCCATACGCTGTGGCCGCTGCAAAGCCATACGCGGTTGTGATAGGCGAGGACCCGCTGTAGACTTGCGTGAACAGGTTGGGACGTGCGACGCTGTTGATATACAGGACGTAGAGTGTGAGTGGCAAGCCGCCCGTGTCCACGGGGCTCGGCATCGTCACCGTTATCGCACCGCCCGTCGCCGAAACAAGCACTGGCGCCAACGGCGTTGCGGGCACGTTTGCCACCGCCGTCGTGCAGGTGATGCTCACCGCGTCACCAACGATGTTGAAGCTGTTGACGGCTTGAAGCACCAACGAATACCGGGTGAGCTGCATCAGGCCCCGCCACGTGAACGAGGTGCCATCGTACATTTGTGCAAGGGACGACAAATTCGTCGACTGCGCGTTCAAAATGTTGTAGCCCAAGATGGGCAACCCACCAGCGTCGAGCGGTGGTGCCCATGTAACGGTGACGCTCCCACCAGTTTGACTCGCACAGACGACGTTGCGCGGGCGGCTCGGTGGCGTTGGTGCCGTTGTCTGGACGTACACCGTCTCACTGGGCGCACCGACGTAGACGTTGGTGCCCGACGTCACCGCAACCGAGTAGTTTCCATTGGCCACGAGACCATTTAAGTCGACAGTGGGCAGCGAAGTGTTCAGAGACGTCGTGTTGATGCCTGGCCCAGACAGCACCACCAAGTAGCTTGTCACAGAAAGGTTGTAGCCTCCCGTGTACGTGGGTGGCGTCCAAGCCAGGCGCAGAGAGCCGCCGGTAGCGCTAACCACTTGCATTTGCGTCGGCGGCGCCGGCGGGGACACGACGTTTCGACCGAGCATCAGCACCGACGTTGTCGTTAGCGCTGGCGCAGCAAGTGCACACGAGTTCGTGCCATCGACGAGGGTAAGCCCGATTGTAAAGCTGAGCGGAGGGTCGTGGTACGTTTGGTCGTTGAGGAGCAAGACAGTCGCGACGGTCGTCGTATCGTTGACTGGAAACGAAACAAACATCGGGATCGATGCAATCTGAACGCCGAGTTGCGCGGTCGACGTGGACTGGACGAGAAACACACTCACGTTTACGTCCGTGTACTTGCCGAGGGTGCGCACCAGTGGCACGTCGACGGGTGTCGTCGTTGGTGCCAGCGTTACGACGGTCTGCGACGGTTGTTGGAATGCCACCATACCGCCGTCGCCGTCATCGTTGATGACGATCTCCGTCGAGGCGGCTTCACCCACTTGGACCGCATCTGTTTGCACGAGCGTAATGTTGAAGCGGCGTTCGCTCGTTTGACACGCAAAGTTGTTTCGGAGCTTGATGGTAATGCTGGCGTTGCTGGCGTCGGCGGTGAACGTGGCGTTGCCCGACGCCGCCATGTAGTCGCGCCCGGCGACCGCCGATGCATCCGTCGTGTAGTAGCCAACAACTGATGCGACGCCGGTGGCATTTCGTGTCGCAATCACGGTGACAAAGGCGTCGCTCTCCAGGACGTGGGTGATCTTCGCGATCATGGACGCCGTGCCGGCAGCGCCGACGGTCGTCGTTGCAGTGGCGTTGGCCATGACACTGGTGCCTCCTGCCGTTGCAACCTGGATGCGTATGGTGTACGTTGTGAGCGGCTGAAGCGACGAGAGCACGATGGTTGGGCGCTGGCTTGTCACGACGCTCGAGGCATTGGCTCCGATATATGCCACCATGAACGTCATGTCGCTCAGGCGCGCCCCGCCCGTCACACGCGGGTAGGCCCACGATACGGTCAATGTTGTTCCCGTGGCTGCAACAACTACGATAGTGTCGACGGGACCGGGAACTGTCATCGACGCCGTCGTCGCCAAAAGAGGAGCCCCGAGGAGAGAGCTTCCGATGGCGTTCACAGCGGCAAACTGCACTGCATAGAGCGTCGAGGCGTAGAGACCTGTAAGTACTGTCACGTTGGGCGCCGCTGCCGACACGGTTGCCACAAAAGAGCCATTGACAAATACTCGATATGCGACAAGCGGGGTCCCCCCAAAGTCGTACTCACTCGTCAACGCGCTGACGTTGACAACAAGTGCTGTTGAGTTGGCACTCGCGAGCAGCGGACTGGCAGGGCTGCTCGGGATTGTCGCTGCAGACGTCGAGGCCGAACAGCTGACGGGCAGACTTGACCCGGCAGCGGTGGTGACCACGGTCGATATATCGTACAAGGTCTGTGCCGTCAGCCCCGAGATGGTTGTCCTCGACACTGCGCTGCTGGTTTGATTCCAAACAAGGACCCGCGGCGTCGATGCACCGAAATATTGAAACGCAACGACTGACATCGATGTCAGGGGGGCGCCCCCCGAGTCGGTCGGCAGATCGTACGCAAGGACGATGGAACCACCAAGGGCTGTGACGTTTCGGACGACGACGGGTGCTGGCGGCGTCCGCGCAGCGGATCGAACCGTCGCGGGTGCCGAGAACGACCCTGCAAACACGAGGTTGGACACGCCAACGGTGTACGCATAGACGGTCGAGGCAGTGATGTTGGCCACGTCGACATACGTCGTTGACAGCACGTTGGCAGCGAGTTGCGAGCCGTTGCGAAGAATGGTATAGTACAGCGTCGTAATGCCACCCGTGTCTCCCGGTGGGTTCCACGACAGTGCTACCTTGCCGCCAGACGTTGTCGCATCCGCCCGTAGACCCGTGGCGGCACTGGGCACCGACACGGCGGTCGTCGTCACGACGAGTATCGGGCCATATTCACTCCACCCAATGTTGTTGAGCGCGCTCGCTTGAAAGGTATAGGAGCTCAGTGCACTGCAGTTGTACATGACAAAGCTTGTCGCGTTGCCTTGATAGAGCAGCGTTGCCTTATCGGCGTTGTACAAGGCGTACGCAGAAATGTCGGCAGACCCAATGACCGGCGTCCAGTCGAGGATGATGGCACCGCCCGTGATCCCGATGGCCTTGAGCGTCGGCGGTGCCGGTGGCGTCCGCTTCATCGTCGTATGTACGAGCAATGCGCCGATACTTGCCGCTGCGCCCGCGCAGAACGACTGCGTGTTGTACGCCAAGAGCGACAAGCTGTACGTCGTGTTTTGGCTCAGTGTTGTCAACGTGGTTGTCGTCGCCGGGTTCGACACTTGAGAGTAGACAGTGTTGCACGTGCCGTTACCAAGACACGCGTCGATCGTGTAGCCGACGATGGGCACACCGCCGTTGTCGGCGGGCGGTGTCCACGACAGCGTCAGTGCACCCAGCGCTTCTTGGACAACCGTCGGGGGCAGCTGACCCGCAGGCGAGGACGCAACGGCTGTTGTAAAAGCAAACTGCGTCCCATTCGCACACGAGCCCTACACATACTAGGGTCAACCGCGCCCAGCCTCTCGCTTTCGTACCAGATGATTCTCGACAAAGATCATGGCCGCGTACGTTGTTGTCGGCGACAGACCGTAGATGGAGCACGTGGCGTCGGTCGACGCGTTGCACGCCAGTCCCAAATCTGAGATGATGCGAAACGTCGTCGCCGGTGCACCTCCATCGTAGCCCGAGCTGTTGTAGCCAAACGTGACGGCCCCGCCCGTGGTCGACACCACTCTTGGGGGTACTGGGGCATCGGGTGGCGTTGGCGCGGTCGTCAGCACCGTCAACAGCGCAGGGGCCCCCTCAAGACCAGCATTGTTGGTGGCCGTGATGGAAAGCTCGAGTGTGGAGCTAGGAATGAGGTTGGTCACGCGCACTGTCAAGCTCGCAGTGGCCGCCACTTGGGCAACGAGGCTCTTAGACGCTCCGACGCCGCGCTGCTGCCACACGCGGTAGAACGCAATAGGCACGCCACCCGTCTCGCTTGGCGGGGCCCAGGAGATGACAGCCTGCGTTGCAACGGCCGAGGAGACACCGGCACTCGTCGGTGCACTGGGCTCCGTGGGCACGGTTGTCGCCATCGCCACGGGTGCAGAAGCAACGCTCTGCCCAAACGCATTGACCGTGACAACACTGACACTGTAGCTGGTGAGCGGCGAGAGCTTGGAAATGACCGCGAACGTTGCCGACGTAACGATCGTGCTTCGGCCCGTCACAAGCACTTGGTAGCTCAAAGCCGACGGCAAGACGTCGACGCCGCCCTTGAACACCGGCGGCGTCCATGCAACGTAGAGCGTACTCCCGGTGGCCGATGTCGCTTGAAGTTGCGTCGGTGGATCCGGCCACGTGAGGCGCGTGTCGTACACGGTGACGACGCAGGTCGACGGCGCCACGATCCAGCCATAGTTGGTCACCGCAGCAATGTTGATCGTCACGTTTTGCGGCGGCGTCGGCGTCTGCGGCATCATTAGTGGCATGGCCGCTGTCGCCGACGTCACGCCGTCAGCAAACGTGAGGGTCGCGCTAAAGAGACCTTGCGCTACGAAGATCGACGGCAACGACGTCAGTGTGACGACGACGTCGCCGTTGGTCGCAAACAGCCGACGGACAGTCAGTTGGACGCTCGAGACATTGACAAACGCCGTGAGCTGTGCGTTGGCAAATGCAAAATGCCCCGCCACGCCGTTGTCGAGCACCGCAACGTCAAGCGGCTTGGAGGCATTCCAGGTCGCACCGTTGGCCGTCGACTGAATCGACGTTGTGATCGTGTACGGTGCAGCGTACGTTGTTGTCGGTAGCACTTTTAATGTCAAAGCGCTCGCATTGCTACTAGCTGGAAACGAGAGGGCGACTCCGGACGTCTGGCACGGTTGCTGCGCAAGCCCCAAGACACCTCCCGGCGCGGCGGCAAGGTTGTTCAAGTGCGACTTGGGCCAGCACTTTGACGTTGACGACTCGTAGCGGAACCCAAAGCACTCTGCGTTCGAGCTGCAAAGCGCGCGGCACTGGGCAAGCGTCACACCGGCCGACTCGCCAATGTCGCTGCCCTCAGAATCCACGTCGGCGATCTCGTGGACGCAGACACTCGAGAGGACGCCGCCAATCACTTCCGGTACGGCTATTGTGTTGAGCCCCATGGATTTGAGGTAGCACGCATTTGTCGCCGTGTTGAACGCGTAGGCGCCGCAGCCGTTGTACGCCTGGCACTGGGCGCAGCAGTCGTTGGCCGACGACGCCGTCGCGCTCGTGAGGTCGTTGTCAACAAAGTCGGTGCCCGGGTACTGCTGACTGCACGGCGTCGCGGGCGGAGCGCACACCAGCGTCGACGGGTCGCACATAATCGTGAGGCTGTTGCTCGCTTGGAGGAGCACCGACGCCGTCACTGGTAGCACCGTCTGCCCGACGCGAGTCAGTGTGAGCGTCGTCGACGTGTTGGGTCCCGCGGGTCCGGCGTTGGCCCACTGCAGGGTACCGCCGTCGTGTGCCACGTTCATGGTCAAGACACTCGGGGCGCCGAGCGAGGCGCCGTTGGTGGGCGTGCTCAGCGCCAGTGCGAGACCGTACGGAGCCGCCGCGTTGACGTCGTTGGGAATCGCAAAATAGAGTGTCTTGGCGCTCTCGCCGTCTTCGAATGCCAGCGCAAACGTTTGCGACGCTTGACAAATCGGCGCGACAACGACCGAGATGCAGTCGGTGTTGCTCTGCATCTGCATCTGCTCGCTCTTGAAGTAGCATGTTTGCATCGAAAGGATATAGCTGAATCCGATGCAGTTGGGAACGTTCTTGCAGGCTACTACGCACTCGGGCAGCGAGAGCACCTGATACGACAAGAACTCGTCGACAAAATCCACACCGGGGTAGAACGTTCGACAGTTGGGCGTGATGATACCGGCCGTAACACCGACGGCGGCCGTCGGGTTGAGCCCGAACGACTTGAGGTAGCACTGGCCACTGTTCAGCGCATACGCCACGCACCCCGCGTAGGCTTGACACTTGGCACAGCAGTCGGCGACGGACGGCGACGCCATGTTCGTCATGTCATTCCCGACTAAATCGGTGTCGGGATACACTTGGCTGCACGGGCTTGGCGGTCCACACAGCCCTGTCGACGGGTCGCAAATGTACGTGTTGTTGACGTCGTTGGTGATGCGGAGCGTGACATTGACGGGCCCCGTGACACCCGCGGACCGGACCAGACTCACGGGCGTCAGCACCCCTTGGTTGGTCACCATCGTCGACGCGTTCCAGGCGAGCACGCCCGGTTGCTGCGGAAGCGTCGAGTAGGTCGCCGTCGTGGCAGGACTCACACCGCCAATGCCAACTGCAGACGCGGACGCAGCATACGCCGTGTCGAACGAGACGTTGGATACGGTAACTTGGAGACACGACCCCGGAACGGTAAAGGCGGCCGAGCCGTCGTTGAGAAGCGTCGACTGAAGCACGACGTCGGTGTCCGTGCGTACGACGAGCTGATAGCCAACCAAATTGGACCCCCCGAGGAGCACAGGAGCCTTGATGCAGAGAACGAGCCGGCGGTCCGAGGCCAAGGTGAGCGACATGTCCGGCGCGGATGGAATGCCGGACGTGGTTGCGACAGCCAGCGTCACCCACGCACTGGAGCCATAGACCGTCGTCGTACGCAAAACGAATGCATATGTGGTGTTGACGGACAAGGAGGTGAGGATCGTGGGCGTCGTGTCGGTGCACGGAACCGGTGTCGACGCGTTGGTCACGCTGTCGACGAGCGCGCAGTCGTACGAGAACGATGGGGCACCCCCGACGTTGCAGGGCGCAGTGAGCTGAACGCTGGCCGAGGTGGCGTTGCTGAAGAGCACCACGGCCGTCGGCGTACCCGGCGGCCCCACTTGCGTTAAGACAAACGTCGAAGCAGCGACGGGCGACGCGCCGAGGGCCGTGAGCGCTTGCACGTAGCACGTGTGCGTCGCGTTGGCCACGAGCTGCTGGCACCACGTATACTCCATCAGAGACCCCATATGTGTCGACATTTGCGTCAGCACAGTGTTGTCGCAAACCACCGAGTAGTTGCGCAGAGGCATACCTCCAAGCGACTAGGGTTTTGGAAGTTTAGTGCAAACCCGACGCGCTATATGTACCTGTGGCGGTGTCCATCGCAAGGTAAGCGCCCCCACGGCATCCACACCGGTCACGGCGATGACAGACGGCGGCGCGACGGGCGGACTAGCACCAAGTGGGTGATGTGATGTTGCGACGAGAACGCGTACCTTGTTGTCTGCGCCGTAATGCTAGCGATGCTGGCACCGATCGGGTTGAGGGTATACGCCGAAAAGAAGTACGTTGTCGACGGAGCGAGTCCTGTCGCGGTGCATTCTGCGTTGGCGGCCACCGCGACCGAGCTCAGCGTACACACCGTCGTCGGTAGCGGGATGTACGCGCACTGCAGTTGCCCCGCATAACAAATTCCATTGACAGCCTCGCACGGGGACGTCGCCGTCGCTGACGTCAGCGCGCGGTAGCCGTTGCACGTCGCACACGGATCGGCAGCCGTCGGTACATAGCACGACTGCGGTGCTGTCACGTTGACTTGATAGCTCACGGTGTCGTAGCCGCCACTTTCCGGCGTTGACGTCAGTACAAGCCTGACAAAGTCGGCACCGAAGACGTCCACGACGGGGACGGGGGGCGCCCCCACCTGCGCAGTCGGAAGGGTCGTCGCCGAGATGCGGCCGGCGTACGGGTCGCCCGCTTGGCTCGTCGTCAACGGCACGACGATCAGCGCATACGTTGTATTGAAGCGCAGAGAGCCCAACGTAAACTGTGTGGTTTCGGGCGAGACGGCCGATACCAGCACCAAGGACGTCGCGTTGCGGTAGATGTAATAGCCTAAGAGTCTCAATCATCTCCAGCCACTTGCGAGCGTGCACGTACCCGTCGGGGTCGCACCGCCCCAGTCTTTTGGCGCGCTCCACGACAGTTGCACGCGGCTCGGTGACAGCGCGACGCTCGTTAGTTGCTGCACCGGCGCCGGCGGCTGCACCAAGCTCGTTTTGACCGAGACCGGTGCACTCCACGCGGTGCGATTGAGAGACGTCTGCATCGCGCACTGGACGTCGTACGTTGTGTTGCCGCCAAGACCTTTGAACGTCGTGTTGCCGGCGAGAGGCACGGGCACGAGCGTCCCCGAGACGTTTCCGACCAGCTCCAGCAAGGTGGCGCCTTGCATGTCGAGGGGCGGCGTGCACGCAAAAGCAATGTAGCTCGACCCGATGGCCAGCACCTCAACACTCGGTGGGTTTGGAAGTCCCGCAGCATTGGTAGCAATGTTGACCGTTTGACCAAACCCCGAGAGATCCAAGAGTGGGCTGCACATCATCGTGTCTGTGATTGCGACGACCTCGATCGCGTACGTCGTTGACGGCTGCAGCGGCAGCTGGGTCGCGGGGTCTGTGTACACGGTCACCAGTGGGCTCGACCCCGACGTCGACGCAGCTCGCAGCCACGCGCTGCTCGTGGTCGGTCGCAAAAACACTTCGTACCCGACCACGGTTGCGCCGACTAAGCAATAGGAATAAGAAAACCCAACGTCAACATCGGCGTCGTACGGGTGTCGAGTGGCGGCAGGAGCGCCAGTCCGATCGCACCGCCTACACATCAAATGAATCTCCATACATACGACTAGCATCACCAACCCGAGACGCTCGTCACACTCGGGACGGGGGAGACCGGGTACCCCGAGCTGGCGGCTGTTGAAAACGCAAACACGGGGCCATAGTCGCTCGCGGACCCAAACGCGTTGATGACGAGAGCGTGGAGCACAACGGTCGCGCTGCTCGGAAGGCCGTACACCCAAATATCAATGTCGCCCGCGGCATTTGGGGTGCCGCCGATCGCGCCGAACACAAAGCCGGCGCCTTCACGGACCGACTGGGCCGTTCTCTTCTCCACGTACGCGCTCTGGAGCGGGCCACCACCGCAAAAGACGACGCCACCGAGACGCACGTGGAGTGCACCGGCCGTTGCGTTGAGCAGTTGCATCGACAGCGGTGGCGTCGGCGATACGGGCGCATACGTCATCTGCAACGTCAACGGCGCACTTGGCGCGCCGACGCCGATCGCGTTGACGGCAGCGACCGTGATACGGTACTCGGTCGAAAGAAGGAGATTGGGCACAACGATGTCGGTCGCCGTCGCCTCTGCCGTCGCCACGAAGAAGCCATTCACGTACACGTTGAAGCCCGTGAGCGTCGCGCCACCCGTGTCGACAGTAGCATTCCTACCCGTATACCGTTCGATACTACAGCATCTATCTCAAGAGTCTGCGCACCAGTTGACGACGAGGCTGCCCGGGGCCAGAGCGCGGCCTCGGAACGGGCGATTCACGGGGCCAGGCGCCGTTGCAACCGTGGTGGTGACCGTCGTCGTTGGAAGGGTGCGTGACGCTGACGTCGTCGCGTACGAGACATCGATGCGGTACGTCGTCGACGGCGCCAGGCCCGAGAGCACAAAGCGGCCCACCTCGTAGACGCTCGCCACCGAGCCATCCGTACCCCCGCAGCTTGTCGACGGTCGGAACATGCAGGACGCGTTGCACATGCCGTCAGCGAGGCGCTGGCCAACGAAGGGCAGCGGTGCGCACAGACACACACCTCCTTGGGTCAAGCCGAACCGACGCGACGGCGCTCGGCTGGCGACGGCCTCGACGTTGGAGGCGATGAACGTGTAGTTGTTGCCCGAGACGTCCGTGGCGATATCGAGGTCGTTGAATCTACGGACGACGGTGGTGGGAGGGTTCATATCGACAAAGTAGTAGAGATACCGCAGGTGCACGGCGATGGCAGCGTCAATAACATCCTGGTCCCAGAACCGCCGAATCGCAGCGTCCGAGCGCGGAAGGCCCCACACGCGCACCTACACCAGCATTAATCGTCGGTGAACATACGCCGGTGCGTACCTTGTCCAACATGGCCAGAAGCGGCACGGTAGCTGTGTTCCAAAGCGTATCTACACGCACCTTTGGGCAAATGGTCGAGACGAGATCATGGTACCGGCGCCAATCTGGAGGCGCGGCGACGAGCTTGGCGCCCACGTCGTTTGCAGTACTGCGGACGCAGCGGGGACGCCGTTGACGAAGAAGCGGACAGAGTGCGCGTTGTCGTTGTACACAAACGCCAGATGGAACCACTCGTGCAGTGGAAAGGCGTAGGGGATCCGCACCGCGTTGCCGGTGACCGTGACGACGACGACGGTACGGCCCAAGACCACCGACGCCATCGTTGCGTCCAGCATAAAGAGCACGGCCGACGGCGTCTGCGCATACAGAAACAAGTACATCTCGACCGTCCAGCCAAGAAGGTTGGAGCGCAAGAGAATAGGACCTGCGCTGCGCAGTAGACTTGCAGCGGTCAAGTTGGCTTGACGCTCCGAGCTAGCGCAGAGACGGGCGCAGTCACCAAGGGTCATCAACTGTGTCGATGGCGCCGGAATGAGTCCGAGGCCCGCCGCCTGGAAACACCCGACGTCGCTCATGCCGTCACCTACATACAGATAATGGTTCCGATACTTCCCGACGCCCAATGCCCACCATTGTAGACTCTGCGGGGCGACCCAGTCCCGTTCATTGACGTCGCCGTCGCAGTGTACTGCAAAATGAACCCGTCGTCACTGGCCATCGGGGACGGCGCGTGGAGCACCGTCACCGCGCCGCCGGTCACCGCATCGACAACCAACGCGCCGGTTAACGGCGTGGCCGAGTTGGCGCTAAACCCGGCGATCGCAACGTCGTTCGCGGCGTAGCTCGTCGCTGTGATGTTGAGTCGGAACGGTGTGCCGGCCAAGGACCGCGCATCCAGCGTCACGGGCGTCCACACGCTGAGCGTCATGTTGGCCGGATCCGAGGCAAACAGCGTTGTCATCGACTCGTTGCCGTCGACGTGCGCTGTGATGTCAAGCCTCGCGTACACTAGGAGACACCACAGTCAGTGTGCTTGTCGCTGACATCAGCACGAGGACGTACACGTTTGGAAACGATAGCTAAGTGTAAACGTCAGCGGTGACGCGCTCGGAAACACCTGACTCAAGAGCACCGCGGTGCGCAGCGACGACGCGACCGTCGACGCGCCGTAGACCCAGTTGGCCACGACGCTACTCCGCGACTGGCACTGCGACTGCACCACCGGCACGCTCGTTCGAAGAGCTCCGCATGTGATGAGGGTATCGTGGCTGCCACCGCAGAGCTCGCCGGAGCCGGCGACGGCAAAGAAGCTCCACCGAGCACTACGCGGCGACACGACCGTCCAGTCGACGAGCGACGTCGAGAGTCGTCGGGACCAGACGAGCCCCGAAGCGTCCAAAACATAGGCGGTGCCGTGGACCAGCTGCAGTGACGACCACTCAAAAGTGGGTCCGACGAACGCTGGAAGGTAGTTGGCCGACCCAAACTCCGCGAGGTCGGACGTCGGCGTTGTAGCGAGCACGAGCTGGTTGTACATCACATTCAAGACGTAGTGTCCGTCCCATGCAATGCCCGTCGACGGCTGTTGAAACGCGGTATAGGCAGACCAAGTCGACGCCGCGCCAAGACCCGTCACCGTCGTGCCGACGACGGCCGCGTCGGTCGTGATGACCGCCACCGTGCCGTTGGCCACGAGCACAAACCGTGCGTCAGTACGCAGCAGCATCCACGCATTGAGCGTCATCGACGTCGTGTTCCACGCACTGCAGTAGAGATGCGCCATCAACGTAGTCCCGCAGAGAACGCCGTTGCCAAAGGAAATGCGCAGCAAAGACGTCGGCGCGGCAAGCGGTTGCCACGCGCCAAGGGCCGTGCGAGCGTAGAGGCTTCCGGGCGTCGTCAACGCAATTTGCAGCGCACTTTCCAGCACAAGCTGCCGGATGTTTGGCAACGGGTGCAGCTGCAACGGCGAGGCCAGGGCACCATTTAGCACCGACTGCGTCGACTGCACCGAGAGCATGAGTTGTCCAAACCAGTTGGCCACCGGCGTCAACGTGAGAACGACGGGTGCTCGGACGTTGCTATAAAATAGGACACATGACGTCGACGACGCATCGGCCGCAATCGACGCCGACATGTTTTGAAGGACCCCACACGGGGACATGGAGATGGTGAGTTGCGACGCTTGCCACGTGTGCGACGTGTCTGGCAAGGGCACGACCACGTCGAATGGTTGGCCTTGGACGACCGACGCCGTCACCACGTACGGCTGGAGTGTCGGGCAGTCGGGTAGCTCGTCTGGCATTGCCTCCGTGGCGTCGCTGCAGGCCGCTGGTGTCGCGACAGTCCAATTGCGCACCGAGGTGGAGGCATCCGACGCGTTGGCAGCTGTCGCTGCGAGAGAGAAGGAGAGCACCGATGCGGTCGCCGTCGTCACCACCACCGACACCGACGTTGACTGGTTTGCGGGCACAACAAAAACGCACGGCGTCGGTTCGTATACGGGTGTTGACCATTGCGCGACCAGGCCGCTCAAGCACGGCGCGAGGGTGACGGTCATGGTCACGTGCTTGTTTAGAGAGACTGGTGGGAGGGTCAGCAGAGGCAAAGACACTCTGGTGGCACACGGCAGGGAAGGTTCAATGAGAGGCGCCCCAATGTATGGGGCGTCGCTTGCGCACTCGGACCCGTTGCCCCATGGCGCGACAACGGTCGACGTCCAGAACACGCCAGACGCCAACACTGCAGCAACGGCATCGACAGCAACAGAAGCGTTGCTGGTGTCCAGGGTCAAGACCGATCCCAGCGGTACGTCGTACAACGAAAGATATGAGAGCGGCCCAACCGCGACCACCGATTCATCAAGTCGAATGGTTGCCACCGGCGCGCCGAGGAAGAGCTGAAGGACGTCGATGGACGCCGTGACGTTGCTTGGCACAAGCGACGCGACGAGCAGCGAGCTGCCCACGGCGACACGCGAGCGGTTGAGGCGCACGAGACCGGGCACCGTCGGTAGCGGGCGGCAGTCGACCGCTGCCAGTGGCCACTGCGTGCCGTTGGCCAGTGCAATGGACCAGTCGATCGTGGCGGGCGATGCATCGGTGGGGACAAAAAAGAGCGCCGTCGGCACCGAGCTCATAAGGGTCACGTTGGTGGCCCCCGTCCAAGTGTCGACGACCTGCGTCGTCCCGCTGCCCACCTGAACGCGGAGGTCGAGCAGCGCGCCGTACGGCCATGTAAACTGCGCCAGACCCGATCCATTCAACGTCTTTGCTACCGCCATCAAATCGAGGATGCAGGTGCCATCGGCCGATGCAATGGCCGTCGTCCCCGCCAAGCGCCCGCTTGGCGCTGTGGCGTACGTTGCTGTCGACACGAGGCGCCGCTGGCTGTCGGCTGAAGGCGGCGACAGAACCCGACGATGGCGCTGTCCCCCGCAACCAATGTCGGTCAGCTCGACCCTCGCGCTTCTCGGCAGCGTCGTCGACCACACACGACCAACCGCAGATGCCGGTGTAGAGAGCTGAAGCATGCACTCGTTCGTCGGTGTCATCGTCATGACGGACGCCAGTCGTGTCGGCGACAGGGAAGGGCACGTTGGTATGGTCACATGCAGCTCGCAGACGCTGGGATCGATGGCCACCTCCAACGTTATCGCCGCGGGATCAAAACCCGGCGTCCATGTGGCAACACTCGGCACAAGCAAAAGTGGCGAGGCCGACGCTACATAGGCTTCGGCCGGTCGGGTGTAAACTGTCGTGGGGCCAGAGGTCTCAACGCGAGCGACCACCCAGCCAGCAGCCGTCTCGTGCCACAGCACCGTCGCCGGCACCGTCGCCGTCGCAGCTTTGAACACGGACGACGGGAGCTTGACGACGCACGTCCGATCCGTGGTCTCGCGCGGCATCAGCGTGAACAAGCCAATGGATACCGATCGAAGCGGGCACTGACCGTTGACGTGCGCCAACGCGAGCTCCACGAGCATGCGCGGACGCCACCGTTGCACACTCAATTGCAGTGAAGTCGCGTCGCCGGGCGTCGACATTGCAGTTGGAAACGCCCCGACGACCAACGGCCCGACGTCCGCGGCCCCAATGTGCGCCGTCCATGCATAGGCCAGCGCGTACGCCTGGGCACCGTCGGTATACTCGACACGTACCTCAAGGTGCACGGTGCCAGCGAAGGACGGCAACGGCGACAAGGCGACGCCCGACGTCGGCAGCGACGACCACGAGCACTCGGTCGCCACGGAGTTGGTGTCGTACGAAGTTTGCGGCAGTGCGCACGCATCGACCGCGTGCGTCGAGTTCCACGCCAAGCGAATGCGCGTGACTGTCAAATTTGCGACGGCATCGACGATCGGGATCGGTACCGTCGCGGTCGCCGTCGTCACCGTGTCGCGCGGATAGGCGACGGCCGGCGGCGCCTGGAGCTGCAGTGGGGCGACCAAGGCCCCGTCGTCGTCGTCGTGCACGAATGCAACGTCCACGGCCGTCGTTGACAACGACAAGATCGTGAGCTCGAGTACATATTTGCCTGGTGGCAAGTCGAGCCACTGGGTGCCGTTCACAGACGCCGTGACATCGACGACCGACGTGGCAGTTGCCACAACGATCTCGCACGCCGACGCCCTATACCCGATGCGGCCGGTGCCAAAGGTGACGGCGACTTGGACGCGGCCGTTGGAGTCGAGGAAGCCGTTGGCGACGACCACCGACCACGGCACATCTTGGTCGGTTGGCGCCGCATTTCGCAAGTTGCGACCCGTCGATGTCGCGTACGACGACGGAACGACCGAGAGCATCGGCGTCTCGGACGCAGCGTCAACCGACGCGTACCAGCGTGCCGAGTCGTTGCGGTTTGCATTATATAAGCCACAAGCGCCAGGCGACGCCAGGTTGCAGCCGACATCGGGTAGATCTACACGCCGACCTCGCTCCAGATCGTTATGGCAGTGCATAGGTACCGCGCGTTGGAAGGGGACGCATGGACACGAAGCCTGCAAAGCCGCCAGCGGTCGCGACGGGTGGCACTGCAAAGTGGCGCACCGGACCGTCGTTGAGCGTGACGTCGGCTTGGAGAAAGTTCCAGACGCGGACGCCGCCGACGTCGATCTAGACAGAATCGTCCATACTGCAATCGAGAAAGCAAGCACGTACATCGATGCGGCCGACGACCGACGCTGGCATGAGCGACGGCACGACGACGTCGAGTTGCGCGTACGACTGCAGCGTCGAAACGATCGTAGGCGACGCAAGCGCGCCCATGTAAACGCCGTTATCGTCGTAGACGGTAACGTTGAGGACGCTGCCGTAGATGCCTGCTGGGAGCCACCAAAGCGTGACGTGCACGACTACCGATGCCAATACATTCATCACGTCAACATCGGAAGGACATGCATACCGTTGCAGGCGTCGACGCCGTCGTTGGCGACTGGCAACGCGCACGCCGACGCGTCTTCGACCACACACGACAGCGTCGTTTGGTTGCAGTACGTGTACGCGACGACCGAGCTCGTAAACGTTGGCAAGCATGCGCAGCCACGGGCTGAGTAGACCTGCGGCAACGACCGACGTGCGCTCGCGCTCGCGTAGGCGTCGTAGAGGCACCACGAGCCGTTTGCTGGCGGTCGTAGCGTCATCGTCCCAGTGAGCGTCGTCGGCAGCACGGCCGCCGAGAAGCCGTTGATGCTCCTACAAGGGATGAGGATGGACTTGGTCATTTTTCAAAAAGCTTGGATTCGTACAGCTGCAAGCCGGCAAACGTGCTGGTGAAGGTCCACGTCGTGGCATCCGTCGCATTCGAGAGCAGCCCGGACGGAATGTTGACCGTGACGTCGTCGCCGCCAGCGCTGCGCCACGTGAGCAGCTGGTCGGCCGGGCGCACGCTTAGCGACCCGCTGGGTAGCGCAAACTCGAACACTGTCGATGTATCGCGCATGTCGGTGAGAAGCGTCACGTTGCTGCTATCGGCGAGCGGCGTCGGCAGCGTCACGACAGTCCCGGTCGCCGTGACCGCCATGGGCAGGCGCGCGATCGATGGCGTGCTGCGGCCGCAGAGCGCTCGGAACGGCGACGTTGGCGCGAACGCGCCGCCGACAGCGACACAGCATGGACCGCCAGGCGGGCAGAGCGACGAGGCCACCGCGGGCTCGCAGCTGCCGTTCCACGTCGTAAAGGCGCTGCGGTACGACGCGTAGGTGGGCAGCGCCGCGGCCACCGCCAGCGTGCAGCTACCACAGGCCGTAGCCGGGTCGTAGCACGAGAAGACCGAGGTCGGGCTGCAGCTTTGGCCGGCGACGACGCCGACGATCAGCGCCAAGGCTCGAAGCATTGCGAAATAGCTTCGAAGGATCGAAAGATAGATACATACATATTGGGGTTTTTAACTCGGAGCAACCTTTCAAAGATTGGGCATTATACACGCGCCCCAAAGCTCTCAACCCTACGCAGGAGCTTACGCAGGGGTTTGAAAACCTCGACTACATGCGGCGCAGCTACCCAGCAATGGGCTGTTGGCAGAGCTCTCAGTCGTGGTGCGTATCTTGCTATCAGTGTCGATGGGTCCGGTACGGTGGCGGCGTGACACGGCGACGCCAGTGCAGAAGAGGTTGTTCCCAGTTAATTCCCCGGGACAAACCAACCACCGCGCCTGACGCAAGGTGTTTTAGAAATCGAAGATCTGGGACAAATCCGCGAGGTGTGCGATGATGAACGCGTATGAGCCCGTGAACGCGACGAGCCCCCGCGGGGCCAAGCCGTCCGTGGCCTACCCGCGCCTGGACCACGACTGGCGCCGCCGCTGGATCTACGTGCTGCCAGTGCTCTGCTTCTTCGCGTTGGCCTACAACTTTGTCTCGTTCGCGCCAGCCGGACCGACGTCGCCGTCGCCGGCTGCCTTGCTCCAGCGGGCTGTCGACGCCAACGCGGTTGTCGTCGAGGTTCTGCATGCGGGCGACGGCGTGACGTACCCGAAGAAGGGCGACAGCCTCACCGTCCACTGTACATAGCCGCGCTCGCGCATGGACCTGACCAGTATTCTCTAGATGCGGGTCGCCTCGCGAGCGACAACAAGCTCTTCGACTCGAGCTACAGCCGCAACTCGCCGTTCGTGTTCAACCTCGACGAGGGCATGGTCATTGCGGGCTGGGACCATGGCCTCGCCAAGATGACGCTCAACGAGACGGCCAACTTGTACATTCCGTCGGCGCTCGGGTACGGCGAGACGGGCGCAGGCCGCGATATCCCGCCGCTCGCCGACCTCATCTTTGAAGTCTACCTCATCGCGATCAACGGCAAGTCGCTGCCGTCGCCGGCGTCGTCGGGGCTCAAGATTGACGTGCTGTCTCCGGGCGATGGCAAGACGTTCCCCAAGGCCGGCGACACGGTCTCGGTGCACTGTACGTTGAGCCCGACGTCGTTTCTGTGTCCTATCTTCCTTGTAGATGTCGGAACGTTCACGGACGGGACGCAGTTCGACTCGTCGCGCCGAGCGAACCGCCCGTTTAGCTTTACGATTGGCCAGAACCGCGTCATCAAGGGCTGGGAGATGGGCATTCCGCAGCTCAGCCTCGGCGAGAAGGCCTCCATCTTCATCCCGTACCCGCTCGCGTACGGCGAGAAGGGCCGGTCGGGGATTCCCGCCAAGGCCGACTTGATCTTTGAAGTCGAGCTCCTCTCCATCACGCCGCCGTAGGACCCTGTAGTAGCATGTGCACTAACGACTCCTGCATCAGTATCGACGTCTCGAGCATGCTGTGGTGGGCGCAACGCTTGGACGAGCCAACTCGTTGTCTCGTACTGGGCGGCCCTCGTGCATGGGCCCAGGCCTCTGCATCATGCAGGTGGAGATGCTCGGGGCTCGCCGTCCCGCCGATGTAGCATCTACCTGTTCTCGTAGCTGCATGCGGTGCTGGCAACGGGTGGCGCGCTTGTCTCGGGACGTGTCGGCTGCGGCAGAGGCCGTCGCACCCGCTTCATGGCCACCGATCCGCAGCCATGAGATTCAATAAGATTCCAACTTCAACGATTTTCATGGGGTCCGGGGCAGCCCCTCTGATCATACAAACCTATTGATAAAAACGAGTGGGTGCCGGGGGGACCCATGAAAAAAAGCGTAGGTCCGGTGTGGGGCCAGGCTCGCACCAGCCAAACCTCTCCATTTCCCAACCCGCTGCCATGGCCAACGACAAGAAGCGCGCCCACGACGGCAAGGACTCGTCGCCCAAGAAGGCCAAGCTCATGGCCGGCCTCGACATTGAGGCCGTCATGAGCGCCGAAGGCCCGATCGTCAAGTGCGTCTTGCTCAAGCAGGCGGGCGAGAAGAAGGAGATCGACGTCGACTTTACGCCGAGCAAGCAAGCCGTGCAGGCGCTGCTTGGCGGCGACCACACCTTTGTCGGCCAGTACGAGGACCTCAGCGTCATGCTCATGTGCAACCCGGAGCACCAAGAAGTCGACTCGGGCGTCGCGCTCACGACGCACAAGCTCCAGCCGCCGTTCCACGGCCGCCTCGGCCAGATCAAGGGCGACATCCTCCTCTTCCGCTGCGACGACCAAGGCGACCACAAGGACTTTACGCTCGAAGAGTACGAAGCCTTCTTGAAGCTCGAGATTCCCGAGTGGGAGCCGCCGTCCGACGAGGAAGAGTCGGACGAGGAAGACGAGGAAGACGAGGAAGACGAGGAAGGCTACCGCAAGGCCGCGGTCGACTTTTTCATCCAAGAGTTCAAGGACAACAACGACGGTACGCTGCCTTCACTGCCGCTTCCTCTGAACCCAATGTCGTGTAGGCCGCGAGCCCAACGAGGACGAGGTCAAGGAGATCGAGGAGCGCGTGGCGAAGGAGATGGCCAACCAGGACGACCCTGCCCAGGCGGCGCTCGACTACCTCGTGGAGGAGTTTGAGGAGGAGCACGGCCGCAAGCCCAACGAGGACGAGATGGCCGAGCTCGAGAAGGAAGCGGCGGAGCGTGTCGCCGCGATCGGCGGCCTCGACCAGGAAGGCATGGACGAGCTCATCAACGGCCTCTTCGAAGCCGCCTGCGCGCGCTTCAAGCAAGAGAACGGCAAGGACCCGGACGAGGACGCGCAAGAGCAGATCCTGCGCGCAGTCGTCGACGCTGCCAAGGAGCAGTTTGGCGGTGACGACGACGACGACGACGAGAGCACCGAAGACGACGACGAGGGCACCGGCGACGACGACGAGGGCACCGGCGACGACGACGAAGGTGCAACTGAAGAGGACGACGACGAAGCGTAAACTGTGCATTATCTACAACGAGCAAGGGCTCCAACTAACTACTAATAAGACGCCTGTCATCGACAAGATATCAAGGTATCAAGCATACAACGCGTGCGATTGGCCGAAATGCACCAATCGTGGAAGGGTACAGGCTTGCGGAGTGACACTGGCAAGCTTCCGGAAATGGTGTACAGTCTAGGAGAACGCTCCTTACGCTGGGTGCAGCACATGGATGCAGCAGGCTTCGAGTGCTCGGTAGCAACGAAGCGCATGCTGGCGCGCATCGCATCAAGTGCATAACAGCACAGTGATGGGTGTACCGTCAATTATATAGGAGCAGCTTCTCTGAATACCTCGCAACCTCGGGATGGGTCGGGTGAGATGGCGTGTTTTCAGTCATACAGTATTTCCAGGCAGAGCCGTTGCATTCGGCCATTGCGCGATGGTTCCCTGGGCCGGCGAGACGGAGCTGCGGCTCAACGCCAACCAGCTCTTCGTGGGCGTCGTGGCCTCGGGCCTCTGGATCTACAGCCTCGCGCAGACCGACTGGGTCAGCGCTGGGCCGGTCAACGCTGGCCTCTTCAGCCTCGCCGTGGCCGTCAACTGCAATGGCACGACGGCCAACGCGACGGGCACGTGGGGCGACGTCTGCAACGTTGTGCTCACGAACCGGTCGAGCTGCTTTGTGCTGAGTGAAATGACGATCGTCGCGCCGCTCCCGACAAACCGCGACGTCGCAACCGTCCGCGCCATCTGCAGCCACACGGACGCGCGCGTGCAAGTCGCCTATCTGCTCATCACCGCGACGGTCTTCTCGCTCATCGCGCTCTGCGTCGGCGTGTCCTTCTTACTCCGCGACGTGCTCGTCTCCAAGCACGTGGCGGCGCTTCCGAGCTTGATCTACTTTGTCAGCGGTACGATTGACCACGGTCGCCGACTACTGACGCGGATGTAGCGCTCTTTGGCATGGGCGCCGTGCTGCACTGGCACGTCTCGTTCACCGACGTGCTTACCGGCACCGGCTCGGGCTACGTCCTCGCGATCGTCAGCACTGTCTTGCTGACGCTGGTCGCCCTCTCGATGGTGGTCACGGGCTGCCTCGTACGTCGAACAGCCTCCTCTACTCCCATCCTCTCATCCTGCCTCGTTGTAGCCGGGTCTGTGCGCGATCACGGGCGAGCCGCGACCGATGGCCCAGCAAGGCTTTGGCCTCCGACTGCGGCGCACCTGTATATGGTGCTCGCGCACCTGCCGGCGTCGACCGCCGACGCCGTACGACGCCTACCGGTCCATGCCGCCCGCGACCACGGCCGTCGTCTAAGCTCTTATGTGTGAATCATAGTCGGAGTGTCGCGTAAATTATATAAGACTGCGGCTACACATAGACGCCATCGTCGTCGTCCGGGTTAATGCTGTGGTCGACCAGCAAGCGTCGCAGGCGCGCGTTCTCGGCCATGAGCTTGGCCATCTGGTCTTCGAGCGACGCGTGGCTCTTCCCGAGCGCCTTGCAGCTCGCGCACAGTGCGTCGCCGTGCGCCAGCAGCGCCTTGGCCGTGGCCGCCACGTCGCTCGCTCGGCTGTACGCGGCCGACCGGAAGCTGCCTTTGGTCTCGCTGGCTTCGGGCGACGTCATGGGCGACGGCAACGACCGTGGCGACGAAAGCGCCGAGTTCGAGTCCCACACGGGCGGGCGCCGCGCAGCCTCTTCGGCCGCGACGCGCTTGGCCTCGTCGGCAACCCGCTGCGCTTCCCGAGCCGCGAGCCGGGCGCGCATCGCGGCCAGCACCGCGTCGCGGTCCTTGTAGTAGCGGCGGACGCGCTGCATCGTGACGGCGGCGGCCTTGAGCTTTGTAAACACGACGCGCTCGAGCGCCATGCGGCCAAAGGCTTGGAGCACGAGGGCTGCTGCCATCCGCTTGCGGAAGCGCATGCGGTCGAGGAAGCCGAGCACGACCTTTTGCGCGAGCGTCGCTTGCTCGTAGTAGAAGTCCGACTTCATGAGCTCGAGCTCTTCGAGGACGCCGGCCTTGAAGTACACGAGCGTCTTGCCCATTTGGAACTCGACCGGCGACGTATGGCCCGTCGCCCGCATGAACGCGTCGCACGCGTCGTCCGTGAGCATCGACGGCGGCAGCATGGTCGCGTACCGCGTCGAGAGCTCGTGCGCCGTGAGCCGCGCGGGGTACCCGGCGCGCGAAATGCGAATCGCGTCGATGACGCCGGCCGACCGCAGCTGCGCGACGACCATGGGCTTGTCAAACACGGTCGGGCTCTTGACGGCGTTGGGCTTGATGCAGCGCACGTAATGCGCCTGCGTCGACCCGATCGTGTCCATGAGCGAGCTCAGTGACGCCTTGAACTGCGACCCGAGCGTCTTGGGCGGCAGCGCCTTCTTGCGTCCTTCGAGCAGCGGCTTGGGCTCGGGCTTTTTGACCCACGCCTCGAGCTTCGACTTGGGTGACGGCGTCGACGCCGCCGACGAGATCGCGTCGGGCTCGTCGACTGTCGGCGGCTGCTCGAGCGGGAAGAGCGAGACGACAAACGCCTTGGTGCTCGACCGCACGAGGTCGAGCAGGTCCTGCATGAGCGCGTCGCGGTGCTTCTCCATAAAGCCGACCGTCTCGTACGTGACGGCGCCGGCGTAGTGGCGGATCGTAAACTGCGTGCGCTTGACCTTGGCAAACGAGATGATCGCATTGTCCTTGGCGCGGAACTTGTTGACGAGCGCCTCTTCCGTGCCCCGGGGCTGGCGCAAGTGGTCGTTCATGAGGTTGATGATGCCGAGCTTGCCCTCGATGAGGTCCAAGATGCCTTGGTTGTCGGCGTACGAGATGTGGTCCCACACGAGGCCCTCGCGCGTGTACTCGTCCTGGACCGTCGAGAAGACGTCGTGGACGAACTTTTGCTGCAGCTTCTCGTTGGCGTAGTTGATGCAGAACTGCTCGAAGCCGTTGTGCGCAAAGTCCTCAAACCCAAAGATGTCGAGGACGCCGATCTGCGTCGACGCGTCACGGATCGACATGGCGCCGTTGATGCGCGCGACGAGCCAGTCAAAGAGGCTCGCGTAGATGGCTTTGGCGAGCGCATCGCGGTTCTCGTTTGCTTCGACGACGTTGAGTGGCACCGTGACCGCGTCCCGGTGCGCGACGACCGTGCGGTTGCAGCACGCCGTCGCGATCGTGTCCTGCGCAAGGCCCAAGAGCGTCGCGACGGCCGAGAGCGACTCGGGGTTGGCGACGCGCGACGCGTTCTCGCCCGTCGGAGCAAAGTCGAGGTTGCCGAGGTGCAGGATGCCAGCGAGCACTTCAAACAACGTGCTACGATCTTAGTCTCAACAATCGCAAATCAAAGAGCGAAGACGTACTGCTGAAGGCTCGCGTCGAGGTCGATGAGCCCGAGCGACAACTGCGTCTGCGCCATCCACTTGGCGTCGTCGATGCCGTCGATCGTCATGGCGGCCACGTCGCCCGTGTAGCGGAAGCTCGACGTCGCATGGAGCTGCAGCGACGCAGTCGTCGCCACCGGAAGGCCGCACAGGAGCTGGTAAAAGATGTGGTAGTTGCGCTCGCCGGGCGCGAACGAGACGACGCGCGACTTTTCGAGGAGGTACGTCTCGCAGCAAGCGCCCCGGAGCTTCCCGTCGCGGAACTGCAGCTGCGTAAACTTGCCAAACCGGCTCGAGTTGTCGTTCCGGAGCGTCTTGGCGTTCCCAAACGACTCGAGGAGCGGGTTGACGTTGATGACACGCGCGATCGTCGAGTCGTCGCGGCCACCGGCGACTGTCGCCAGGTGGTTCATGAGGATCTTGGTCGTCTCGGTCTTGCCCGCGCCCGACTCGCCACTCACTAGAATGCTCTGGTTGCGACGCGACGCCGTCATGCTCTTGTACGCGGCTGTCGACGTTGCGTACACGTGCGGTGGCAGGTTGTGCCGGGGCTGCTGCAGGTACTGCGTGTGGAGGCCTTCGCCGTACAGGTGCCCGAGCCATTGGTACGGGTTGACGGCTATCACAATGTCATTGCTGTACGTATCTAGCCAAAAATGTCGAAAATCATTGAAAATAGCAAGAAATAAAGTACAGGGCTGCGCGGCCTCGAAGCGGCGCTTGAGGTTGTACATGATGGACGGTTCGTTGAGGAAGCGGAGGTTGCGCATGTCTTCGACGCCGTCGCTGTTGCTGTGCGTGATGGCCAGAGGCAGCGAGTCGATCTCGGTGGCTTGCGGCCCGCCGATGGCCCGGACAACGTCCATGTTGGTGAGGTCGACGACGCGCGCTTCGGCGGCGCCCTCGACGAGCTTGACCTTGACGTGCTTCCGGCGCGTGTCGACCGACTCGACCTCGGCGAGGAGCCACGTGTCGGTCTCGTCGGGTACGTAGCAGAGCATGCCGGGCGCGCAGACGTTGGCGGTCTTCTGGTGCTTCCCGACATTGTGCTTGGCCTCGGCTTTGAGCCGCAGCTGGTTCTGGAGGAACCGCCGGCGCGCGCCTTCCTTGTCGAAGGGCTTGGACGAGGCTGGGCGCTTGGAATACGAGAAGCGCTGGTCGGGCAGGACCCAGTTGTTGCTGAGCGTCGACCGCGGCGCGCGACGGACGCGCTTCAATGGCGGCGACGACTTGACGAGCACCGGGGCGACAAACGATGACGACGGTGCGATAAACGACGACGAGGGCGGCGCCGACACCACCGACACCTTGCGCGGGACACCAGTCGTCGATAAGAAGGCTGCGAGCTTGGACCCGCCGGTCGACTTGGGGGCGGCGGCCGCAGCCGTGGGTGGCACGGCCGCCATGAAGCTCGCCAACTTGTTTTGTAACGGTGTGGATGCCACGGGTGACGGCTGCGGCACCGACTTGGCGACGACCGGCGCAGACTTGGCGACGACTGGGACGTGTTTGGGTGATGCTGGTGGCGTCAGCAGCGCTTCATCATCCTCGTCCGCCGAGACGACGGTCTTTGTCTGGGGCACGCGGTTCATCATGATGTTGGCCAGCATCCGTTGCGGGTCGGACGCCGGTGCTTTCTGAAGAAAGTTCCCGAGCTTGCTCGTCGGCGCGGGTGCAGTGACGGGTGGCACGATCGTCGGCGTCGCCACCACCGTTGGCGACGACTCAACGGCCTTGGGGCTCGTCGACGACCGGCGCTGCGTCTTGACTGGCCCCCGCGGCTTGCTCAGCTGCAGCGGTGCTGAGAGCGATTCATCCGAGGCCGCTACGACAGTCGTGGAAGCTACGACGGTCGATGTCGGCGGCGCGACGCCGTTGTTGCGGATCATGGCCATCTTGGCCGCGACGCCCGGCGACGTTTTGCCCGGCTCGGTCCGTGACGACGGCGCCGAAATGATCGTCGGCTTGCCCACGGGCGTCTGCGCCAGGAACGCGCTGAGCTTTTGCTTTGTGTTGCCGACCGGCGGCACGGTCGAGCTCGCGACGATGGGCTTGGGCGACGACGGCGGCGTCATCGGATCGTCGCTGTCGTCGTCGTCAGTGGTTGTCTGAATCGGCGGCGGTACCGCCTTGCTCTTGATGGGCGTCACCACCTTGGCGACCGGCTTTGGCGGCTCGACCACCGCGACCGGCGGCGGTGCCCTTGCGACGACCGGCGGCGGTGCCTTGGGTGTCGGGACCTTGGGTGTCTGCACCTTGGGCGTCTGCGGTGTCTGCACCTTGGGCGTCTGCAACTTGGGCGACGGCTTGGTCACGATCGGCGACTCTTTTGGCGATTTCTTCGGCGACTCCTTGTGCTTCATGGTCGACTTGGCCTTGTTGAGAAAGTTGCTCAGCTTGAATTTGTTGCCTTTGGCGACGACGGGCTCGGGGGGTGGCGCGACCTTGGGCGGCGGCGTCGCGGGCATCTTGCGTGGCGACGGCGTCTTGGGCGCGGGCGACGCCTTCTTCACGACAATCGGGATCTCTTGCGGCGGCGGCTCGACGTGCTCGGGCGTTGGCGGCGCCTTGTGCTTGCTCGTCGTCGACTGAATGGGCACAAACTTGAGAAAGGCCGCGAGCTTGGACGACGACCGGTTCTCGCGCACGATCGAGAGGTCGTACAAGTCGGGCTCGTCGTCGGGCTCCGAGTCGTGGAGGTCGCCAAAGCCCGAGTCGTCGTCGCTGTCGTACGAGCTCGCGAGCGCCGGTCCGTGGTTGGTCGAGACGCGCACGGACGCGCGGATCTCCTCGGCAAACATGGTGTACAGCGCCGCGAGCGTGCGCAGGACCGCGCCAATGTTCTCTTCAAACTGCAAGTCGTGCACGTGGAAGAGGTCGCCTTCGGGCACGCCGACGCTTTTCGCCCACGAGATGAAGGCCTGGATGTTCTCCTTGCAGTGGAAGGCCGTCTTGAGCTTGTTGACGCGGATGGCCGCGTTGAGCGAGTTGGCCAGCTTGCAGAGCACCTGGCCGTCCTTGAGGAGCGCCCACATGTTGCCATCGAAGCGCACGTCGACCGTCGCCTCGATCCACTCCTGGATGTGCTCCATGCGCACGTCGTCGTTGGTCATCGCCGCCAGCACCGCGGCAGTCCGAGGCTGGCGATGGCGAGCCAGATGATGAAGTGGGTTCTATCTTGGGGCGGACTCTACCTCGGGTCTTTTTATTCTGCATATTTAATGCCGCCTACGAACATCAAGTACAACGTCCAAAATATAATACAAGCCAGCGTTACAACGCTGCTCGTCGTGCCCAATCATCGCGCGCGGATCTAGTCGCACGACCACCAAGGGTGCAGACGCATATCAAATGCCTTGAAGTTTGTATACGTTTCGAGTCGCACTCGGGCCGCATTGGAGATCCCACCAATCAGAACACATATGTCTAAGAATAGCGCCAATCACAGGCCTTCAAACCACACGTTGCAGGAGGTGCTGCAGTAAACTGAGATTTCATACACTTGTCAAAGCGCTTACTCACAGGGCGAGGGACACCGGAGCTTCCAGCAGTCCGACGCCGGCGAGAGCCTGTCCAGCACCAAGGCGAGCGACGGCGCTTGGGTGCTCGGCGCCGTTTCCGGTGCGACCGGCAGCTGCGCGCGCTGACCACAAGCGAAGCGACGCTTGCCCATCGCACTAGTATTGCGTCCGTCGACGAAACAGCCGGTGCAAGGGCAGCTGGAAGATCGCGATGACCTTCATCAAGGTTGCTGCAGCAACCTTGACGCTCCTCCTCAAGCTACTGCTCGCGACGGGTCGAGGAAGAAGAAGAAGATCGGAGTAGCCACCCACGACTCAGTCCAGTACCACCACCACTGGGCCTGTCCCGGTCCCACGCCTTGCCAGCGCAGACCACCGAGCTCCGAGCGCGATCAGCAGCAGCAAGCGTGCAACCAGTTCTTATCGTTTACATATATACACCTTGGGTTACCGTGCGGTGCGAAACTCGTCTTTGAGCCGCCACACGCGGCCCTCGCACGTCGCCATGCTCCGGAGCAGGTTGCGGAAGACGTCCTTGTCCTTGGGTGACACCGCCGGCGCAAACTTGGCGATGATCACGTCCGTCTTGACGCCGTTGTGCCGCTCGAGGAACGCGTGCAGCTGCTTGGTGAGCTCGTCGATGCTCTGGTACTGGACGTCCGAGGAGGACGCGACCGCTGTCACCTTGTTGGCGCCGTCGATCGCATCGCGTCGTTTCTTGATTTTCTGCAGCATCGCACTCGACTGGCGCGACGCGTGCTCGTGGCCACTGCGCTTGAGGCCGCGCGCGGCGGCGCCAAAGAGCCGCTTGCCCGCGCTCCCGCTCTTGCCCGTCCACGTGACTTCAAACTGATCTTCGCGCTGCTGCCGGATCGCGCTGCACGACTGGCGGAGCGTACTCAGCGCCGACTTGGCGACTTTGGCCGACTCGATCTCGATCAGATCGGCTTCTTGGTTGTGCACACCGTCGCTCTCGATGCGGTCCTGGCTGAACACGCCTTTGATGCTGCCGCCGTCAAAGAGCGCTTGGAGCAGCTCGGCGTTGTCCTTGCCGCCGTCGTCCGCCTTGAGTTCGGCATCGTCCGCCTCGACCTCGACGGCCTCGTCGTCCTTCTCGTCCGGCTCGACCGCTCGGCGCTCAACGCGCGCGACGCTGCCCAGCGACGACTGCAAAAGCGCGGCGTCGTCCACAGTCTCGTCGACCGTGGGTGGCGCCACGTGCCCATGCAGGTACAAGTCGCCGGTTTCCGTGCCGGTCGTTGCCACCTGATTGCCGGCGTCGTCGACTTGGAGCTCGGTGCCGTCGCTGAGCGTAAAGAGGTCGCGGAGTGCGTTGTGGTTGAAGCACCGCTTCTGCTTGGGGTCGCGCAGCACCTTGTTCATAAGGTACTGCTTGAAGAGCTGGCGGTGGTAGATCTTCTCTTCGATCGTACCCGACGTAATGAGCCGGTAGATGGTCACCTGCTTGGTCTGGCCCATGCGCCACGCCCGCTCGCGCGCCTGCATGTCCGTGCTCGGGTTCCAGTCCGGATCGAAAATGATCACGCGGTCCGCGCCCGTCAAGTTGACGCCGATCCCGCCGGCCTTGGTCGTCAAGAGAAAGCAAAAGAGCTCCGAGTGCGGGTCGTTGTACGCGTCAATGAGCGTCTGCCGCTCCTTGACCGACGTCGTGCCGTCGAGCCGGCAGTACTTGTACCCAAGCGTCGCCATCAACTTGGACAGCAGGTCGAGCGTCCGCCGGTGCTGCGCGAACACGAGCACGCGGTGCTGCTGCCTAAACCACACACCCAAGATCGTCTGCAGCACAGTGAGCTTGCCCGACTGCGCGATCACATCGTCCGTGTCGGCCTCCACCGCGTCCGGGATGTGGTCGGTCATTAAACTCGGGTGGTTGCAGATCTGCCGCAGGATCGTAAGCGCCCGGAACGGCCGGACATCGCGCGCGAGCACCGAGCGCACTTCGGGTGACGCCAGGTACGCGCGGTAGATGCTGGCTTGGGTCGGCGAGAGCGGGCAAAAGATCACTTGCTCCATTTTGGTCGGCAGCGCCGTCGCGATCTGCACGTCCTTCTTGAGTCGCCGCAGCATGTAGGGCGCAATGAGGTCGCGGAGCACGAGCGCGCACTTGTACGCCATGAGGATCTGCATCTTGGTTGCGTTCGCGTAGCCGCCATGGCGGATCGGCAGCACAAACTCGTCTTCAAAGGTCGGGAAGGTCCCAAGCTTGCCGGGAAACACGAAATCAAAGAGACTCCAGAGCTCCTTGAGCCTGTTCTATCTCGAGATAGGGATTGAAGTATAGCTAGATGGTGTACCTGGATCGGCGACCCGGTGAGGATGAGGCGGTGGACGGTACGGAGCTGCTTGCAGACGAGCGTGATCTCCGCGTCCGGGTTCCGAATGCGATGGCCTTCGTCGAGGATGACGTAGTCCCACTCCTTCCCGAGAAGGTGCTCGGCGTTCGCGCGGAGGTTCTCGTACGTCGTGAGGAGCACGCCGCCGGCCTCGAACGTGTGCTTGATCGTCGTGCCGTAGCTGGTCGTTGAAGCGCCCGACGAATGCAAGAGCACGACGCGCAGCTCGGGGCACCACTTGTGGAGTTCGCGGACCCACTGCCAGAGCACCGAGGCTGGGCACGCCAGTAGCACCTACGCGCACGTGAGCTCGACGAGGCGATGGCCGGCAAGTACCGAATGCACAAGTTGCATCTTCCGGAGACATGCGAGGTACGCGGCGATCTGGACGGTCTTGCCGAGGCCCATGTCGTCGCCCAGGATCCCGCCGGCGTTCTGCACGTGTAGTTGGTAGAGCCACTGGATGCCCTCTTTCTGGTGCGGGAAGAGCGCCGACCAGACCCGCGCCGGCACGGCCAAGCCGTCGTCCAAGAGCTCGTCCTGCGGCGCCACGTACGCTTCGCCCGCCTCCTCGCTCTCGACCATGGCCTGCTCTCGCTCCATCTCGCGCGTCTGGCGCAGCTCCTCCAGCCGCTTCTGGTAGTCAACCTCGCGGCCATCATCAACGTGGCTCATGGACCTTGTTGCGGTTATGTCGAAATGCAAGGAAGTCCGAATTACCGTTGGCTATTTCCACGCAACCCCGCCCCGGGAACACACCAAATAGTGTACATCGTTTGGCACGGTTGCAGCTCAATATCAACTCACACTATTTCCGTGCGTCGGGCCGTGCCTTGGCGGGAGGCATTTCTCGACACGCGTGCGCGCCACGCAGAACGCTTCAAATAGTGTACATATACTATTTGCGTGATGGACCTAATTATTGCAAAAGCTACGTGGGGAACAAAACAGAGCCAAATTCTGTATGCAGGAATGCTCGAATTCTTCAATAGTGAAAATCATACTTACCTGGCTGGAGCTCGACCCTGATCAACTCGGGGGTTGACTTGGGCCGGAGCAGGCCTTCATGCACTCCGGTGCTGTAATGGCCTAGGAGTGCCTTCGGGTTCCTCCACAGCGCAATTTTTGCCAGCGGGGGTGTGCGCGTGCGCCACCCCCACCCCCATTCTACCTATTTTACTCATTCTACCTCTTTCCATATCAACTTTTACGTGTTGGACCTATTCACGCACGCGTACGTTCTTGTTTTACGTGATTGCTCGTATTGGACGCTGCTAGAGTTTTACGCCTTAAACGCAAGCACCTTCAACACTTGAACCCATTCGACGCCCTCGCAGCCTTGCACGTCGACTGCAACACGACTCGAGTCGCAAGCTGCCAAGTTAGTAGAGTCAAATCACGCAAGTTAGTAGATTAAGATAGGACGAATAAATAACAACGTGGCGTCAGACAAAGTCGTCGACGGACGCTACGCCTTCGTAGCACTCGAGCGAGAGCCCGTCGCGGTCGGTGTTGCTCCACGCGTCGACGATCGACGCGCCGAGCGTCAGGAGCGACTGCCACTGGGCGTCCGGCGATGCAAGCTCGGGCGCGTGGCCGCACTGGCAGTCGCCAAAGAGCCCCGTGAGCGTCTCGTCGCAAGTCGGGCGGTGTTTCGCGCGACGGGCGGGCGTCGCCGGCTCCTTGCGCGCGCGCTTCTTGGGCGCGAGGCTCGCTGTCGGCGGCGCCTTCGCGTCCGGGTCGCGGAAGACGCTAAAGTTGGCTTTTGGGTTGAGCACGTCCCGGTTCAAGTAGATGTACTTGACGCCCATGTCTGTGTTGGTCCAGACGATGTTGCACTGGACGAGGACGGCGAGGACGTCGTACATGCGCCGGCCCTTCGAAGCCGGGATCGCGGTCGTCGACGGCTTCTCGTCTTCGATCGTGTGGATGAGGTGGCGCCGGATCGCGTTGCCATTTAAGAGCAGAAACTTGATAAACTTGACGGTCGCGAGCGAGAGCGCGGGCCACTTGTCGTCGGAGGCGTCGTTCAAGGGCGCGTTCTCCTGGAGCTCGAGCATGCTGCGCACGGTGGGCACGACAAAGTAGTCGCCGTAGAACATGTGCCCGTGGCCGTTGAGCCCGTCGGACGAAACGCGCTTCGTGACCAGCCCGATGGCCTGGAGGATGTGCAAGACGTCGTAGATGCGGCGGCGGGGCAGCCCGAGCACCTCTTCCATCCAGTTGGCGCGGAGCGCGACGGGGAACTCGGTGCAGGCCTCCTGGAGCTCGCGGAGCAGCTCGAGCACGAGCTCGCACACGTTCGAGATGGTCTTGGTGCCGATCTCGACCGCCCGGCGCGCGAAGCGCAGCTTGAGCTCCTTGGACGCGCCCGGCGAGCACGGGTCCGCGTCGTCGTCGCGCTTGGCGAGCTTGGCCGACGTCCGCGGCTTGATCGCCACATGCATGCTCGGGAGCCTCCGCCCCTTCCCCGCGCCTTGCCGATCCATCCTGCCAAGATTGAAACACGTTGTGCAAGGTCATAATCGGGCCGGCCCCAGGATTTTAGCCAATCCGTGCCCACCGGCACTTCTTTTTCCACCAATGAGAAACGATCGGTGGCGCCATCGCCCGCTTTTTTGCCCGCTGCAACACGACGTGGATGAACGAGTGCTAGTATTAGACGTCCCAGTCGTCGGATGCGAGGAGCGCGTCGAGGTCGCAGCACGCTCCGCCGTCGTCCAGCACCGGGAAGAGCGCATCGACCGTCGTCTCGGCGCCCCAAAACTCGCCACGCGTGTCCCAGTCGACGAGCGCCATGGCCGCGTCGGTCGCACTCGTGACGCTCTCCGACATGGGCAGCGTGAGGAAGCTCGGGTAGTCGCGCCAGCCGGGCACGCCAGTGCTCTTGTTGCTGCGGTGCTTCTTGGCATGTGGCTTGGTCGTTGCTGTCATCGAGCGCAGGCCCTTGCGCTTGGTCGAGACACTCGTCGGCGGCGCAAAGAGCGAGAACGCGGGCGAGAAGAGCGTCGGGTTGATGCTAACGCGCTTCGGACCGCCGTTCGACGCACGAATCTGCACCACGTTGCACCGCACAAGCACGGCGAGCACATCGTACGTGCGCCGATCCTGCGCCGGCGCCAACGCCGAGCCCACCGACCCGTTGTCGTCGACGAGACGGAGGTCCGACTGGACGACCGGGCGGTTGGCCGCAAAGAGGAGCCGGAGGAGTTTGGTCGTTGTCCGCAAGAGCGCGGTCCCTGTGTCTTTGGTCGGAGCGTCCGGTGACAAGATGCGGATAATCTGGTCGACGCTTGCAGTGCGCACGTCGGCCACCGCCGCCATCGCGCGCTCCCGGAGGCGCTCGAGCGTGGGCACAATGTTGCCTTCGCCATAGTACCAGTATCCTCTTCCGTTCGGGACGCGCGTGACCAGTCCGATCGCGTCAAAGATGTGCAGCACGTCGTAGATGCGCCGGCGTGGAAGGCTCAAGCTGTCCCCGATCGCACGGGCGCGAAGCGCCAGCGGCAGCAGCGTACCCTCGCGCTGCGAGAGCTGCACGAGCAGCTCCAAGATGTACTCGCACACCTGCACCATCGTGTACGTTGACGGCGTGCCCTCCATGCGCCCGGCGAAGTAGGCCTTGATGTCGTCGGGGATAATCGCGTCCGGCTCGTCGTCCGAGTTGGCCACGGCGCCATGGTCGTCTACAGCGTCGAGCCCACGGCTTCTTGCGCGGTCCGTCGGCCGCTGCAACTGCTGCTTCCGCATGGTGTAGATCTGTGGCTTCCTCGCAAGATCGCAACTGCCCGCGGATCGAAGTCGAAGTGGAGCCGTCCCATACAAACACTGTATGTGAACAAAACTACGGTAGATCCACTTCGAGGTGTTGCCGCGAAACTAACATTCGGCATACGCCATATTTAGTGGACGCAACTCAGCCGCCAATTCGGCACGACGCGATGGCCGACGACGACGTGGATGCGCGCTTGCGCCAGGCCGAGTTCGACCTCTTGTACGCCGGCGCTGAGCGATGAGGCCATCTGCTCATGGTTAACATGCGTAGGTACCAGCGCATGATGCGTCGGCGGGCGCCATCGCCCGTGGAGCCACCGGCGCAGCCATCACCCGTGGAGCCACCGGCGCAGCCATCACCCGTGGAGCCACCGGCGCTGCCATCACCCGTGGAAGCGCCGGCGCAACCAGCAGCCGAGGAGACGCCAACGGCAGCAGCACCCGCCACGACGCCGCGCAAGCGGCGGCGACGTGACCCTGCTGTCGTGCGCAACACCCGCGCATACGCCCGCGCTGAGCGAAACTCGATCGTTCTCGCCGACTCGAGCGACGAAGACGAATGCGAGTCGAGCTCGACCGATGACATCGCGCCGTCGACGTGCATGGAGGTCGATGTACCCGACAACACGGACGCTTCGCCGAGATTGCTGCTGCCGCTGACCGCGACCAAGAGCGAGCGCCAGAACGCGCCACGCAGAGTGTTTCTAACGAGGACGCGCCAAGCCACACCGCGGCAGGTGCGGCGCTCGCGCAAGGAGCGCCACGTACACCCGTCCCGGTACAGCGTCGCCGCTGCCCAGTGCTGTACGTGTCATCTTCCATCACATTCGCACAGATTGGCATCGTAGACGCGCGCTTGGACGCGGTGGCCGCGCTGCTTCGACCGCCCGACTTTACACCTAGAATCGTCGTCTTTGGGTCGTTTGGCCCGCTGACAACGTGCGCCGTGCCCATGCCGCCACGACTATTACCTTCCTCGTCCTTGTACCTATAAGACCGCTAAGAAGCTACCGACTCGGGTGGCTTGCTGGCCTTGGAATCCCGCCAACGGCGCCAACTTCAACTCGATACAAACCGTCTTGGCCCTCTTATCCGGACGGCACCGGCTTCAACCTCAAGGTCGTCTCTGTCTTTGTATGGTCGCGTCGGTCTTCCGGATACGAACATGCTTGGCGATCTTCGGGCACTTGCAAATTTTGGCCCATGCGCGTACTCGGTGGTGTGCTGCTGGCGGCGACGGTCGCCGTCGACGCGTGCACCGTCATCTCTGTGGGCAAGAAGGCGACCGTCGACGGCTCGGTGCTGGTCTCGCACACGAACGACGCGGGCTTGAACCCGGCGGACCTGCGCATGGTCCGCGTGCCTGCGATGAACCACACGGCGGGCAGCCGACGCGCCGTGTACAACTTCCAGCGCAACGGGTACCCGCGCCTCGTGACCGCCGAGCGCGGACCGCTGTATGCACCGCTGGAGGGCCAGGCGCTCTCTGCGCCGCTCGGCTACATTGACCAAGTCCCGTACACGTATGGGTACTTTGACCACGATTATGGCATGATCAACGACCAGCAGCTGAGCATCGCCGAGAGCACGTGCGCGGCCAAGACGGTCGGGTGGCCGTCGTCGCTGCACTATGGTCACAACCTCTTTCAGATTGAAGAGCTCTCGAAGATTGCGCTCGAGCGCTGCGACTCGGCGCGCTGTGCGATCACGACGATGGGCGATCTCGCGGTCGAGCACGGGTTCTTTGGCGAGTATGGGAAGAACCAAAAGGCGAATTACGGCAGCTCGTCGGAAGCGCTCGGTATCTCGGACAAGTATGGCGAGAGCTGGATCCTGCACATGCTCACGGGCCCGAAGAACACGTCGGCGGTCTGGGCGGCGCAGCGCGTACCGGACGAGCACGTGGCGGTCGTCGCCAACTCGTTTGTGATTCGGACGCTCAACCTCAGCGACAGCGACAACTACCTCGCGTCGAGCAACGTCGTCTCGTTTGCCCAAGACATGGGCTGGTACAACCCGGCGGTGGACGGCGACTTCGACTTTGCCAAGGCGTACAGCTGGGCCAAGCCCGGCCCGAGCAAGCCGCTGTACGGCGGCCGCCGCATTTGGCGCGTCTTTGACGTGCTCGCACCGTCGCTCGCGCTCGATGCGACATTGGGTCAGCACCCCGAAGTCGCAACGTACCCGTTTTCGATCAAGCCCGACAAGCTCGTTGCGCCGACGGACCTCATGGACCTCATGCGCGACCACTACGAGGGCACGCCGTTCGACATGACCAAGGAGGTGGCGGCCGGGCCCTTTGGCAGCCCCGTGCGCTTTGGCGGCTCGACCAAGAACGTGACGGGCGGCTGGGAGCGCGCGATCTCGATGCACCGCACGACGCACAGCTTTGTGCTCCAAGCGCGCGGCTTCTTGCCGGATGACGTGGGCGGCGTCACGTGGTACGCGCTCGGCGCGCCCCATGGCTCGGTCTACGCCCCGTTCTCGTGCGCACAGACGTCGATTCCGTCGTCGTACCTCGCGTCCCGGAAGAACGAGTTTGACACGAGCGCGGCGTGGTGGGCGTTTGAGTTTGTCAACAACTGGAGCATGCTGCGCTACGACCTCATCCACGCTGAGATCAGCACAGTGCTGCAAGCGCTGCAGGCGGACGCGATCGCGCTCGAGGCCGAGACGCGTGCGACGGCCATGACCATGGACGACCCGACAGCGCGTCTCGCGTTCATTGAAGCCAAGACGAATGCATTTGCCCAAGCCATGGTCGACAAGTGGTGGCGCCTGGCGTTCCATCTCGTTGTCAAGTTTAGCGACGGGTATGTGATCCACGGCGACCGGTCGGGCGACATGAAGGCGCCCGGGTACCCTGCGTGGTGGTTGCAGTCGACCAACTTTGCCAGCTGGCCCGAGCCCCACGCGTACAAGCCGCCGGCTGCGATCCTCGCGCTGCAGGCGCCGCCGCAGCAGTCGACGGCGCTCTGGCTCGTGAGCGCCGTCGTGGCTATCGCGGGCATGACGGTCGTCGGGATCGTCTTTATCCGCCAGCACCGCCGCGGTCACGAGTACCGCCGCTTAGAGTAAAATGGACTGGATTTTGGCACTTTTGAGTTTGACAGGGTCGTTTTTGAGTTTTATTGGGTCGGTTTTTGAGTTTTGGGCTGAGCGGGGCCGTATTGAGCTGAGCTGGGCCGTTTTGAGTTGAGCGTGGCCGTTTTTGAGGACTTGGGTTTTGGATATGGAGCGGTTCGAGACGGCGTACGGGACGACGTTCCAGTGCACGAGCGTCTGCCACTTTATCACGATCGCCTTCTCGGTGCTCTTGCTGCTCTTCGTCTTGCTGCTGCTGCTCGTGCCCGTGAGCACGACCCAGTACGTCAAGGCGCCGGCGACCAAGCGCAAGCGCCCGCCCAAGCCATTGGCACCGGCGACCACCGTGCCCACGCTGGCGGCCGTCGGCGTTCACCAGCACCTCCTCGACCCGTACGCGCCGGTGTCGACGGCCTTGACGACCGAGGTCGACGACGTGCCACGCATCGACACCGACGACTATGACTTTATCGCGTCCTTGTCGACCGCGGTGCCGGCCAAAGCGCCGCCGTCGCCGCGCCGGCACAGCGCAGCGGCCGACGTCCACGTCAAGCGCGTCAACGTAGCGCGCAAGAAGGACCGGCGCGCCGAGCTCCGCGCGGCCGACGTGAGCTACGAGACGCTGGGCGACGACGCGATCCGCGAGCACGAGTACCTCGAGTTTGTGCGCAGCCTCCTCGACGGCGTCGGCCTCTTCAAGCTCAAGTCCAACGGAAAGAAGTCGCCCCGCATCTTTGCGCTCTCGCACGACCTGACGCTGCTCACATGGACCAAGCCGCACGGCCTGCTGCGCAAGACGTCGTCGGTCGCAATGCGGGACGTTGTCGGCGTCACGACCGGCGTCGGGCCCACCGGCGCGTTCCTCTCGCTCCTCCAGGCAGACAACTCGACGCTCGACGTCCAAGCCGACTCGGACATGACGCTCCAGAAGCTCCGCAACGGCTTCTCGATGCTGCTCCAGGCACAGCAATAGCAAGCACTGTCCAAATACCTAATTAGACATTGTACAATAAGGCTTTATTGCCTCGAGACAAGGATATTTCCGAAAAGGTCCGAAACCAATTCTTCGAACAAGGACGCGAGATTGCAATATGGGCGCCGACGCCTGGCTCCAGGAGACGGTCGTGCTCTGCGTGTGGCCGCGCCGACCGCTGCCGCTGGCCGACGCGACCTTTGACATTGGCGGTGGTCCGTGCGCTAGCGTGGCCTCGCGCGTCGTGACCATGGAGGTCGAAGAGCTGCACCCGCCGCTGGCCGAGGTCCCGCCACGCCGGTCGCTCGTCTACCTCTACGACGACTGGGCCGACAAGGTCGCTGGCTTCCTCAAGAAGGTACGATGCACCGTCGCCATCTCTATCTCATGGGCGCAGTACCGCGTCGGGTTCTTTGGCGACGGCTTGTTTCAGGGCCACGTCGAGACCGATTCGATGGCGTCGACGGCGTCGCAGGCCACCGACTTTAGCTGCGTCGTCGTGGCCGCGCCCGAGCTTCTCGAGGCCGCCGGTCTCTTCATCCACGACGACGACGACAGCGAAAACGACGACGAACCCGCGCCGCGTCGCAGCATCTTTCTGCGCTACCAAGAGCCGATCCGCGCGCCCAACTCGGACCAAGTCGCGTACGAGCGTCTCTGCACGTTGCGCGCCGAGACACGGCCGCCCCGTACGTTGCGCCTCCTTCCCTGCGTCTCACGCGGTTGTAGCGCCGTCGGTACGCGACCGTCGTTTGCCCGCTTCGTGCAATGGGTGTGTAGAAGAAGCGCCGACTCCGCGTCGGCGACAAGTACCAGTACACGCCGCTCGCAGCCCTCGGCGAGCGCACGGCCGACGTCTACGGCGTCGTCGTTTCGTACACGACACCCAAGCAGGCGTCGCGCGGTCGCATGGACTTTGAGGTGCGTCGTCGGTCGCCGTCGATGCTGCATCGACCAGTGTAGATGACGCTTGCGATCATCGACGAGTCCCGACCCGAGCGCGCCCAGGCGCTGTACATCAACGTCTTTGCACCGGACCTCGCGCACCTTCCGCGCATCCTCGTACGTCGTAGGCGCGTCGCTCGGTTGACGCAGCGTGTAGGCGGTCGGCGACGTCATTCGGTTCCACAAGCTCGTACTGTCGCGCTACAACGGCGTCCTCGTCGCGCTATGGTGCGTCGACCAACGTCGTTGCTACGGTCATCGATGACGCGCCAACGTAGCACGCGGGCGTCGCGCTTCGTCGTCTTCCGCCTGGCGGACGGGTCGAGCACTGAGGTGGTCCTCACGCACACGTACGAGTCGGTGACGTACCTTCCGTCCGACAAGGCCCGCGCGATCGCTCTCCTGTTTGTACTTGTGGTGCGTCGACCGTGACGGCAAGGCGTGGTTGTATAGGCAGTGGGGCGCGTCGACGCTGCCGACCGACCACACGACGTGTCCGCGCAACCATTTCGGGCCGCCACGCGCCTTGCGTCACGTCTACCCGGCCGCGTACGTCGACGTCGTCGCGTTCGTCGAGTCGCCGTTCCGCGCCGGCCACCCGGTGCGATTCTCAACGAAGAGAGAGGAAAGAGCTGACGAGAGGTAGGCGGTCGCGGTCGTCTCGGACCGCATGCACGTGACGGCCGAGGTGCATGTGCACGCGCACTTTGCCACGCTGGACACGATGGGCTGGACGGCGGCGGCGGTCGGGCGCTGGTGCCGCTTCCGCGGTGTTCAGGTCACGGCCACCGACTCGCTCGTGCTCCACTTTGGCGTCATGTCGTCGCTCGAGATCTACCCGACGCCTGCGTTCGGCGCCATTTGACGCGTGCTGCGCCTCAACGTGCACGTAGGACTCCGCCGCGCCTTCCGCCGCTCGACCGGATCGTGACAACGGTGCCCCGTGCGATCGCTGCGCTCAGCTGCGTGAGCTTGGCGACGTTCCTGACGACGCCCGTACCCCCACGAATACGCTACAGTCGTCGACTTGATGGTCTCTAGGTACCGTGCAAGGCCCACGTCATGGCCGAGATTGTCGACGTGAGCCCGCGGACCGCGGCGGCGTTTACCACACGGTACGTGGGTGATGCGCTCACTCGAGAATGACGAGGTGCGCTAGCATGAACAACCAAACTGTCTACATGGGACTCCTGCGGCTCCAAGACGCCACTGCAAGCGTCGATGGCATCCTCTTTGGCGCCGACGGGGTATCGTTTGCAGCATATATCTGCATGCCCACCGACAGAGTTGGTAGGAGATGTTCTTTGGGCGCCCCGCCGCCGAGACTGAGGCGCTCGACGCGCGGCTCACGCACCTCATGGCGCACCGGCAGCCGCTGCAGTGGTGCCTCGTGTCGTACGCCACGGCCACCAACGACGTCCGCGTCCGCATTGTCCAGACCCGACTCGCCAACTCGTCATAATTTGTGAATCTGAATGTGAAATGTGAAAACGTCCGTGTGGTTTCGGCGCCTATTTCCAGACTCGGCGCCGTCGAAATGGCAACGCATGCGACCGAGTACCGGGAGATCGTGCTCCACGCGCCGCCACATGTGGCGTTTGGCGACAACTTTGTCGTCTCGTCCAAGTACACGCTGCTCTCGTTCCTGCCAAAGTTCCTCCTCGAGACCTTCCGAAAGCTCGCAAACGCGTACTTTCTCGTCGTCTCGCTCATGCAGCTCGTGCCGTCCATCAGCAACACGGGCGGGCGGGCGTCCACGGCGCCGACGCTCCTCTTTATCATGCTCGTCGACGCCGTCTTTGCGGTTCTCGAAGACCACAAGCGCCACGTCGCCGACAACGTGGCCAACGCCCGTGTCACGGCCGTGCTCGACGCGACGACCGGGACCTTTAGTCCGAAAATGTGGCGCCACGTGCTCGTCGGCGACTTTGTCAAGCTGCGCAACCACGACCAGGTGCCCGCCGACTTGCTCATTCTCGCGGTCGCCGAGCAGGCGGGCATGCCCCCGACCGGCATCTGCTACGTGGAAACCAAGTCGCTCGACGGCGAGACCAACATGAAGGTGCGGCAGGCGATGGAGGCCACTTCGGCGAGCTGCGGTGACCCGTCCGCGCTGCTTGGGTTGCGCGGACACGTGCACTGTGAGCACCCGAACGCCGCCATCAACTCGTTCCAGGGCGTCTTGGCGCTGAAGACCAACGAGGACGAGAAGAGCGAGATGAAGAAGGAGGCGATTCCGTACAAGAGCGTGCTCTTGCGCGGGTGCACGCTGCGCAACACCGAGTGGATCGTCGGCCTAGTCCTCAACACGGGCAAGGACACCAAGATCATGCGCAACAACTCGGCCACCCCCTCGAAAATGAGCTCGATGGACGTAGCCATCAACCGCTACATCATCGTGCTCGTGCTTGTGCTCCTCCTCTGCTGCGCGCTGGGCGCCACCGGCAGCGTTCTCTGGGACGACGCCAACTACAGTGCGTGGTACATCGCCGGCGTTGACCCGGCGGCGCCGGACGCGGTCGCCGACTGGTGGACAATGTTTTTCTACTTTTTCCTGCTCATGTACCAGTTCGTGCCGATCTCGCTCTACGTGTCCATGTCGATGGTCAAGTACATCCAGGCCATCTTCATCCAGTGGGACATCCACATGTACTACGCCGAGACGGACACGCCGGCGCTCGTCCGCACCATGTCGCTCAACGAGGAGCTCGGGCAAGTGAGCTACATCTTCTCCGACAAAACTGGCACGCTCACGTGCAACATGATGGAGTTTCGCAAGTGCTCGGTCGGCGGCACGGCGTACGGCCGAGGCACGACTGAGATTGGCCTTGCGGCCCTTCGCCGCGCTGGGCAACCGGTGCCGGCAGAAGCTCCGCCCAGCAGCGTCAAGCGCCCGTTGGTTCCGTACGTCAACTACGACGGCCCCGAGATTTACGACCACATGGTCGGCGAGGCCGGGCCCGACCAAGCGGCGCGACTGCACCATTTCTTCTTGCACCTCGCCGTGTGCCACACAGTCATCCCCGAGCGTCGCGAAGGCTCGGACGAGGTGACGCTCTCGGCGTCATCGCCCGACGAACAGGCGCTCGTGGCCGGCGCCGGCTTTTTCGGCTACGAGTTTATGAACCGGATTCCGGGCCGGGCCTTCTTGCGCATCAAGGCTGAGACGCTGCAGTACGAGCTCCTCGACGTGCTCGAGTTCAACTCGGCGCGCAAACGCATGTCGACGGTCGTGCGGGACCCCTCGGGGCAACTGCTCCTCTTCACAAAAGGCGCCGACGTGGTCATTTTCGAGCGGCTCAAGAAGGACGCGTCCGGCGCCGCGCTCCTAGCGACGACGAGTCAGCACATCAACGTGTTTGCGGAAGAAGGGCTGCGCACGCTCACGATCGCCATGCGCGAACTAGACGAAGGTGACTATGCGGCGTGGCGTCGGCGCTACCACGTCGCCCTCAACGACTTGGCTGAGATCGAGAAGCGCAAGCGCGAAGCCCCGAACGCGATTGATGCGTGCATGGAGGAGCTCGAGACGAACTTGGAGCTCCTTGGCGCGACCGCGATCGAAGACAAATTGCAGCCCGGCGTGCCCGACACGATTGCGACGCTGGCCGACGCCGGCATCAAGATCTGGGTGCTCACCGGCGACAAGGAAGAGACGGCCATCAACATTGGCTTTGCGTGCAACCTCCTCCATAATGGCATGACGCGCATCATAATCAATGCCGAGCGGTGCCCGACAGCGACCGAGACCGAGAGCGAACTTCGCCGGCAGCTCGAGCACCGCGTCAAGGGCGAGGACGCGGCGCTCGTCATCGACGGCGAGAGCCTCCTCGTCGCGCTCCATGGCAGCTGCCGCCTCCCGCTCCTCCAGCTCGCGCGCGGCTGCAAGGCCGTGATCGCGTGCCGCGTGTCGCCGGCGCAGAAGGCCGAGATGGTCGACCTCATCCGGTGCCACGTGCCCGGCGTCAAGACGCTCGCGATCGGCGACGGCGCCAACGACGTGCCAATGATCCAAGCTGCGCACATCGGCATCGGCATTTCCGGGCAAGAAGGGCTCCAGGCCGTCAACGCGAGCGATTACGCGATCGCGCGCTTTCGGTTCCTCAAGCGACTCCTCTTGGTGCACGGCCGGTGGAGCTACCTCCGCATGGCGCAGCTCGTAGTCTACATGTTTTACAAGAACATTCTGCTCACGGCCGCGCAGTTCTGGTACACGTGGATGTCGGGCTTCTCGGGTGAGAAATTCTACCTCGAGACTGGCTTCCAGATCTACAACGTGGTCTTCACGGCCTGCCCGATCATCCTCCTCGCGATCTTCGACATGGACGTGCACGACGACATGGCGCTGCGGTTCCCCAAGCTCTACATGCTCGGACCCGAGAACAGCTGTTTGAACCCGATGGTGTTTTCGCTATGGATCGCGTCGGCGCTCGCCGAGTCGGTCGGTGTCACGCTGCTCCTGGTGCACGGCCTCCAGGACGCCGGCGTCTTTGCCGACTCGCCGCCCATGTGGTACCTCGGCAACATTGTGTTTACGATCGTCGTCGTGCTCGCGAACGCCAAGCTCGCGCTCTTCCAGCACGCGTGGCACCCAGTGCACTACATTGTCTACATTGGGTCGGTTGGGCTCTGGGTCGCGGTCGCGTTTGTCGCGTCGAGCTGGGACGAGCTCGCGGGCTGGTACTACAGCGGCATGATGGGCGTCACCGTGAGCACACCGGCCTTTTGGCTCGTGCTGCTGCTCGTACCCGTCTCGCTGCTCCTTCCGACGTACGTGACGAACGCCGCCAAGGCCGAGTGGCGCCCCGAGTACAACCAGCTCGCAAAGGAAGTCGCCCAACTGCACCTGGACGAGTCGCTCTTGGCGTGGACGGGTGTCGCGCCGCGCGAGCCGTCGGCGCTCTTGTTGAAATCGGCGATCGCGCAGGCCAAGCACGCGGCGACGGTGGTCCCTGTTGGCGAGAAGAAGCGCGTGAGCTTGAGTCAAATGCTGCGGTCTGGCGTCCACAACGGCTTTGCTTTCTCGTCCGACAGCCACGCGAGCCGCGCCGAGGCCAAGCGGACGCTGCAAAGCCACGGCTCGGACGTTGTCGCGATCGTCAAGGAAGAGACCAAGGCAGCCGGCAGTAGCAATACGATCGTCGGCTCGCGTAGTAGTTAGAAATATGCAAAAAGTATATACATTCCCGCCTCGATGCAAGCCAAGGTTGGAGACGGGATCTTTTTGGCCAATCCATGAAAAGAAGAGCTATGATTGGCTGAAAATCCGACTTTGCCGTCTCCCACCGACACGGTGGCGCCACGTCATCTCGAGCAGTGCTACCGTATTTGGCCACGAGAGCGACGCGCTATTGACTGCCGCAGCGGCCAGAACGACGCGCTGGAGATTGCAACTAGTGTCGGCGCTAATCTGTCGACCGTTGGCGACGCCTCTGATTGGTCGCCTAGTCCTTATAATATCGAAGGATCCTGACGCTCAGAACCTTTCCAGCGCGAATGGCCCGACTCGCGCTCGTCGCGGCCGCCGTGCTTGTGTGGTGCCTCACTGCAGTCGCCTACGCTTCGTCGTCGTCCTCTTCTTCGTACTACACCGGCAGCAGTGGCTCCTACTCGTACGATGCTGGCAGCGGCTCCGCGTATTACGCAAGTGATGTGATCACGAAGCCGGGGGCGTACGCGCTCCCGTCCCAGTACGCGAACGCGACGCCAATGGCACTCCTCGACGTCGGCGGCGGCCACATGACCTTCCATTGGTACTGCTTGCATTCAGCTTCTTGGTGCTGAACGCCGGTAGGTTTACGCCGGCGACGATCGACTCGATGTACCTCGTGTACGTCAACGGGTCGCTGACAGGGCACGCGTTCGGCATCACGAGCGACTATACGCTCGAAGGCCTTGTCTGCGACGCGACGTACATCGTCGTTGTGGTTGACGTGGTCAACACCAACTTGGCCAACGTCCTCTTGGCCACGACGACGGCGGCGACGGCGCCGGCGACGCCGCCAGCACCCGTCGCGCTGCATGTCGACAGCGGGTACGTCAACATTAGCATTCTCTACCCCAAAGACACGGGCGGGCGTCCGATCGAGTATGCGGTGCAAGTCACCGCCGACGCCGTCGACCTCGAGCCGTTCGCACCTGTGACCAAGCAATCGGGGCCGCAATCTGCGACCGTGTACAGTCTGTTTGCCAACACCGAGTACTTTATCTCGGTGACCTTGACAAACGCCGGCAACTGGACAAGCCCGACAAGCTACCCCCTCGTCGTGACAACGAACGACGTCACGTACCCGAGCATCTGCCCGATGCCGGTGCTCGTGGCGGCCACCGGTGCGTGTTTCAAATGTAGTCTGCTATCTCATATATTCTTATTGGCAGCGGGTCTTATTCAACTGCGCTTGACACCGCCACTCGACACGGGTACGCTCTCTACTGTTATAATGAATCGGGTTACGATACTCCTCTTGGGCTGCGCAGGTGGCTCGGATATCTTTGGCTACCACATCTACGTCGGCGTCAACGGCTCCATGATGGAGGCCGCGTTCACGTCGATCACCGATGCCTACTTGTACGAGTCGGCACCGGGGCAAGCGTGGGTGCCAGAGACGACATACGATATTCAAGTCATCGCGATGAACGAGCTCGCGCTCTGTCCGAGTGACAACTCTGCACGCAGGAGCGACGCGCTTCGCGTCACCATCCCGCCCGCCCAAGTGCCCAGCAGTCGGTCCCTCGGCGCGTATCTCGTGGCGGCGGAGGCATCTCGCCTCACGCTGCAAGTACTCTTGCCCAACGATTTGGAAGGCGCGACACCTCTCGGCGTGTACGTTACGGCGACCCCGATCGTCGGCAGCGCTACGACGGTGCTCTTCCCGACGACGGGTGCCGTTGTGGCGACGATCGCCGGTCTCAACGCGTCGACAACTTACGCGATTGCCCTACAACTGCTCACGAGCCTCGGCAATACCACCGAGCGCAGCAATGTGCTGCAAGCCACGACTGCGCAAGGAGTACACGATGCTATGCCATATCGAGCGTCTCTTGATATTTGCGTAGGGGCTGCCGGCGGCTCTGGTGCAAACCACGGCTCTGAACGTCACGGCAAGTACGGCGGTGGTCGCGTGGGTGTATGCGAGTGACAGCGGTGGCGGCGTGCTCACTGGTATCGCGATCGTGATGCCGACCACACAAAGGTCACGCGAATGATGCACTGTAGAGTACCAAATGCAAGTGAATGCAAGCAGCGCGTCAGTATCGCCGACGTGGCTACCGCTTCCACCAAGTCCCGTCGCGACGATCTCGGGTCTTCTGGCCAACACCATATATCAAGTGACAATCCGGGTCCGCAACATCTTTGGGCTGGTGTCGCCAGCAGCATTTGCGCTGTTGACGACGGCGAATGCGACAGTACCCGGTCCTCCGACGAGCATTGCGATTGCGTCCGTCTCAAGCACCGCCCTCCAGCTCGCGTGGCGTCCACCCGAGGACACGGGGGGGCAGAGTGACGCGCTCATGTACTCGGCGACCGTACTTGCGGACGACAACGTCGTTGGCGCGTGCAGCAGCAGCACGCTTTTCTGCACGTTATACGGGCTTCAGCCGTCGACGTACTTTACAGTCACTGTGGTGGCCTCAAATGCACTTGGTACCGGTGCGGCCTCGGCGCCCATTGTCGTGCTCACGAGGTACTCTCCCTTGCGCTCTCCATTTCATTTCAACTCTGTGCTAGCGCGGTGACGCCACCGAGCGCCGTGCTCAACCTCTCCACCGCCTTCGTGTCGGGTGGTGTCATCAATGTGTTCTGGAGCTTTCCCTTGGTGCGTCGACGTTCATCCACGCCGGCAGTTTTAACTTGTCATCGTAGGACTCGGGCGATGGCTCGTCGACGCTTCAGTACACGGTTGCACGCAACGGTGCCGTCGTCGGCTCCGTGTCGGGCGCGACGACTTATACCGACTGTGGTGGCATTCTCGCTGGAGCTACGTACGAGTACACGGTGACGGCTGTCAACTCGGTGAGCGCGGGACCGTCCGCGTCGACGACGACCGTGACGTCGGTGATGCAGCCACCGATGGCACCCTCGATTTCATTGGTGCGCGCCCAGGCGACGGGGCTAACGTTTTCGTTTGCGCCGTCTTGCGACACTGGCGGCACCAACGTCTTGTGGCACTACGCTCTCTGGTATCCAATCGACGCACCGATGCCGTTGTCGCCGATGCTTGAGATCCCGTCGACGGCGTCGAGCTTTGCCGTTGGGGGTCTCACGCCATCAAGAATGTACACCGTCGTCGTCTGGACGAGCAACTACGCCGGCAAAAGCAACCTCATAATGGCAACGGCAACCACGACGACGGGACTGCCGGGGCTCCCGAGTGCTTCTCTCCTCGCTGCGTCGACATTCACGTTGAGCCTCGCGCTCTTGCCCCCGGCCAACTTTACCGAAGATTCGTGGCTGTTTCAAGCCACCGTGTCGCTCGCCGGCCGCGTCGTTCGCAATACGACGGTACCAGCGTCGGCGGCCAACTCGACTGTGTGGTCGCTCACCGCCCTCGACGCTGCGACGACCTACAACGTATCCCTGCAAGTTCTCACGCCTCAAGGAGCCAGCCCCGTGGCGACAGCTCAATTTGCAACTCTGCTTGACCAACCAGGTTGGCGCCCCATACTCCGAGGCGACTTCGAAACTAAAGATCACTCTAGGTGTGGCGTCGTTTGTGATGCCGGCGGCTTACTTGATGGACGGCAGAAACAGCACAACGCTGACGCTCGAGCGACTGTACGGAGCTCGAGGGGAGCTCGTCGTGCCGTTCTCGGTGTCAACTGCTCCCACTGGACTCTATCCCGTGTGCACCACGACAGGGTCGGCGACGAAGTGCACGTTTTCGGCCACGACCTCGACAACCCCGTCAATCACGTTTGACGCTGGGAACGTGACGCATGCCTTGACGCTGGAGACGTGGAACAGCCTCGTGGTCTCTGATGTCCCGCATACGATCAACATCACCCTGCCATCGGCGGAGAATGCTTCGACGACGGCCATTGTGTACCTTTATGGGTCTTCGGGATCGATCCAGGCGCCGGCTACCGTCGTTCTCTACGAAAATGCGTCGACTGCGTCGATTGCTCTGGCTCGTGTCGGCGGTGTGAGTGGTTTCCTCAATGCTACGGTGACTCCCTTGAACGGCACTGCGATTGTTGGGGTCGACGTCGGGGTGCCACCAACGTCAGTGGTCTTTGCTCCACGACAGACCACGGGCGTGATTTTGGTAACCAACATCTCGCAGAGTCGACAGTACAACCCCAGCGGTCGAAAGTTCCAGCTTGTGCTCAGTCTTCTCCCGGTGGGCAACGTACCACCGATGCCAGCCGTGGTTGTCAACGTGTCGGTCCTCGACGACCCGAGCATCGTCAAAGTGCCAATGCTGTGCGGAACCGTCGTGATGACGCAAGCTACGGGCACCACACTGACGCTGCAGTGGTCGCCGCCTGTCGCCGGCGTTACGCCCACGAGTGTCTACCGTGTATCCGTCGCGGGTGTTGCGGGCACTGTAGTCCAGTCGCCAATCGTAGTCACGTCGCTGAGACCAGGGATTGTTGTTTACAACCTCACGCCATCGTCCAACTACGTCGTGCAGGTGGCACTGGCCAACGCTGCAGGCGTCGGACCAGCGACACCGGCGCAGATGTTTTCAACGACGCCCCCGACACCACCGAGCTCGCCACAAAACGCGTCGGTGAGCAACGTTGGCGGTGGTGTTGCGACGCTGACGTGGGCGCCGCCCAACGACACGGGGGGCTACCCCCTCTCGGGCTACGTCGTGTCGGCACCGAGACTTCCAACTGTGACACTGCCCGTGACGACGACCTACGTTGCGTACGATCTGGCAGCCGTTACGAGCTACGTGTTTGCCGTCAGCGCGATCACAGCGCCCAGCATGCCTACGGGTGCGCCAGTGTACGTTCCAGTCACAACGGCAGCGATGGAGTTGCCGTCGTCGCCACCGACACCGGTCCAAGTCAACGCCACGGGCGGCGCGCTGTCGTTCACTCTGATGTTGCCACGGAACACGGGGGGTGGCCCCATTCTCGACGTCTCGTTATACTTGGCGTCGGGCAAGGCGTCGCCGGTGCGCGCGTGCTCGGGGCTTCAGCTCTCGTGTACCATCTACGGTTTGGCGTTCAACACTGCGTACAGCGTCTACACGGTGGCGACAAACGCGCTGGTACAGTGTTTGGTCGAAACATAACGCCCATGCGCAAACTGTGTGTAGGGTGCGAGCCTGCCGAGCCGCTCCCAGACGGTATTGACGGCTTCGGTCATGTCCCTTCCGAGTGCGCCGGCGACTCCCGTGCTTGTTCGCGTGTCGGGGGGCACCGTTTGGCTCAGTTGGACGCCGCCGACTGACTTTGGTGGCACACCGCTGCTCACAGGGTACCAAGTGCTCCTGCGCGCCAATGTCGTGTCGGTGTTTGGCGTTGTCCAGTGGACCGCGTCGACGGTCGTTGCGGACGTCGCCTTGTCTGATGCCGTGCCGCCCGTGTCCCAGCTCAACATTACCGGCTTGACCAACGACACGCTCTACGCGTTTTCCATCGTGGCCCTCAACCCGGTGTCGGCCTGTCGCAGCGATGCCGACTCCATGCCGAGTCCCGAGCTGTTTGTGCGCACACTGGACCCCGGGGCACCGACACCACCAACGTTTGTTGTCCAAGTGGGTGCTACCGGCGGCGCCGTCAAGATTGCGTGGGGTCAACCGTATGACAATGGAGGCTCGGAAGTCACCAACTACACTCTGGTTCGCCGCGTTGGCTCAACAACGGTCGTCTTGGCAGCGTTGCCAGCGACGCTTCAAAGCTACCAGGTGTATGGGCTCTCGTCGTCAACAATATACATCTTTCAGGTCGCCGCTGTCAACATCGTCGGCGCAAGCAGCTGGAGCGATCCTCTGCAAGCAACGACGAGCGCACCGACACCACCGACGTCGCCTCAGAGTCTGCAAGTCGCATCGATTGGAGGCGGGCTCGTCGCGTTGGCGTGGCAGCCCCCCGTTGACACTGGCGGCGACGAGCTTGTGGGCTACAACGTCTACCGCAACGCTCTTCTCATCTCTGGGCAACTCAACATGACGTTCTTCACGGACGCCAACGGCCTCTCCAACGGCACGACCTACTTGTACACGGTGTCGGCAAGGAGCGCGCACTTTGAAGGCGGGGCGGCTTCGGTGTCTGCGTCAACGCTGGCGACGCCAGACTTGCCGCAGCCTCCCGTCGTTTCGGTACTGGTAGTCACGGGCGGTATGCTCCTGGTACAATTACGTCCGCCGGACAACCTTGGTGGTCAGCCGCTGCGTGCACTTTCGATCCTCGTCGTCACAACGGCGTCGGGCGTGGTTGCGAACGTGACAACGACGCAGGCAAATTCGTCATTTTACGGTCTCAGTGCCTCGACGAGTTACGATATCGTGGCGAGCGTGAGCACGAGCACCGGGTCGAGCACGCCATCAACGGTTCGGACGACGACTCTTCCGCTGTCCGTGCCGTCCGTGCCGTTGGAGCCACAGCAGCATGCTGTGCGGGGAGGCAGCGTGGACTTCTGGCTTCGCCTCCCACTCGACCTTGGCGGCGGCAGCGTTGACATGCGCTTATATCAGCTCGACTCGACGGGGGCGCTGGTCACTCACGTCTACAAGAATGCGACGCAAGCGTTTGCCGTCACCATTCCCGGGCTTGCTGCCGAGAGTTTGTACCAGTTTTGGACGACCGCAGTGAATGCTGCGGGCGAAAGCGTACACAGCCCCGTGCTCAACGTCATGACAACGACCGTATCGGCGCCGGGGCTTGTGACGGGTCTAACAGCGTCGTCCAAGTCGTATCGAACGCTCTCTCTGTCGTGGGCGGTCTCGATGGACACGGGGGGCGACGCGGGGGGGATTCTCGGGTACAACGTTACCGTCGCGTCGGACGCTGGAGTGCTCCAAACCCTCTCTACGTCAGTGTCGGCAATTCTGATTGATGGTCTCGTAGCAGCCACCACGTATGTGGTCCAAGTTGCCGCCGAAAATGTCGTGTCTTTTGGCGCCTGGTCGGCGCCCGTGAGCTTTACGACGGACGAAGCCAACCCGGGTGAGCTTCAGATGGCGTCAGCGACAATATCGGTGCGGGAAGACCAAGGAACAGTCTCGATAACAGTGCTCCGGACAAACGGGGCAGCTGGTGACATTGGCTGCAACGTAACTGTGACGGCGATCAGTGCGCTGCTCGATGTCGACTTTGCGCTGCCGAGCACGACGTCGGTGGAGTTTCCCGACGGCATCACGTTCCAGTCGTTCTCGGTTCCAATTTTCCACGACACGGTGTACAACAACCTCGCCAGCTTTGCCGTGACGCTCACAGACATGACTTCGGCGACGGGCAGCGTCGGCGCGAATGCAGCGTGTACCGTATACCTCCTCGACGCTGGCGACGACGGCAAAGTCGCGTTCGGGTCGTCTGTGTATACGCTGAACGAAAACGCCACCAGCTTTGAGCTTTCGCTCGTGCGCACCGGTGGCTTTAGCCGCGCCGTCACCGTCGCCGCCTCGGTTGTCGGCGCCCCGATGGTAGCGTTTGGGTCACCGACTGTCGTCTTTGCGGATGGCCAGTCGTCCGCTGTGCTCGTGGTGCGAGGAATTCCCAATGATCTTTACGACATGCCGTACCGAGTGACGACCATTCAACTGCAGATCGGTGCTGGCAGCTTGGGACGGCTGGGGTCGCTTTCTGTGGCCTCGCTGCGGCTGCTGGACGAAGGTGACGTTTCGGGTGCGAACGACGCGGGGTTGCCGCCAGTGTTCGTGAACACAACCGGCGGTCTCCTCACGGTCGCTGTGCAGCCGCCGTTGCACATGGGCGGTGCAAGCCAAACCATTGCCTTCTACGCTTTGACGACGTACCAGTTACCGAGCATGACGGTTCTCAGCGTGCAGAACCAAACGACACCGACCTTTGTCATCGGCGGTCTGAGTGCGCTAACTTCGTACGCTGTCTCGAGTGCGATGTGGAACACGGCGGGGTTTCCATCCATGGGGGCGTCGACTGTTTTTTCGACCAGCTACACGACGGGGCCCGTGTCGTTGCCCGGACCACCACGAAACATCACGACGACGACTCAAACCGGTGGTACGGTGACCGTGTGTTGGGCACCGCCCTTCGACACGGGCGGTGCTCCGAGCACGGGCAACCGCATCCTTGATGCCTCGGGCCTGATACTTGTTGATAATGCAAAGAGCGCATCGTCCTGCGCGCGCCTTGTCGGGCTCAACTGGACCGCCAACTCCAACTACTCGGTTGCGGTCCGACTACTGAACGCTGCTGGCGCCGGTGTGCCTGCCTCGATCGACGTCTCCACGGGCAACGTCTCTCGGCCCACTGGGCTACTGCCTGCGACGACGCCGGCTGTCGGCCCGGACGTCTTTCAAGTGGTTTTTCCGCTACCGGGCGACACGGGCGGTGTCCCGATTCAAACCTACTCACTTTACATCAACGTGACAAACAGCACTATGGTTACGACCGAGATAACGACGGTGCTCACGCAGTTTGACGCCGCCGAGAATACAATCGTAGTGAGCGGACTGACGGCCCTTACGTGGTACCAGCTGCTGTACACTGTCACCAACGCCAATGTATGTCGCTCGAATTTTCACTTCCGTCTCATCGTATCGTTGTGCCCAGGGAACCAGTGATCTCAGCCCTCCAACGTACGTGCGAACGAGCGTCCCGTCGATCCCAACCACGCCGCAAAGATTTGCCTTGGACCCGACGCAGCTGCAGTCAGGCGGGTGTCTCTCTGTCCAGTGGGCGAAGCCGATTTCATCTGGCGGTCTTCCCTTGGTCGAGTACCATGTGCTCATCAGCGCTGAGAAGGCGACGAACTTTAGCGTCGGCGCCGTCGTTCCATCCCCAGCGCTTAGCACGACCCTCTGCGGGCTGACGCAAAACACAAGATTTACGCTCAAGGTCATTGCGTACAACAGTGCGTCGTACTGCTACGGCAGCATTGACAAGCTCGAGGCGAGTCCACCGGTGACCGCAACGACGTCGCTTGCGACGCTGCCACTGAACCAGTCGGCGCCGCTACTCCAAGAGGCAACGGGCGGCGCCTTGCATTTGGTGTGGGCGCCGCCAATGGACACGGGGGGTATTCCGATCCAGACGTATCTTTTGTACCAAGTGACTTCGTCGGGGTTGATCTTACTGGCCAACACCAGCGACCAGAGTTATGTCGTCTACGGACTCGCTCAAAGCACCTCATATCAGTTTCTACTCGAGGCCCAGAATGCCGTGGGTCTCAGTGCACCGAGCCCGATCGCCGTCGTCACGACAACATCGACGACGGCACCGACCGCCCCCAGGAGCCTTCGCGTCGTCAACACCACGGGTGGCGCTGTGACACTTGCGTGGGATCCAGTGCTCGACACGGGGGGGCAACCCGTGAACGTATATTACGTATATCGCAATGGCGCGCGCATCGGCCAAGCTACGACTACACTAATGTACATCGATGCCGGTGGCCTCACCGCGTCGACGGCGTACTCGTACATTGTCGTTGGCTTCAACGGCCTTCAATATGGCGACCAAAGCAGCGCTCTGACGGCAACAACGTCAACGCCGACTGTGCCGTCCGCTTGCACATCGTTCAACATTGCACTCTTGGGCGGTGAGGTCTCGGTCAATTGGTCGCCCGGGGCCGACACGGGGGGCGTGCCCGTGCTGAGCTACCTCGCGACGCTGATGCTCAGCAACAGCACCATCAAGGCCGTGGTGACTGCGACACCGACCTTCCAAGCCAATTTTCTCTTGTCGCGAACCAACTACACGCTGTCGGTGCAGGCCGTGAACCGAGTGGGCGCCGGCGTCAATGCTACCGTGCCGACGCCAACGACGCAGCTCAGCGTCCCCGGAGACATATCGACACCGCCAGTTCTCATGTCGGTGTTTGGCGGCAACGCCACCTTTCTCATGACCGTCCCGCTCAACACGGGCGGCGGCGCGCAGTTGTCGTTTGTCTTGTACCAAGGCAATCGCGCTGCGGCCCAAGTGAGCGCGCTCAACGGTTCGGCCAACGCAACGGCGTACGGTCTCAACGCATCGACAGCCTACTCGTTCACGTACGCGTGCTTCAACAGCCTCGGACTCGGTGGTCAAAGTCCGAGCGCCTCGGCGACGACGCTCGTGGCGAACGCGCCTGGGCCCTTGGCGTTGGCGCCGCGCGTCACCGCCGTGACGTCGCGCACCATTACTTGCGCGTGGCAAGCTCCGTTGGACACGGGGGGCTCGACACTCCTTGTTTACGAGCTGCGGGCGGCGGGTCCGTCCGGCGTGCCAACCGTCTCTGCGAGCACGCTAAACACCCTTGCGCTCACGCTCTTAGGTCTGCAGTACGAAACCGCGTACACGGTGCAAGTCCGCGCATGGTCGACCAATCAAGCGGCCTCGGGACCGTGGTCGCCCCCTGTGACGGTGTCCACGGCCTCGGGCTCGCCCGGTGTCTTCTCCTTCAACACATCGGCGGCGTCGGTGATCAAGAACGCAACGGTGCTTACCGTCGTCCTCCAGCGTGCTGTCGGCACCATCGGTGACGTCACCGTCGCGGTGCAAGCACCGAACACGACGCACCTGGGGACTCAGTTTGTGCTGAACGCGAGCGCGCCTACGCAGTCGACGCTCCTCGTGGCCTTTCCCGATGGTACGGCGTCGGTGGTTGTTCCCGTCGGCATCCGCAACGACGGCATTTATCGCGCGATCCCGTCGGCGTTTGTGTTGCAACTGGTCAGCGCCACGGGCGGCGCCTCGATCGGTGCCAACAACGCAACGATGACCGTGACGCTACTGGACGCAGGAAACGCCGGGAAGGTGCGTTTTGCTGCCGCCAACTACGACGTCGCCGACACGGTGGGCATGCTTTCGATCCCGGTGTTGCGCTACAGCGGCGCCAGCACACCAATCCAAGTGCTGGCGAAAACAGCAAATAATGATTCGAACGCGCAGGTCGCTGCACCGGGCACCAACTACCGCCTCCCGACGACACCGCTCGACTTTGGCGACCGCCAGCTCACACCGACGCTCCTCAACATTACGATTCGCAACACCAGAATCTACAGCTATCCTAGCCTCGGCTTCACGGTGGCTCTCAGCATGTACGCTGGTGGCGCTGTGCTTGGTGACATCCAGCAGGTGTTTATCACGATTAACAATGGAAATGCGAGCTCGGCGCCCGGTGCCCCGCCAGCGCCGTCGGTTATAATGGTGACGGGTGGCGCTGTGCTGCTGCAGGTCAAGCTACCCATCAACCGAGGCAGCGCGGTGGCCACCATCTCGAGCTTCTCAGTGACGACGACCAACGTACTCACGCGCGTTTCAACGACCATGATCGTGCCGTACCTCAACAATCCCAGTATCTGGATCGGCGGTCTCCTGGCCAATACGACCTACACGCTCAGCCTCGCTGCCGCGCAGTCGGCGTTCATTGGCTACGGTCTACGAAGCCCCAACGTCACCTTTACGACCGGCGCGGCGTCGCTGGCCACGGCACCGACGAACGTAGCGGTGGCGTCGGCGACCGGCGGTGCTCTCACGCTACAGTGGGACCTGCCGCTTGACACGGGCGGCGTCCCGATTCTCAACTACCGCGTGCAGTGGACCGATGCCTCCAACACGGTGCAGGTAGCGTCCAACGCGCCCCTACAATGTGTACATTATTGTCATCGATAGGTTGTCGAGACGGGCAACGCCGCGCGGGTGTTTGTCATCACGGGCTTGGTCGCTCGCCGAGCGTACCCTGTTCAGATTCAGGTACGACAATATCGGTCGTCTCGAGCCTAATTTAGTGGTTCTAGTGCTTCAATGCCGTCCCGATTGCGCTGACGCAAGGCTGGGGGCCCTACAGCGCCGTGGCGTCGTTGAGCACGACCAGTGCTACGTTGCCTGGGCCGCCGATTCTCTCGTCGACGCCGACGGCAACAACCGGCGGCAGCATCACCGTGACGTGGGCACCGCCGCTGGACACGGGTGCGAGTGATACGCATGTATATGGTGTTCCTGACCTTGTGATTGTGTGGGCAGGCGGCGCACCAATTGTCGGCTACCACGTGTTTTTCAAGGCAGCGTCCGCGTCGAGTTTTGCGCAGGCCAACAGTGCGGGCCTCGTCACCCAAACCCGCTTTGCCGTGGCCCCGCTGCTGGCGTCGACCAACTACTCGTTCCTCGTACTCGCCGAAAACCCTGCGGGGCCCGTGCTGCTACCGGGGGTGTTCAACGTGAGTGCCACGGCTACATCGGTCTCGACGTCGATGGACTGCCGCCAAGTGCTCGCGACGGGCAACGCGATCCTCCTCGGGGTTCGAATATCATACATGTTGATAACGCGAAGCACTCACCTGCCATGTAGACGTCGTTGTTTACCGTCGGTGGCGCCGTCACAAGCTCGCTCTTCACCGTGACGCAAGCCAACGCTTACGCAACGCAGCTTCGAGTACCCGGCTACCGGGTCGGTGCAATGAGCAACGTCATCACCGCGACGACGATATATCCGACCAACCCGGCCGTGCCACCCGCACCGATGCTGACCGTCGTCACGGGCGGCGCGATGTACGCCACTGCCTCGTCCCCTGCCGACACTGGTCTTGCATTTATCGTCGATGCTTTTCTTGTTCCTCACAGCATCTCTTAGGTGGTATTCCTGTCACTGGTTTCGAAGTTCTCTTGTTGAACCTCGCCAACGGATCCAACACCACGGTGGGTACTATTGTCGACTTTTCGCTGACGGTAGATCTTAGTTGAATGCATCAGCCGTCGGGGCACTCGTTCGGTCGTCGCCAACAGCGCTGCAGGCGTCTGCACCGATCCGCGTCCAAAACCTCAGTCCCTTGTCGCTGTACGCTGTGGCCGTTGTCGCCGTCAACGCAGTGTCTGGCTGCAGCAGCTATGCCCCTGTGTTTAGCAAAGCCACCTCCTTCACGACAACGGTCATGTCGACGCCTGGACCTCCCGAGAATCTCGGCGTCGTCTTGGCCACAGGCGCGGGACTCTCGATGGTGTGGAGCCCGCCCTTCGACACGGGTGGCGCGTCCATCGACTCGTATACGCTTCAGATGCAAGACGCACCGACGAGCAGCTGGACGTCCGTGTACACAGGACCAAGCCCAGCGTACCGCATGGCCGGGCTCGCGACATCGACGACGACCGGCTGGCGTCTGCGCGCGACGAACGCCGTCAACACGTCGCTGTGGTCGACGCCGTGGAACTTTTCAACGACGGGGCCCAGTGTCCCTGGTCCCTGCATCCAGCCGTACAACGTTACGACGACGGGCGGTCGCATCGAAGTGGCGTGGGCACCACCGGCGGACAGCGGCGGCTCGCCGATTCTTTCGTATCTCATCGCGCGGGACGACGGCGCCGGCGGCCCGTTTATGTGGTTTGCAGTGGTCGAGCCATTCTATATCGCGTACGGGCTCAATGCTCTCACAACGTACCGGTTCAAAGTGCTGGCAAAAAACATGATTGGGTCCGGCGAGCAGTCGCCGATCGCGCTCTTGGCCTCGGGACAGCCGTCGCCGCCGGAGTTGCCGGCGATGCCAACAGTCGTCGCGGCCACGGGTGGCGCCGTGAGTCTCCAGCTGAGGCCCCCGCTTGATCTTGGCGGCGTCGATCCCGCGGCGCTTACATATCGGGTGTTTGCCAACGGCCAAAACGTCATCAACGTCACGTACGCGCAGGTTCTTGCGAGTCAAGCAGCGACGCCGCCTACTACGTCCCGTCGGCTTACGGTGGCGTCATCATCAAGTAGTGTCGTCGTCGCAGGCTTGGATCCGAGTACCGTGTACCAGTTTGGCGTAGCGGCAGTGACACCGGTCGGCACGAGTGCTCCGTCCGCTCTCAACGCGGCCGTCACCCAGCTACCAACGGCCCCCGTAGCACCGGCAGCGCCAACGCTCGTTGTCGCCTACGGCGGCTCTCTTCAACTGTCGTGGCTCTCACCGATCGACGAAGGCGGCTCCCCCGTGACTTCGTTTCGACTGGTACAGCTTCCGAGCACGACGGTCTGCGACGGCTTGATCTGGTCGTGCATCGTACCCAACCTGGCCCCCAACACGGCGTACTCGTTCTACGTCGTTGCTATCAACGCTGTCGGAGCCTCCCCGTCGAGCTCGGTTACGTTGACCAAGACGATACTCTCTGCCAAACCGTCGGCGCCGCGCAACGTTGTGGTTGTTAGCGTTGCGCCCGCCGGCACGAGTGCGCTCGTCGCGTGGGATCCTCCGACAAGCCTCGGGGGGCTCGCGCTCTCCACCTACCGAGTGATGTACACAAATGTCAACTCGGGCCTGGGACAAACGGTCGCCGCCGGCACGGATCTCAATACGACGTTAACGGGGCTGAGCACCGGGACGACGTATACCGTGACGCTGGTACGGCGATGTTCGGTCTCTCCTTTTTCATCCTTCTCGAGTAGACGGCTGTCAACCTTCAACTGGACGAGAGTCCTGCCAGCTACAGCGCGTCGCTCAAGACACCCAGCGGAAACGGTGCGCCAACGGCACCGACGATCGCCTGCGGTGCGTGCGACGCTGCGTTTGCACTGTGTGACATTGTTATTAGCCTCGTCGACGCGGCTGGGGCTGGTTTGGATGCCGGTGCAGGGCGCCGATCGGTACGCCTTGTACCGCAGTGGCACCTTGTTAGCGACAGTCTCAGCACCGCACTTTACGGACACGGGCTTGACGGCATCAACGACCTACTCGTACACCCTCAAATCTGTCGACGTTCACGGCGCCGAGAGCGTCGGTGTCACCGCCTCGTTGGCGACGACGGCCACGTCCGACAGTCTCTGCACCGCCGCCTATGGCTACGTCGCGCAAACTGCCTACACCAACAACCAAGTTACGCAATGGACCATTGCGCCGTCGGTCGCCTTCAGCAACCTGCGCCTCGAGGTTCAGTTTACGTATAGTTCGCGCTCTCAACGCGAAGTTTAGGTGCTCCGCTTCGACACCGAGTGCGACCACGACAGTGTTCGCGTCGAACAGTTCCCTTACGATGGGTCGCGCGTTCTCTGGGCCGGCGGCTGCACGCGCCTCAGTGCATTCTTCATCTGGAGCGACGGCGCGCTGCCCGTCCGGATCACCTTGCGATCGGACGCCTCGGTCACCAAATCGGGTTTCTCCATTCGGTACATTGCCAGCACGGACGCCCCGGTGGCGACGGCTGGGACGTGCCCGACGACCGCCGGTGTCATTTGCACCGACCATGGTCGCTGCAGGACGGACGGCACGTGCAGTTGCAACCTCGGTACCCTCTTTTATTATGGTAAAATCGAAATGACGCGGCGACGTAGGGTTCACGGGGGAGGACTGCAGCAACCGCCTCGTATGTTGCGTCGACCCTAAGGTCTGCGACAACGACATTTGCCGGCTACCGTCCTCGCAAGTGTTGCTCGTCGATGCCAATGCCGGCGACGACGCCTTGGGCACAGGCGCAATGATGAGCACTTCGGAAATCGCAGGCACCGCGGCCAAGCCATTTGCCACGTCCGCCCCTGCGCAACGACGCACATGCCACTAAGAACGTGTTTTGTGTAGGCTCACGCGAGCGCTGCAAGTCGCCACCAACGACACCACCGTATTCGTATACCCTGGCAACTATGGCGCGGCGAGTTGCGGACATGTGTTCACCGAGCGACGCGTCACAATCACGTCGCTGCGAGGCTCGAATGTGACCATCGTGACGTGCACCGGCACCTTTGGGCTCGATATAACGCGGTGCGCGCTTGTCATAACCGGTATAACGCTGGAGCGGGCGACGAGCGCGAGTCATGGTGCAGGGCTTCTCGCTCACGGCTCGCGCGTCACGTTTACGGACGTCGTGCTCCAAAACACGACAGCGGCTGGTAGCGGCGGCGGCGTCTTCCTCGATGCCCAGTCGGTCATGACACTTAACAACTCGATCATCGCCAATGCCACCGCGCGTCTCGGCGGCGGTGTCTATCTCAAGAATAGCCGGCTCTTTTTGACGGGCGCCGTCATTACGACCAACGTCGCGGGGTACGGCGCCGGCATCTTCACCCAGGACACCGGCAGCATCTCGGGCGACTCGGCCAGTGTCCTCTCGCACAACACGGCGAGCGTGTGTGGTGGCGGCCTCGCGCTCAATGGCTCGTCTTCGGACTTGGCCGCGATCACCAACGTCCCAATCACGGCCAACGCCGCGACCAACGGTGGCGGCGCCTGTGTTCTCGGCGGGTATACTCAAATTGCGTGGGCTACCACGGTTGTGCTCGACAACTTTGCGTCCGGCAACGGCGGTGGCCTCTACCTCGCGGGTGCCTTTGTTTTCAACAGCAGCGGGTCGACTTTCTCGAGCAACCATGCTCTCGGGGCCGGTGGCGGCATGTACTTCTATTCTGCCACCGGGGCCATTCTGGCCGATGACGCGCTTACCGTCGTCCAGAACCAAGCGCGTACGCCATCCGAGCTCGACCGCATCTCATATTCGATTTCGTAGGCGCGGGGGGCGGCGTGTACACGGAGAACAGCAGGATCACGCTGACAAACCTCGAGGCAGCGCTCAATATCGCGTCGGACAGCGGCGGCGGCATCATGGGCAATGCCTCGGCGCTGCACATGGTCGGGGCCAACATCGTTGGGAATTCGGCTGCCGTCGCCGGTGGCGGCATGCATCTCGTGCGCGCGTCGGTCGCCACCACGCTTAATGTCGCTGTCGCCAACAACCGCGCGACCGACGGCGCCGGCGTCAGTTTGGATGCGTCGGCTCTCTCCGATGCAACTATTGTCGGGAACACGGCGATGCGCTACGGTGGTGGCGTCCTGCTCACGGCCGGCGCGACGCTGACCGGGTGCACCGTTCAAGGTTGTTCGGCCGGTGTCAACGGCGGCGGCGTGGCGACAGTAAACAGTCCGTCGAGCATCATGACTGGAGTTGTCGTATCGAGGTGCAGCAGTCAAGCCACCGGCGGCGGCGTCGCTGTGTTGAGCAGTACGCTGTCGCTAGTGCAGTCGCCGATTCTTGAAAACAGCGCAACGACGGACGGGGGTGGTCTGTACATTGCGGACGGAGCTGTGACCGGTCAAGTCGATGTTAGCCTCTGCCGCGCCGGTCGCGATGGCGGCGGCATCGCTGGTACGGGCCGCGTCGATGTCACGGGCGCCACCATCGGGAGCTGCACAGCGTCCCGTGGCGGCGGCCTCGCCACTATGAACGCGCAGCTCACGCTCATCGACGCCAGTATATCGGAGTGCAGCGCCACCGACGTCGGCGGCGCTGTCTATGCCAGTGACAGCCGTGGGACGCTCCAAAACGCACAACTGACGCACAGCAAAAGCGTCAACTCGGGGGGCGGACTTGCTCTGTCAAGCTCGACGCTGCATCACACGGCGCTAGTCATCTCGACATGTACAAGCGAAGGCTATGGCGGCGGTGTGGCGCTAGATGCAAGCGCACTCCTTCCTGTGACGCCCACCGACATTGCGCAGATCACTGGCAATACGGCCGTCGGCGGCGGCAACGGTGCAATCACGGGAACCTCGACGCTCGAGGCAGTCAACATGACGACAGGGTTTGCGGCGCTCGGTGGAGCTCTCTACGTGTCGAATGGCACCGCGTCGCTGCAGCGTCTCACGCTTCATAAAAACACGGCGTCAACGACCGGCGGCGGCGCCTACATGATAAATGCGACCGTGTCGGTGACGGCCACGACGGTAACCAGCAATCGTGTCACCCCCGGTCTCTTGGGCGGTGGCCTCGTCCTCATCAACGCCGACGTCTCCCACGCGTCGGTCGTCGTGTCCCAAAACACAGCGGCCAAGTTTGGCGGGCTCGCCCTCGGTGGCGTCTCACGCTTCGTCGGCGCCAGCGGCGCGTCGAGCGTCACCAGCAACAACGTGTGCATCGCCTCTGTGTGTGGCAACGGTACCAACATCGGCATCCTTGTGGCGGCCACCGCCACCGTCGCGGGGGTCGACGTCTCCGGCGGTCGAAGCACCCTCGGGGGCAGTTTGTACGTCGACGTCGCGGCGCGCCTTGCCGTGTCGCACGCCACGATTAGCTACAACGTCGCGGTGATTGGCGGAGCTCTCTACGCTGCCAAACAGTCGTCGTCGTCTCTCACCAACGTGACGCTGGCCAACAACACGGCGACGAGTGGCGGCGGCGCGATCCGCATTGCGGGCGAAAGCAACGTCATCCCGGACGGCACGAGCGTCCTAACGGTGTCCAACATAACGCTTTTCAACAACTCGGCGTCCACCCGAGACGGTGGTGCCGTCTGGATCACGCACACCACCTTGACAGGCTCCGCCTTGCTCGTTGTCGAGAACGCGGCCAGTGAGGGCAACGGTGGAGCCTTTTGCATTGACCTCGGTAGCAACGTGGCTCTGGACAGCACCACCGTCTCAAAGAGTCGCATCAACGCCGACTACAACGGCGGGGTGCGTCCGTCGACTCGACGACTGAACATCACGGGTTGTTGTGTAGGCGTTCAACATTCAGGGCGGTAGCCACGTCGTTCTTACCAACTCGCTCGTGTCGAGTTCGGTGACGGCGCCCGACAGCGTGGCCAGTCTCGGCGGTCTCTTGCTCATCAAGGATGCGCTCACCAGCGTCGTCATCGAACACTCCCAGTTGCAACTCGGCTATGCGCGCTCGGGCGGCGCGATTTACATTGACGGCGCGGCGCTGTCCATATCCAACAGCACCGTCGCCAACTGCGCGGCCACCGAGTTTGGCGGCGGTCTCTTCATCACCAACGTGGCAACCGTCGCGATGGCAGCGTCGTTGCTTGAAAACTGCACCGCCAACTACAACGGCGGCGGCGTCAACCTCGACGGCGCGTCGCAGCTCGCACTCACAAACGCCGTCGTCCGGCGCAACACGGCCCAAGACCAAGGCGGCGCTGTCTTCTTGGACATTGGGCTCAAGAATGCGCTGCGCGTCGAGTCGAGTGTGTTTGAGCTCAACCTCGCGAGCGGCCTCGGCTCGGGTACAGTAGGATTCCTCCACGTACTCGTTTTCTTTACTTGGTGACGTAGCGCTCTTTGGGAGCCGCGACACGGCGACCACGATCCGCAACTCAACCTTCCGCGCCAACGGCGGCGTGACCATCTACGGCTACAACGAAGGCGGCGTTCTCTACTTTGAAACGTGCACGGCGGCGATTTCGACCTCCACCTTTGAGCGCAACGTCGCCTACTCCGGCGGCGCGCTCCAAATGTACAGTCAGGCCACAATCAACGTGGTCGACTGCGTCTTCCAGCACAACTTCGCCGCCACCGATGGCGGGGCCGTCGCCCAGGCCAATGGAACGCTCTTGCTGCAGCGCTGTCTCTTCTTCAACAACTCGGCGCTGGCGCTCGGTGGCGCGCTCTTCCTCGCCGACGCCGCCGCCGTCATGTGGGACGGTACGTCGATCCTCAGCAACAGCGCCGTGCGCGGTGGCGGCGTCTACCTCGGCGATGCGGCCTCGGTAACTCCTCCTGCTCCAAAAAGACACTAACAGGTCTCTAGCTCGTCGCGAATGACGGGCAAGTTGGCAGCAACAAGGCCACGATGGGCGGTGGCGTCTATTCGACAGGTCAAGCCACCGTGTCGATGATTGGCGTTCACGTCATCGACAACAACGCGTCATCGACCGGCGGTGGCTTTTACATGAATTCGACGTCGGGCATAGTGCACAGTTCATTGACGAGCAGCGGCAACACGGCGGCGCTCGGAAATGACGCGTTCTGGCGCTTTGACGAGACGACACCGGCGTACGACTGCGCCGGGTGCGCGTTCTCGGCCCCGTCGTCGCTCGCGACCGACCCGATGAACATCACGGCCGGGTGGTGGCCGCAAAACGTCACGAGCGGCGTGCTCATGACGACCAATGCGTCCAACGTCGGTCCAAATCTGTGGAGCCCCAACGCGTCGACGACGCCGTGGCCGACGATCTTGACGGTCGACTACTACGGCGCCAGAAGCGTGCTGGATACGCAGACCACGTGTCGCCTCTACAAGGACCTGCGCGAAAGCTATGCGATCGACTTTACGCCGGCGGGGCAAATCGCCGCGAGCGCCGGCTTTGTGACGTTTGCGCAGGCGCAGGTGGCGGCGACGGCCAAGTCGTCGGCGTTCCACTTCGACGCGGCGTGCACGCTCTACAACGACCGGCAACTGGCCATCGACATTTACATCCAGGTCAACCCGTGCAACCCGGGGTACTCGCTCAACGCCGGGTACGACTCAACAATTATTGGTCGTGCGCTGACCACTAGGGTGTAGGAAATGCATTCCGTGTCCCCAAGGCAGCTTTAGGTAATCGCTCTCCACATCCGCATGCCCAATATGTCTGCTCTAGTTTGGACGGCATCAACTGCCACCCGTGTCCGATGGGGGCCACGTGTCTCCAGTCGACCGTCGTCGGCACCGGCGTCGCGTACACCGGTGTCGACTACCCGAGCACGCAGCAAGGGTTCTTCTTAAACGATGCACCGGCGTCCAAGATGGGCGCGCTCTGCGACGACGCTTCGGCCTTTCAAAGCGGGGACCCGTGCCCCGGCGGTACACCGGAGACGCGCCTCGAGCGCATTCGGTCGTGCTTGAACGCGTCCACGTTCGAGTCGTACTGGCCGTCGGAGCGTATCTTTACGTGCTCGTCGGGCTACAACTTTTACACGTGCTCGGTACGCTGCATCGGTGTGTGCCCCGGGGTCTGACTTTGCTATCGCAGGTGGCGTCGGCGTGCAAGGCCAACATTGGCAAAGCGCTCGTCAATAGTCCGGGCGCCAAGTGCGCCGCCGGTTTCCGCAACGTGCTTTGCTCGTCGTGCGACCCGGGTTTCGAAAAGCTAGCCGACGGCTCGTGCACCGGTGCACCACAATAGCACCTCTGTGTCTCATGCTTGTGTAGAGTGCTTGCCGACGGCGTCCAATGCCTTCTACGCCTACATGATGCTGCCTCTGCTTCTTGTTGCGGTTGCCATTTTGGGCGCTTTTCTATACCTCCGGGCGGGAACCGACCGCGTCCTCATGGCGCAGGCCAGAGCGGCCAAGGCCGACAAGCCGTTCGAGTACAGCGTCGCCGACTCGGACGCGCCGTCGCATCTCGAGCGGCTCGTGCTCCGGCCGCTCGCAACCTTCTATAAGCGGGTGATGCCGGGGAAGACGCTCAAGCTGCGCGCGACGCCGGCCAACCTCTTCCAGATCAAGCGCCTTCGGCCGCCACCCGTGAGCATCAACCCCGAGAAGCTCAAGATCCTCGTGAGCTTTTTCCAGATCTTTGCGAGCTTTAAGGACACGTACGACATTGAGTGGCCGTCCGACGCTGCGGTCTTCATGCAATTCTTCCTCAAGTTCAACTTCAGCTTCCTCGCGATCCCCCACATTGACTGCGTCTTGCGCTACAACTTTTACGTCGACTTCGAGTCCGCTCCCGCCTCTCCCATTGCTGTTTCTAACTGTGTATAGGCTCACGCTCGGGATCACGGCTCTCTTCTTCGCGCTCTTGTACAGCGCGTACCGCATTGGCGTGCTCCTCTATCGACGCAAGCTGCACCGGGTCCCGCGCCACTGCCCGCGCTGCGGCCTGCCAAACTTCGACTTGGTCGCGGGAACGGCGCCCGTGCCCGCCGAGCCGCTCTCGCGCTCCGAGCGGCTCCACCGCTTTGTCTTTGAGAAACACGCGGCCGCGCCGCTCCTGCCGACGTACGCAGCCACGCACACGCAGTGCCCGACGACCCACGTGCTCGAGTCCGCGGCGATTCGCAAGCAAGTGGTTCGAACGAACCTGCGGCTCTGGCAGGCGCGGCTCCGGCTCCGGCTCAACTTTCAAACGTACTGCAACAAGTGCTGGAAGATCTTCTTCTGGCTCGCGCTCGTGTTTTACCCGGCCGTGAGCAAGAAGATCCTCGACCTCTTCAACTGCCTCGAGATCGGCGCCGGGTTCTACCTCGTGTCCGACATGAACTACCTCTGCTATAGCAGCGAATGGTACCTTCGCGCCGCGATTGGCGCCGTGGGCTGCGTCGGCTGGATCCTCGGTCCGCACTTGATAGCTTGATACACGCTTGATACTGAAATACGTGGGACTAGGGGTACCGCTCACGTGCTTTCTCATCTTGTTACGCGAGCGCCACGACGGCGTCCGCGCCAAGATGAAGCAGCTCAAGGACGGCAAGCACGAGCTCGCGCGCACCAAGTGGATCGACGCGATGAAGGTCGACTACGAGGCCAACGGGCTGCACTGGGACGAGCGCAACATGGCGTTTGCGGACGACCTCCTCTCGCGCTACATGATGAAGCGCAACCTCCGGGTACGAAGGACGTACTGACAGCGGTGCGTCACGCGACCTGTAGAACCCGAGCGTCGTCGCCGGCGTCGGCTTTATATACCACGCCTGTACCCATCTGCGATAGTCCCACCGTGCCACTGAGTTTTGGTGTAGACAAGGACGAGTTTTGGTTCTTCGAAATCGTCGACCTTGTCCGGTACGCTCCTCGACGATGCGCGGAAGACACGTTGTGGTCGTAGGAAGCTCTTCATGAACGGCGTCATCGTCTTTGTCGGCCAGGGCTCCATCACCCAAGTCGTTGTCGGCCTCATCATCATGTAGGACAGACCGTCTTCTTGTCGTAGCAACCAACGCCTTGCTAGCTTTATCTACATGTCGATCTTGCTCGCGGTGCAGCCGTATAAAGAAGGCTCCAACAACGCGGTCGCGGCCATGGCGCAGATGCAGCTCTTCGTCACGCTCTTTGGTACGCGTTTGATAGACAATATTGTCCACATATTCACGCTAGCCGGTCTCCTCGTGCGCATGAACGTCGGCAACGCCCGCAGTCTCAACCTCAACCAAGTCGCCGTCATCATCGTCGTGTCCAACTGCACGACGATCTCGCTCATCCTCGTCGGCGTGCTCCTCGAGAAGATCAAGGAGGCGCGCTTGCACAAGCGCATCTGCCAGCGCAAGTACAACGACGACGTCCGCTTCCACATCGAGCGGCTCTGGTGGCGCGCCACGTCCTATGCGCTCGCCGACGCCTACTTGGCCAAGGTGCGGACCGCCGACGCCCCGCCACTGCCGTCGTTCCGCGTCGTGCTCGAGCTCGCGCGCCGGCAAAAAGCTTCCGTCGACGTCGACACGTTGACGACCGAAGTCCGAGACGCCGAGCCCGCCACGTAGCCGCTTCTTATAGTCGCTCTGCATCCATGTATCCATATCGAACTTTCAATCTATCAAGCGTGATCGAGCCCGCACCGTCTCTCGAAAGCAGGCAAGAACGTCCACGAGAACAGAGTACGAAGTCAACGCAGTACGTATTAGCGTCCGTGGGGCGTGGACCGGGCGACGGTCGAGACGCCGTCGACGAATTTGGTTTGAAACACCACGTTGGCGTTGTTGAACATGCCTTCCTTGAGCGAGACGACGATGAACTGCGAGTGGCTGAAGTGCGACCGGATCATTTGCCCAATGTTCTGCGTGTGCGAGAGGTCCAGCGCCGCGTCCACCTCGTCGAGGATGTACATGGGCGCGGGCTTGAAGAGGAGGAGCGACAGAATGAGCGAAAGCGCGAGGAGCGAGCGCTGGCCGCCGCTGAGCTCCGTAAGACTCTCCTTCCAGACGCCGCCAAACGCCACCTTGACCTGGAGACCGTCGAGGATCGAGCCGTCGGCCGGCGGGTCGAGCTTGGCGCTCGTGCCCGGCAAGAGCGTCGCAAAGATCGAGCCAAAGTCCTTGTTGACCTTCTGCCACGTGATTTCGAGCGCCTCGTTCTTCTTCGTGTCGAGCTCCGTAATGACAGAGTTGATCTTGGTCTTGTCCTTCTCGATGATCGTGCGCTTCTCCATCAAGCTCTGGTACTCGGACTCGGCCTTCTCAATCATGCCCATCACCTTCTTGTTGATCTTCTTGGCCAGCGAACCCTGCGCGTCCTTGAGCTCTGCGAGCCGCGCCTTGGCCGCCCCGAGCTCCATGCGCTTGAAGTCAAAGTCCGACTGGTCGCGGCCAAAGTACTCCTTCTCGGTCGCGATCCACGGGTGCTGCTTCTGGAGGTTCTCGACGAGCGACGTCGCGGCCGACGTGTCTTTTTGCATGCGACCGATGCGCACGTCGATCTTCTTGGCCTCGAGGTCTGCGTCGCGCACGCTCTTCTTGCGCGCCTCCAGCGTCGCCTGGAGCCCTTTCAACTCCTCGTCGCACTGCGCCAAGCTCGCGCGCTGCGCCTGGAGCTGCGCCGAGACCTCGCCGAGGCTGGCTTCCATGGCCGCGAGCGCGCTGCGCACCTTGTCCGCCTCTTTTTGCAGCGAAACCAAGCTCGTCTCGGCCGACGCGAGCGCTTCCTGCAGCGCCGCCTTTTCGTCGCGCATCGTGTCGAGTTCGAGCCGGAGCTCCGCGATTGACTGCGTGTGCGTCTGCAGCGCCGACGCCGCCGAGACGAGCGACGCCTTGGCGTCCTTGAGGCGCACGCCGAGCGCCTTGAGCCGGCCTTCGCGGCCCGTCGCCATCGACGCAATGTCCTCCTGGAGGGCGCGGATCGCAGCGTCGAGCGTCGGCAAAGACGCATTCGCAGTCGCGAGGTCCGTCGTCGCCGCCGCTTGGTCGGCTTCGAGGCGCGCGAGCTCGGCCTGGATCTGGGCATACGACGTCTCCTGAATCTGCCGCCGCAAGAGCGAGAGTTCGTGCGCTTTGAGTTCGAGCTTGCGCTGCAGGTCGGCGTACGCCTTGGCGTCATCGCGCATCGCGTCGAGCTCGTCGGCGACAGCGTTGCGCTCGGCGCGCGCGAGCTCGAGGTCCCGGGCGATGGCTGCGACGGCGTGCACGCGCTTCAAAATCGCATTGTTGTTGCTCGGCGCCGACCCGCCCTGGAGCGTCCCCGCCGGGTCAAACGAGTCGCCTTCCAACGTCACCGTGCGCGCGCGGACGTCGCGGTGGAACGTGACGGCCTCGGCGGTCGCGCTCGAGTCACAGACAATCGTCGACCCAAAGGCGTACTCCATCGCGGGCGCGACCGCGTCATCAAACTCGATCAGGTCGAGGGCCGGCCACGCGTGGCCCCGCTTCTCGCGCGCAATGCGCTCGGCGGCCGCCACTTGGTGCGACGTCAGCGGCCGGCGTGAGATCTTATTGAGCGGAATGACGGTCACGCGCGACCGGAGGTTGCCGTTCGTGAGCAGATCCTGGCCCGTGTGCTCGTTGTCGACCACGATCTGGTACAGTTTGCCACCGGCCGCCATCTCGAGCGCGGTCGTATGCTTGCCGTCGCGCACCGACAAGAGCTTGGCGATCATGCCGTGGACGCCGCTCGGGTCGACCGCCCGCGTATCAAAGTCGAAGCGCAGACGGGCGGCGACGCCCGCGCTCGCGTCGTCCAAGTCGCGGTGCAACTGCCCCACGCGCTGCTGCAAGGCCTCTTTTTTCGAGCGCAGCTCGGCCTCGGCGCCGACGTTGAAGCGGCGCTCGAGGCCCGATACCTGCTCTTCGAGGCTGCGCACGTCGCGCAGGAGCGCGGCTTCGCTCGCTTCGATGGCCTTGTTCTGGCTCTTGGTCTTGGCCAACTGCGCCTGCTTGGCGGCCACCGACGTCACGTGGTGTTGCAGCTTAAGCTGGAGCTGCTGGATGTGGGTTTTGGTGGCCTGGAGCTCGCGCGTCTTGGTTGCGAGCTGGTCCGTGAGCGACTGCTTGGAGCTCGAGCTGCTCACGCCGGCGTTGAGCGCCTGGATCTCGCCGCTCAGGTCCGTGACGGCCTGCGCGCGCGCCGCATGCGTCGCCTCGATGCTCTCGCCTTGCTGCATCAAGGTCGATATCGACGCTTCTTGCGCCGCCATCGCGTGGTCGAGGTCGGCCGCCTGCTCCTGCAGCGTGCGCACCGTCGTCTTGGCGGCGCCGACGGTCGACGCATGGTTGGTCGCCTTCGTGCGCAGCTTGACGACGTCGCGGCCGATCGCGTCTTCTTTCGTCTTGAGCTCGTCAAAGTCGCCCTGCAGCTGCGCGTCGCGTGTGCTCTGGATCTCGTCCATCTCGTCCGAGAGCGCGTCGATCGCTGCCGCGTGCTCGGCCTTTCTCGCCTGCGCCGCCGCGAGCAACGCCTGCAGCTCCGAGAGCTCGGACGTTGACTTGCTCGAGATCGTCAGCGCCTTGGTGTAGTCGTACGCGACGCAGTAGCGCGTGAGGCGCTCGACTTCCGTGTTGTTGGCGGCCCACTGCATGTAGTTGCGCTTCTCCTTCCGGAGCTTCTCGAGCGTCGGCGTGATCTCGTCGGCGAGGATCTTGTTGATCTCGTCGACCTTCTTCTCCTTCTTGGCCATCGTCTTGAGCGCGGCTTGCTTCTTGTTCTCGTACATGCGCGTGCCGGCGGCCTCTTCGATCATGCCGAGGATCTCGGGCGGCTTCATGTTGAGCACCTTGGTGATGCGGCCTTGCATGATGAGGAAATGCGGGTTGTTGACGTTGAGCTGCACCGAGTGGAAGAGGTTCTGCACCTGGCTGACCTGCGCTGTGTGGCCGTTGATCAAGTACTTGTTCTTGCCGCCGAGCACGACTTGGCGCGCGACCGAGATCTGCTTGTACTGCTCGTAGCCCACCGGGCTCTTGGCCGCGTCGCTGTTGTTGAAGACGATGGTCACGCTCGCCTTGGTCACGCCGGCCTGGCCCTGCTTGTACACGAGTTCTTGCAGGTTGGCCGCACGGACCGCCGAGAGGTTGGTGATGCCCAGCACGAAGCAGATCGCGTCCAGGATGTTGCTCTTCCCGGAGCCGTTGAGGCCCGTGATGGCGTTGAAGCGCGGGTCGAAGCCAGAGACCACGGTCCGCGTCGCGTACGACTTGAAGCCGTCGATGATGACCTCCTCGACGAACATGCTCCGCCCCTTGCGCCTCCGGATACTGCGCTGCCAGCCCAACCGTGGCACCGTATCCGGACGCGCCAACCGGACTGGACGGTTTGGCGCCAGCACCGATTTGAATTTCTGCAAAGCTCAAACTCAAACTCAAATCCGAATCCAACAATCAAACAACGTTGTCGGCGCCATGCCGCACGCTGCGTCGTCGTTTCTTCTCCACGATATACCCCTATGCATACGAGCATCGATTGGACCAGTTGGCGTGCAGTCTCTTCCCACGCACAAACACAAAAGACTGTTATTGTAAACTCAATTAATCTTTAACATCTTATTTTACGTCAAATACATGAATGCAATATGAAGCGCCCTAATGGTCTAGTGGTATGATTCCTGCTTTGGGTGCAGGAGGTCCCGGTTTCGATCACCGGTTGGGGCCCTTTTTAATCTTTTTTTTTCATTTTCTCAAATGTATTCTCAATAAATTCAAAAAAAGTCTGTTCGCGCCACTTGTATCCAGGAAAGGGCAGTGTCCAGTGAGTGTGGGCAACGCCGGGAGTAGCAAGGCCTTGGTAGTAAGTAGCGTTCGGTGCGGCAGATTCGCACCGAGATTCCGTCCTTCGCTCCCAGATATGTATACGGAACAACGCTGTCGTTCCTTCACCTCTCAGAATGTCAAGGAGTGACCCAACTCTCAAGTCCTTCCCGCCCGCGCCGTCATCGGGCATCCCACTGCAGTCGCGCTCGGCGGATAAATTCTTGATGCGGACCACCTCTGCATCTGAGCCGCGCCACATCACTCTGGATCTGGCTTTCGCACATGTGATAGACTCCCATGCGCCATTTACTTTTTAGCCCAAGCCGATGCTTGCAGTCCTGCGGCGACTGCATGCAAGGGATGGCGTAGTCGACTAGTCGACTACAATTGTAGAAGGTTCCGGTCCGTGCGCCGCGGACGCTCGAAATATACGTCGACGCAAACCAGCCGCGCCGAAAATAGGTCGACGTAATAATTTTCTGTCGGACGTTGAAGTCGCGCGCTGAGAAGCAAAGCGAGCCAATCAGCGCGCGTCGATTTCGCATCCAATTTTGAGTTGAGTTTCCTCATTTGAGCAAAAGCCTGGATGATACGCCATGTCGTGGGCCGCGGGATCGTGACGGAGAAGAGCAGCAGCGCCAAGGCGGCGCCGACGCCCATGAAGCCGACGAGCATGAAGGGGTACCTCATCCACTGCGTCGTGCCCCAGCAGGCCGGCGACTACACCGAGTACGCGGTCGTCGTCGAGGACAGCCGCGGCCGCAGCCTCTGGGAGGTCAAGCGCCGCTACTCGGTCGTCGCCGACCTGCGCGACAACCTCGACGACGTCTTTGACGCGCCCCACTGCCACTACTGCAAGGGCCTCGCGGCCAAGCTGCGCGCGCTCCCGTTCCCGGCCAAGAAGCTCTTCCACACCGACGACGTGCTCTCGCAGCGCGCGATCGACCTCCACGCGTACATGGAGGCGCTCCTCAAGATCGGCGCCAACCCGCTCTACCGCAACTGCACGCTCGTGGCGACGCAGGCGCACTGGCTCCTCCAGCGCTTCTTCACGAGCGGCCAAGTCCGCTACCTCAGCATCACCCCCCGCGACCAGCGCGAAGGTCGCATCCCGTGCCTCCTGCGCCAGCTCCAGCTCACCGAGCCACCTCTTCCCAAGAAGCACGGGTACTCCAAGTGCAGCCTCGCGCCGATCCTCGAGCTCGCACCCCCCATGGCCTGTTAATCTGTACTCCCGTAACGTCGTTCTCTTCTTCGATCTTGTCATTTTCATCCTCCATGGTGCGTGTCGAGGTCGACCGCGACGACGTCCTCTGCGCCATCTGCCTCGACGTGCTCACGGCGCCGACGACGCTCGCCTGCGGCCACTCGTTCGACCTGCGCTGCGTCCGTCGGCTACACAAGGCGACCAGCGCGCTCGCCTGTCCCGTCTGCCGTGCCCCGATCAAGCCGTCCCACCTACAGGTGCTGCGCGTCAACACCTTCCTCGCCACCCTCGTCCAACGCGCCGCCCCTCTCGAGCATGCGGAGGTTGTAGCATGCCTCGACGACGAGGCCACGGCGCCGCCGATCCTGGTCCTCGACACGTCGCCGCCGCTGACCAAGATGCCGGGCTTCCTCTTTGCCTGCTACGCGCTCATCGTCGGTCTCAACGCCGTTGCCATCTACCGACTCGTTTGCCTATGATCAGTCGACAACTCTCATTCTGTCCTTTCTGTCTTGCGCGTCGTGGCGGAGTATGGAGGCTGTGGAGGGCTCATGCTGGTCCAGCCTTGTTAGTAACGAGTCGTTTGCGGGCTATTTATACGTGGCAAAAGCAGGTGCACGCATGGGCGACGAGGCGACGGCGATGGCCGTCAAGCTCGGCCTACGCTCGTATGGCGAGAAAAAGTCGACGTATCACGACAACGCGTCCGAGCTCTTCTCGACCGTGCCCGGTGTCCCAACGGTCGCCCGCCGCCGGCCGCACCGCCAGCGCTCCAACTCGACCTTCATGGAGCTCATGCTGCACAAGACGCCGCCCGCCGTAGCGCCAATCAAGACACCGCCCGCAGTGGCGGTCCCCGAGACCGAGTCAAAGCAGCGCGGTAGGACCAGCGAGCACGTCTACGCCAAGAACCAAGTCGTGCCACTCGACCACCCAGAAAGCGCGCCGTCGTCGCGCGAAGAGAGCCGTCAACAGCAATGTCACGTGAGCCGCCGCCTCTCGCACGAACCCGCGGCGCCGCGGTGCAGCCTCCTTCGCAAAGACCACTGCGTCACTCGACCTCTGTAGGGCCCTCACGCCCGCGAGTCTGTTTGCCGACAAATGCCACAAGCTACAACTGGTGCCCGAGCCCATTATTGCAAAAGCGCGTGAGAAATGCTGCAACGGCCGCTTGCACCTCGGGTACGCATAACTAGCGTCCTTGCTTTATAACAGCGCGTCGTGCCATAGCTCGTACAGCATGGGCGACCAGCTCGTGGGCGCGCTCGCCGAGAGCTTGGCGAGTATCGAGACGCTCACCAACCTCAACCTTCACGTAATAACGTCGACGGTGGCGTTGAGGTTCCGACTGCTTTCTTCAGGGCAATCGACTCACGACCGCCAGCATGAGCGAGCTCACGCCGGCGCTCCTCCGAAGCTCGGTGCAGGCGCTGGACCTGTCGTGGAACAACCTCGGCCTCGGCGGCGTCGTGCACCTTCTCCCGCTGCTCTCGGCGTCGCACTCGCCGCTGCTGGAGCTCAACCTCGAAAACAACCTCCTCGGCGACAAGCCCGTCGTTTTGCTGGCAAATGCGCTAGCCGACTCGCCGCAGCTGCAGACGCTCAACCTCACGTACGTTTGACTGCTACGCCTCCTGGCTGAATGGAAATAGGCGGTGCAACATTGGCCACCAAGGTGCAATGGCGCTCGGAAGCGCGCTCAAGTACGTGCTCGCGCTCACGTCGCTGCACCTTTCGTGGAACAAGATTCGGGGCGCCGGGGCGGCCCACCTCGCGCGCGGTCTGCAGCACTGGTGCGATTATTCTTCTCGATTTTATATTCATATTTTCTCGCATTATATCCATTTTTCACATTGAACAATCGCATAGCGCGACCTTGCGGACGCTCGATCTGTCGTGGAATTCATTCGGGTCGCTCACGTCGTCCGAGGCGCTTGTCGCGCTCTGCGACGCTCTGCAGCTCAACAAGGTCCTCACGCATCTGGATGTGAGCTACAACCGCCTGCGCAATGGCGACTGCGACAGCCTTGGCGCCGCGCTCGCCTCCAACCAGACGCTGCGGGGACTGCACCTGGCCGGCAACGATTTAGAAGCTGACGCGTACGGCTTTGTGCTGCCAAACGCGACGCCGAATGACCCTGCACTCGCCCATATCTTTACCCGCATCGGCGCCAACAGCCACGTCGACCGACCGTTTGTATGGGAAAAGCGGTCCAACTGCTGGCTCTGCGAGCACTGGGTCGAGACGCGGTATGTCGGCAAATTCTGTATTTTTATAATCGAAAAGTGTTGTTTAGGCTGGTCTGGCGCCAAGGTGGCCAACGACCCAAGAGCGTCGTTTTGCGCGCCGAGTTTGACTATTGGAAGCCACACCACCTCTTCCCGAGCGCGATCGAACCGTCGGTTTGGGAAGTGTTCCGCATGGTGCCGCCAGGAACCTCCCAGTTCTTCTTTGTCGTCGACGATGCCGTCGTCACGACCGATGTGCACGTGACAGCGCAATTCCAGAGCCGGCTGTGGGGCGGCGTCAGCAACCGCCCACGCGACCTTGAGCTTCCGTCCCAGTCGCTTGTCAATACTGTCTCGATCGTTCGCGACGACGCGTCCGGGTCCAAGGCACTCCCGCGACTCGCGACGCCAGCGCCAGGGCGCGTCGACGACTGGTTCCCCAAGTCTGTCTTTGCAAGTTACCACCAAGACACGGCGTCCGTGCTCAATGATGCGTTCGAGGTCGACTGGTCGACGTCACGGGTACGCGTCACGCATTCTCTAGCGCTCTGCACCAATCGTTGTAGCTGCCCAAAATGGCCAAGGAAGCCGGTCACGTCGACGCGCTCAAGGCGGTGCTAAGCAGCCATTTTGCCTTGCTCAAAGGCGTGTTCCGGCACTACGCCACGAGCGGGTACTTGATTCTTTGATACATTGATACAAATATGTCTTAGCGGCGCCGACCCGTTCACGCTCGGTTCGAATGCGTTCGCTGACTTTTTAACCGACGCCGACATTGTCGACACGAACACGTGCACGCGCGCCGAAGTCGAAATGTGCTTTATCGCTGCGAGCTCGTCCGGCCCGAAACTCAAATGGAACACGCGCCGGAGCTTGTTTCGGTTTCAGTTTCTCGAGGCGCTCGTCGCCCTCGCGTCGTCGAAATTTCTCAAATCCAAACGCGCACCGACGATCGTGGCCGCCGTGCAGCTTATGATCGACCAGCACGTGACGCGCGCGACGTGGCATGACACGCAGACCTATCGCGGCGCAGCCCTCCACACGCCGGCGCTCGACGTCGTCTTCAAGGACCACTTGTACGTGCTCAAGGAGCTCTTTGGCCTCTTCGCCGGCTCCATCGACATCGGCGACGGACGCGGCAAGCGACTCAGCTACGCCGAGTTTCTCAGCCTCTGCGAACAAGCGCAGATCATCGACGAAGGCCTCGCGACGCGCGACGTCAAGCTCGCACTGGTGCGCGCCAAAGAAACCGAGGTGCGTCCAGATTCGCGGATTTCAGTTGCTGGCGATGTATTCTGTTTTGCATGTATACTAGTATTCTGTTTTGCATGTATATTCTGTTTTGCATGTATATTCTGTTTTGCATTGTGTCTGTATTTTGTTTCGATGTATATTCTGTTTTTTGGTGTAGATTCTGTTTTCGTCTATATTCTGTTTTGCAGATTCTGATTTGGTGAATACTAGTAAATCATTAGGTGTTTGACGCGAATGGCGACGGGGAAGAGTGGAAGAAAATTGGGTTTTCCGAGTTTTTAGAAGCGTGCGCGCGGCTAGCGGACGCCAAGGACCTTTGCCCGTTTTACCAGCGCGTCAAAAGCAGCGTCTATACGCACGGGACAGCGCCGAGCGACGTTGTCGCCTACAACTTTCTTCAAGTGCACTCGACGCCCTTGAAAGACTGGGCGCCCACTACAGGCGACGTGGCGCTCAAGCTTCCCGTCGTGCTCAAACTGCTCTGCGTGCCAGTGCTGCGCGCCCGCAAGCTACCCATGGCGCCACTTCTCGTCAAGCAGATTTCGCTCGTCGCCGCCAAGCTCGCAGGAATCGCGATCGCGTAAGAAGACTCGGCTATTTAATACAACGTTTCGATATCCTGACAGCGTGTGAAACAGTGTCTCGAACGAGGTACCAATGCGCCACAGAGTGGTTCCGCATACCATGCAGCGCTCATGTTCCAGTACAGTGTATTGTAGCTTCCTACGGGTACGAACCAATGGGGGAGAGCAAGAGCTCCCAGCCACCGAAATGCAAAGGCTTGAAGCAAAGCGTTGATCTTCCTCGACTGACCACTGCATCGAGGAATCTACCGACCACTCGAGGGCAATTGTTGACTCGATGTTGAGCTCTTTGGAAGGCGACCTGCATCGAACTTTATGGGTGAAGGGATCTAACCTGGATACCACCTCAACGTCTGCTCGTTGTATGCGCTGCTATCAAGGGTCGCGGTCGAACTAGAGGCGGAAGGGTCGCTTTTTGCCGGAGAAATAAGGGATTAGGGCTGTGGGGAGCTGAGCTGCTCACTACTCGATACTCAGTGCGCTTGTCGTCCTCTGAGCTGCGCCGCGGCAGCTGCAGCTCGTGCTGAACACAGCAATCTATCATTCTCAGCAGGTCACCGAGGCTCGCAAGTGTATCAACCGTGGCAACCGATCTTGCACTTCGATCCACACCAGATGTTCGAGTCAACAATTGTAGCGCAAATGTGGTGGCGACTTGTTGAGGCTGCTTGACGGTCGCCCATCGTCGCTCGTAGCCAGAAGCTCACTTTTTCATTTCCTCTTTCCGAGAATAAGAACGACTAAGATGGTCTCGCTCACGTCCTTCCTCACGCTCTCGCTCGCCACGCTGGCGTCGGCCCACGTCACGTGCAACCCGCCAACGGCGCCCGCGAACGGCTACTTTGTGACGTCGATCCGTGTCCCGCACTCGTACCCGGGCGCGGTCACGACCAACGTCTCGGTCCAGATCCCGGACAAGGTCACGTCCGTCAAGCCGCAGCTCGTCGGCGGCTGGAAGGTCGAGCTCGGCTACACGGACGCCACCAACAAGACGCTCAGCACGGTCACGTGGTACGGTGGCGAGCTCCCAGACTCCCTCTACGCCGACTTTGGTCTCCAAATGAAGCTCCCCAACGCCTCGGTCGGCACCTTCTTCTACTTCCCCGTCACGCAGATGACCAGCAACGGCTCGCTCGCGTGGACGTCCGTGCCCGACGCCAAAGGCAACCTCACCGACCCCGCGCACCCGGCGCCCAAGGTGACGATCGTCGCCGCCACGACGGCCAGTGCGGAGGCGACGCCTGCGCCGGCGGCGGCCAAGTCGAGCTCGGCCACGATGACGGCGGCGTCGTCGCTGGTGCTGGCCTCGGCGGTCGCGTCCATGTGGTCATAGACACCATTGCCGAGTCCCTTCTGTTGCATATTGTATCCACCTTGAAATAATAGTACTACCTTGCTTGATCTTTGAAGCTGCAGCACCGACAGAGCAAGGGGATATAAGAGATCTCTTATATACCCTTGGACAGAGTGACTACCCGTGCCCGAGTCCTTTGCCGTCGAAACGTGTGGCGCGTTGTCTCAGGTGGACCGTCCAGTCATTGACTCGACACCGCGACTAGAACTGTAGCATTGTACAGGCCCTCTTGCGTGGTCGTTGGCAAGTCTCCTTCCATCGTGCATAGTTCGAGTAGAGTGCATGACCAACGTTGCGTCAGGGTGTATATCTTTGGCTGCATCAGCCGCTGTCAGCTGGAACAGTGGCGAGCCAGCCGAAGCGACTCGGTGGCCACAAGGCGGCGACCGATTTGCGCAATCGCCGCCGACGCTCACACAAATCTTCCCGCGGCCGCCAGCAGATTGCGCAATCGCGTTGAAGTCGGGGCGCGGTATCCGGACAATTTATCCGTCGCCGAACGCCCCAGTGGCATTTGCAAAGATGCTTGCGCGGTGTGCAGTGCGACGCTTCTCGGAGCTCACGAGCTCGAGCCGGAGCCGGCGCCACGTCATCGCGGCCCTCGTCGTGAACCAGACGGGCTGCCTCGCCGAGATCGCCAACCTCTTTGCGGCCCGCGGCTACAACATCGACAGCCTCGTCGTCGGGCGCACGGACGTGCCCGAGCTCTCGCGCATGAGCGTCGTCGTGCATGGCACGGACCAGAACGTCTGGAACATGAAAAAGCAGCTCGAGGACGTCGTCCAGGTCGCCGCCGTCAAGATCCTCACGGGCCAAGAAGCCGCGGGCGAAAACGTCATCGAGCGCGACCTCATGCTCGCCAAGGTCTCGACACACCTTCCCGGCTCGCGCTCGGAAGTTGCAGAGCTCGCGGGTCTCTTTGACGCCAAGGTGGTTGACGTGACATCGGCGCAGGTCATGGTGCAGCTGGCGGGCACACCGCCCCGCATCGAGGCCTTCCTCGAGCTCCTCAAGCCCATGGGCATCGTCGAGATCCACCGGTCCGGCGTCATTGCGATGGATCGCGTCATGTCGGTGACGGACAAGACGGTCGAGATTGCGTTCCAAGGCGCCAACGACGACGTGGGCAACAACGACGACGACGATATGGACATCTCCAAGCTGCCGCCGGGCTAGACGCACAGTAATACACTTGTGTTTTGTATCCTTTCGTGTCGACGCGCGTCTCTAGCGCAGAGGACAACTGTTGTCGTCCTCATCATCGCGGACTTTAGAGCTGTCAAGATGGACATTGGATAATGCAATGCTTTTCCAGGGAGGTTTCCATGGGTTGCACAGGCCATCGTCGACGCCTTCATGAAGCACGCATGTATGGTCTTGCGAGCATGCACTAGGACACATGTGTGCGTCGAGCCGCGTCGCTCGTGCTTGTGGCAGTGCGGTGCCGCGAAATGGCTGCTAAATGTGGCACATGCCGCAAGAACGGCGTCGTCGATAGCTCGTGCGGTACGTTTTCAATGGCGACGGGACGTAGCATTTTGTGCTCGCGATGACGTCGTCTACCGCTGTGCGACGTATGGGCGATCTCATATATTTTCGCCACTTTGGCGACCGAGCGACCGAGCGGCGGCGTGGCACAGCTAGATCGCACGGGATTGGCTATAAATTCGATTATTGTGGCCAATGGAAAAATGCGAGGAAAAAGATTTTTATTGTGCACGGCTCAGCTCACCAGCTCACTGCTCACGCCGTACAATGATTGTGGAATGCTCAATGCGAGTATGTAGACAGCGATAAGCTATCAGTTTTGATGCGACGGCTACGAGGCGCTCGTTTTGTCGAAAGACTTGTCGCTGCATCGTCGGTAGCTTGTCCATGAGCTCATGCAAAGCACAAAGCTGCAGGCGATGAAAAAATTAACAGTATTTGGGTATATACAGGATACCAAAGAACTTGTATAAGGCTGGGAGGCAAGAAGTATATCGCAGTTGCTCTTTCTGCGTGTGGCGTGCGATGACAGGTTTGTGCTTTGTTGCGTATGCATACGATACCTGTACAAGCGCCGGTAGATGTAGGTCTGCTCCTATGGTGTAATGGTTAGCACTCTGGACTTTGAATCCAGCGATCCGGGTTCAAATCCCGGTAGGAGCTCCTTTTTTCATTCCTTCAGTCTCATGCTTGCTCATTCCCACGCCGCAACGAGTTGCAGGGCGTTCACTCGGGAGGACAATATTTTGCGGCTGCTTGTAGAAGCTCTTGCAGAGCATGTCTGGCGTGTCCCAGTGGTTGCAGATGTTTGTGTGTTTTTGGGAAACGCTGACAACCACACTTTTGATGAGACGGAGTTGACTCGTCGTCAATGCTGCGTACGGCAGACTCATTGAGCGTTGCGAAAACAACACGGCCCGAGTCTTTTGTAGGGATCGGCGCCACGTCCGAGGCTCGTGCGTGAAAAGACGTTGTCCACCGATATGGCGTCCTTCAACACAGCAACTTGAAGCTTCACAAGATCGTCAGCGAGATGGGACGACGTGGCAGGCCGAGAAAGCTACGATTTATATGTATGAACGTTTTTTCTAAGTGGTTTCGCGTCATCTTCATTATAAATACTTTGCATACGTAGACACTAGCAATAACGATAGACACTAGCAATAACGATAGACAAATGAATACTAGAAAGGATGGCAAAAGCGCACCGAAACGCTGAAAAAGGTCGCACGAATTGGGGGCAGACGGAATTGCCATCAAAAATGAAATGACTGGAGTCCCTCGTCTTTGACAAATGCTGCAAGCTGCGCGCAAAGTTGGCTCTTGGTACTGACCAGCAAAAGTGCACCATATCTACAAGGCTCCAACGGAGAGCCGTTTGCTCGTGCATATGTGGTGTAAGAGTAAGAAATGATATATTGCTCGTGCCGAGAAGCTGCGTATGTTTGTCTGTGTTGTAGCAGCGTTTTGTGCGTTTTGTGTGTCGATAAAGTCTCTATTAGAGCTATGTAAGTGGTATTATATTATCGCTTTAATGCGCAGAAAGCGCTCCTATGGTGTAATGGTTAGCACTCTGGACTTTGAATCCAGCGATCCGGGTTCAAATCCCGGTAGGAGCTCCTTTTTCATCCACCATGTACAGTACCAAGAGTTTTGCACTGCTTGGACCTCGCCACATGAAGTAGCACAACGCTTTTATCCAGCTTGAACGACGACTGTTTTTCCTCATCATCATATCACTTGTGCAAACAAACATCCAGGTGTACCGAGCAGAACCCTTCGATGTTGCTCCTATATTCATAGTAGTAGGGCTATTCAATAGAGCACGGCATTTCGGAGATACGCGACGAGACCTGTCGCCAAGAATCCAAACCTCATGTTTAAAACGTGGGACGTCATGATGACAGAATGGACGAGTGAAGATATTTTCTCTTGCAAGGATCCCTTGATGGTTATTAGGGCTACTAGTGGCACCTCGATAGTACACTAATACAATAGAAGAGTAATATGCAAAGATGAATAAAGATGAAAATATTCATAAAAGGAGCTCCTACCGGGATTTGAACCCGGATCGCTGGATTCAAAGTCCAGAGTGCTAACCATTACACCATAGGAGCTGTTCTTGCTAACACATGTTGTATATATTACATATGACTTACTATCAAGACACAAGAGAAACCGTTCTGGGACTGGAGCTGATGACAGCCTTGCTGCCGCAACCTGCAATACCGCCTCGGACGCAGACACACCCATATCGAGGTCAATCGAGAAACGCAATCATACTATTATCTTTGAGATAGACGGTCATTTGAGAAGTCCCGGTAGCCAGACAATCTCAGTGCCTCACTGCCACGAATCTCGCCCAAGACCATGCCTCCTCGACGCCGGGTGTGCCAAGGCTCGACGAGGCTGGCGGGAGACTCAAATCGTAAGCTCCAACCAACCAAACAAGAGGAGCAACATTCGGTCGCTTGCAAACATTTTGTCGACCGCATTTATCACCGAAATACACCATACCGGTATTTTCAATCACCACGTTATGAACCACAAACGTGGACAAGTTCTCTTTTATGATGTACCACTTGATGCCCCTAAAAAGAAGCCAGAACAAAAGCATGGCGGTCGTGACGATGCTGCCGACGACCGTAAAAAAAAGTTGAGAAACTGCCCAGGATTAGCGCGCTGACAAACGAGGTTGCTGCTCGCACGACGCGGTTCACTGGCTTCAACTTCACTAACGCACGAACGGGCTGGTGGTTCGTGAGTATGCAGCGCTTTATTGCATAGAGTTGAAGAAGGTCACCCTGCGTGGTAGCAGGAATGGTGTTGTTGGTGCCAGCATCTGCAGGGCTTGGTGGCTTCACAGCGCCCATAGGTACAAGACCGAGGCGCTCTTCTCGGCTTTGAGTACCACATCGAGGGTCATCATCGACGCGTGCTTGTGTTACATTCCAAACAGCTCTCCTTAGAGCTCGAGTGTAATCTAGGCATGCGACA